AAATGGGATATATACACATTGCTTATAGATCGCCGAGATGTGTGCGCGTTGGAATTTCATTGGCATTTCCAATTTTGTACATTTTGTGAATTTTGCTCGCTTTTGCATTTCTGTTTTGATTTTCTTCATATATGTATGAAGAGTTCAGCATCTTGAACTCGATTGATTGTATTTTGCCATAGATCAGGGAGAGACTGCGAGAAAGAGAGAGAGTGAGAGAGAGCCGTTGGGGCCAACGAGGCCAGAACGTGCCACATGGAGCGTTTGATGAAACTGCAAAACAACAGCAGGCTATACGAGGTCTGTTCAATAAGTATATCTGTTTGGCACCTTCTTATTATGGACTCGTGTCAATGCTTTTTCCAGTCCTGTTCAGCTGCTTCTTTATCGATGACTTTCTTATCATCTCAATCGTAGCTTAGTGTCGTCCTTCAAAATAAATCAAAAATGGATGAGCGATAATCGATAATCGATAATCGATAATCGATAGCCGATAGTCATACATACGCGATACTTTTTGAGCACACCTCGAATGAATACATCAAAAACAGTGCAAAAACAAGAGACAAAACAAAAATAAATAAAAGTATAAAAATTATTTTAATAATAATAACAAAAATTTCGCTTTGGCTCAACACATTTTGCGTCATTTGGCGCTGAAGTGCTGAAGGCAACATTTTGCCGAAACAAACGATATGCTGGCATAGAAATATATATATGTTTATATATGTATATGTATGTATATTGCTGTATACAACATGAAAAAATCAACGATTTTAATAATAAACCTAGGCGCAATAGCTTTATGTTTCAGCTTACGCTACGTATGCGCAATCTTTAACGCATTGCGCATACGACACGTGTGCCACAAGCCCCCGCAGGCAGTAAAATTAAAATTGTTACTGGTTATTAGACGTACATGTGTATTATTAAATATATATTCCTTGATATATATGTAAATATTTAATAAAGGTAGCCTTCAAATTTTTAAGTTGGGTTTGGAAATATTGCGTATACGCCGCTTGTTACGCCTCAAAATTGCGATTTGTTATCAATTTAATGCTGGCTTTAAGTTTATTATATACATATTTAAATGAGATTTCTAAATCTCTAACATAAGCATTCAGTTGGTGGACCCAGCACTTACAGTAGCAAAACTTACGTGCGCCACTATCTGAATGACTCATTTTGTCAGCCACGCCCTCTTGCCATTGTGCCCCTTTCTGCCTAATTTCTGTCCATTTGACGTTTCAGTTGCTATTTTGAAACAATTGTGTCGGCATGTGTCATACTCGTTATTCTCAACGTTTTTGCCAAATTCTATATTATTATTTGTGTACCCAGGAAGACCTGCTTTTACTCGATATATATATACATATATATATGTACAGCTAAAGATAATTTTTGGCCTTTAAAGTTCAGTTTTTAGCGCATCAAATTCCAAGCAATGAAAATTCTGTGAATCATCAACGAATTTCATATACCCTACACAACATTTTTCGACTGTTTTTTTCTATTAATCTGATATCTGTATGTATGCTTCTTCGCAAAGTGTAAAGATGCAAGAAGAGATAAAAAGAAGGAAAGAACAGAGGGAAAATGGGAACAAAGGAGCGAGAGATAAGAGAGAGAAAGGATAGTAGAGTTGACAGAGAAAGAGTAGAGTTGAATATAGAGAGAAAGAGACAGTTAGTCTCGTGCAGCTGTTCAGTAAATTCAATTCACAATTTCAAATAACAAATAGAGATTTGCTAAGATTTTATAAAGGATTTCTAAGGAAGAGAAATCATAGTTTCGGATAGCTGGGGCACAATTGAATATATGTTACCAAAAGTCAAGCTCGTAGTTTCTATGAAAGTACAATCAAATCCATAATCTATTTGTTCGCTTAACTTTGATCACTTTTGTTGTAGACAAATCAAAGAAATGAATCAAACAGTTAAAGCAATAGATACGATTTTAGGTAATTCCTAAATGAAAATGTTTAAATTTACATAGATATATATTGATATATATATATATATTTGAATATATATACAATATATAATATACTATTATATTACTTTTTGCATTTCGTATGGGAAAAAGTTGCCAATGGCCAAATGCCAAGACAATTGAAGTAAGAATTGTGCTGCTTAAAACCTTTCAACAAATTATTTGTGTTTAAAGAGAAATGAATAAAAAACTAGTCGGAGCAGTGCAGTCGGCTGTGAACGACTGCATTATGCCTGCTCACAGCTGAATTTATGCAAACATTAAACATTCCTAGAGTTCTCAGAAAATTGTGGTTAGGTTCATTTGTGGAGGGTTTCTCGAACCCCAAAAATCGAGAAAGTTTCGGTTGCGAGTTGCCCCCATAGATATATCAGCTTTCGTCAGTAGCTTTTGGCTTTTTTAGCTTTGCTGCTGAGATAGACATGCTTATATATATATACATATATATACATATATATACACATATATATATACATATAAAGGAGTATACATTCCCAAATTGACTAGGCCAAGCCGACGATCAGAGCAAAGCCAATACGCTCTTAATGCTTGTAGAGCGAGCATAAGCAGAAGAAGAAGAAAATAGCATTTGAGAACGAAAAGAAAATTGCTAAAGACAAAATGCAAAATGCAAAATGTAAAAGAGGAAATCGCTGAGGCGAACGCATTTTCATTCATGACTTGATTTTATTTATGTGACTGCACAGCGCGGGCGTCTATGTACCTGCCGCACTATATATACTTATATCAATGTATATAGCATAGATAGAGCAATAGTCTACCTGTGCATATATATATATATTTGCCTGATCGTAATGAGCAATTGCCCAACAATTGCCATGCACTTGTGGCTGTCAGCCAAACGGCGAGCAGCTAAAAACAATGCAATTCGAATTTTGTTTAATTAACGTAGTCAAATCGTATATATATATATATGCATATACATATATTCTGTATAGACAGGCATTTTATTTATGATATAGCTTTGACATGCCAAGGCAGCTGGGCACGCGCCCTAAACGCATCTCTCTCGGCTATATCTCAAGTGGATATAGCTGGCGTTCAGAGTTCCAGAGCTAGTTGAGCTAGATAATGAAATTCTATATCTGTTTATCGATAACTCATTTCATCTACTAATAGTCGATAGTTCGACCCTAGGCTTTTATCCTTCGAAGCTGCAGTTATCAAGTTTACTTCAGTTTCCTGTGAACATTTCTGTTACTTGAACACCTTTTGAAACCTGCCCAATGAACAAATAATAGAGATTTGACTTTGACACACATCTGGATGTCGTTGTTGTGCTCTCTGTGTGTGGACGCGAGAAGCCTAGAATGATTATGGCCGTAGCTCTGCGCACTGAACTACTCAGGGTATATCCTAGTCGAATACTCCTGCTTGGAGCGTGCTTGCGTGTTCTTTTGGCTTATGTGCAAAGCAATTACCTTATATAAATATATAAATATATATAGATATACATATACATGTATATATATATATAATTATTATATATATATATCGGTTGCGGGGAGTCCAAACGCTGATCACTTGCTACCCTGATGGCACAATCTATTTTTGATTGTCTTCGAGACTATATAGTTTCTATATAGCCGGCGCTCACTTCCGGTTCTCAAAGAGGCGCAACTTGTGTGCGTGTGGGGGGCGTGGCATGGCAACAGCTGCATTTACTTTTTCCCTTTCTCACAATTCGATTTTCATCTTCGACCCGATCCGTTATTCTGATTTGCTTTGCGGTTATCTATAGCAACAGCAGCAGCAGCAGCAGCAGAGCCTCAGAGACCAAATTCTAACCCTAGCTATGCAGCGAAGCGAAACGAACGGTTTTGGAATGTAATTCCCTTGCCTCAAGCGGCAAGCGAAACAAGTCATAAATGTTTTGCATATTCTTTAGCTTCCCCATTTTCTCAGTTCGCCTTTGGCTTTCCCTTCTTAAGTGGCAGGTGCTTTACACTTCTTCTTTCTGCTGTTGTTGTTGCACATAACGACTTAATAATGTTTTATAGACCAGCTAAACTGTTGTTAATGGACACAACTGCATATCGGATCAACATCTATTTAAAAGGGAATGGGCGAAAATGTATTAAAATTGAAGACTTGAAGAGGCTTAGCAGTGATATCTAAAACAGAAACAGAACAAATCAAATTGTCAGCCAGTAAAACGTTACTGAAAATTATGTAAAATTATGTTTCTGAAGCAATTTAAAAATATTTTGCAAAGAGAAATGTGTGAGAGCTGCAAGAGAGAAAAGACTCCTCAATATACTAGAGCTGTAAGCTTTTAACGCATTCTCATTGATCTTAAAAGCGATTGTAAAATGTTAACAAAGTAAAGTTGAATTTCAAGCCAGTAAAACCTTGCGGAATATAGTGAGAAGAGGAATGCAAGAAATACAGGTTGCTCAAACTTACAGTGGGTTCGCTCGAAACATCCAGCTCTTAAGCATGAGTCGGTTCGGCTGGGGCTTTCAATTGTTCTATCCCTAGTTTTCCAGCACAGCAAAGACAACTTTGAAATACATATTTGGAATATAAAAAGTTTATAACTCTTCAAACAGTTCGGCATTGAGAAATTTCTTTCTTCACAAAACAGTAATAATGAAGTTTTCGTATGTTAATAGAGTTTCTCAGCAACTACTGATTAATATCGTCTGCCTTATCATTGCATTGTCTAAAATTAAAAGAAAAAAGTGTTGAGAGCAAGCGAGAGAAGTTTTTCGTCTTGTGGCAAGGGAGAGCGAGAGAGTAGAAGAGAGAGCGAGAGTGTGCCGTCTACGACCGTAGCTGTGCGAGAGAGTCGCAACATGTGTGCGCGCGCTTGTGTGTGTTTCGCTGCTATAAAAAGAAAGCGCGCTCGCTTTCAGCGCTCACTTTTTGGTTGCAGCTACCAAAACGTTTACAGGCAAACAACACAAATAATTTAATAAAATTCAAGAGAATATATTAAAAATTGTTCGTTCTATTTTTTTTACATATGTTTTGTATAAAAAGTGTTGCAATATTTTAAATATTCAAAATACACATATATTGCCCAAGTTCAAGTGCATTTGCATTGAAGTGAGAATACGTAGTGTAAAGCCCAAAGGAATTCCATAAAAATACAAGCCGAAAGAGAGGAAGACAACTCCAGCATCAACAAAATACACAATAACAACAAATCAATCTATTTAAAAATATATATAGATAAAAACAAAACGTGAGTGTTAAACTGCAGCGTCCCAGTGTTGCCGCCATTTTTAATTTGCCATCCTGTTGCTGTGGCCATTTTGAGCTGTCAACTGTCAACTGGGCAAGAGTTATCGAAATGATGCATCGATAGGCGACAAGCTAAATAAAAGTTTACATGAACTGGTGCAGCTGCAGTTGCTGCTGCTTGTGCAAAAGGGAAAAGGGAGCATGGGAAATGTGGCAGGGGCAAGTGTAATTTACAGTGGGTAAAAAGTCAAGACACAAAGACAAAACAAATGAGCCGTAACGGCAGCAGCAGAAGCAGCAGCAGTAGTTTATGTAGCTGGGGCCTTGGCACTGCGCATGCGTACCAGCCTATGCCAAAGTCAAGGGTTCAGCCTAGGTGGCATCGCTCTATTCGTTTGTCTGTGTATGCTTGTGTGTATGCTTTTTTCTTTTCATTTTTTATTGCTTTTGCTGCGAGTAATTTAACTTTGCTTCTTTCCTTCTTTCTTTTGGGGCAGCTCTGTTTTTATTTTCAACTTTTTTTTGGGTCTGACTGTGGGTCACAAAAGAAATGCTAAATAATAAAAAAATATACTGTGTAGCAATGCCAGGGCAAAACACAATGGGCGCTCAAACGAAACACATTTTCATTGTTATTATTGTTGTTGTGGCTGTTTTCGAGAGTAGCGTTTCTTTTCCGTTTAGTTGTTTGCTGTGGTTTTGTTTAATTTTTTTGCAAGAGCTAAAATTTCGCAAACTTTAATTGGCCTTTATTTACATTTACAGTTCCCGAAACGTTTGCTTATGCTTTTTTGTTGCTGGCAAACCTGAGGTTCAACTTTTCAAATTGAGAACGCGAACATCTGTGGTGATACGTGACTCTTTTACGGGGCAACGTCGTCAATTTCAGCGAACGCTTTTCTAAGTAATTTACAAAGCTGCAAGAACAACAACAACAAGAACCAAATCCTATTAACAAAATGACCGATGTATCGCATGAATTGGGCGCCCTACGCTTTGTAGTGGTAAGTAATATCCTCTAATTAAAAATAATATATACTCGCCTTGAACTCAGATAACAGTTGAAATCAAATAAACTTCATACTTCGAAATCAACTAAGTTTTGGATTCTTAGAGATGTGCTCGATAGCAAAGTATATTAACGGTTCGCACATACAATTATAGACATCGTTTGGGCACTAGGCAAAACTCAATTAAAATATTAGAGCTAATTAGCTACAAATTTGACCGCTTTATAACAGAAGGCATTTGCGGAATGTGGCGCGCAGACGGAAAAAAACATAAATATATTTAAAAAAGAGAAATTTTCTCATATTTTATTTTTATAATTCCCATGAGCATTATAGTTGTATTTCATTATTGTTATATTGCACATATATCTCGTGCGACAAATGCCTTCAAATTATTTATGAGCAAAAATGAAGAAAAATAAGAAAATGTTAAAACCCAGCAAATACTGGTATGAAATGACGAAATAATCAGCGCGGATAAAAATCGTTCAAATCAAATAACACAAATTTTCAAGTTATTTTACAAATACAGTTTTCAATTTTCTGTGCCTTTGCTTTAATTTGTCGCCAAATGAATTACCAAAAGAGCAAAGATATGTGTTTATATTTATATGACTATATATATGCATTCTATATATATGTGTACATATATATATATATATATATATATATATATATATATATATATATATACTATATATATATATATATACTGGCTGACAAAAGAAACAAATTTTTTGTCGCACTGTGCAAAAGATCAAAACACGGAAAAATTCTTGGCAATGACCATCGCTTGAGTTGAAATAGCAATGTTATGTAGCCTTATGTATTATATATATATATATATATATATGTATATATATATATATATATATATATATATATATATATATATATATATATATATATATATATATATACGACGACTTTTGCTGAGTGACAGCAACAAATCGAAATGTTTTTAGTTACACAAATACTATATACTAAATAAATACTATCGCCTATGACAGTCGATATGCGCATAGCTACAGCTTTCGCGCAACCTCTTTTGTGCCATTGTCCACCAACTCACTCGTTTCGGTTCATGGAATTGCACATCATTTCAGATATTTAATGGAGTTATTAAATAAATGCAAATATCCTAGTCAATATAGTAGTTTATGTTGTTGTTTAGTTTCACGTGTTGACTTTTATTTTTTTTTTTGTTGTGTCTTTATTAAGGCCCAGCATGTGACAAAAACGCAATTTTCATTTCAATTGAAATTTATGCATTTTCACATCAAAGACTTTCACCTGATGCGAATTTACTGACAAATATATATATATATATGTATATATATATACGTATTTGTTAATATGTATATAAATTTTAGATAGAGCATAGTGAATATATAACTTTTTGGCAATTGCCAAATTCGTGTTGCTTTCATTCATCGGGCGGACTTGATGCGCATTTCGTTTATTTATTTTTATTATCGAATATATGAATGAAAAATCATGATGCCAATGAGCTGGCGTCAGCCAAATTGATTATTGACAACGTCATTGGCTTGGGTAACAGTATTTTCTATATTTATAAATCAAAATTTAACAAAGATGTTTTTTGAAATAAATATAAAATAAGGAAAAAACAATGTTATAACATCCATATTTTGTTCAAAATATGTTTTGGGCACACAAAAATACGTTTGCAAAAATCGACCTTGAAGGTCGTTTGATGGTTTTTAATTTTAATTCTATTTATTTAGTTTGCTAGGTTTTGTTTTATTAAATTGTATTTCTTTTGTGTCTGGGATTGAGGAAGTGTAGTGTAGTATGCTTAATACAAATTTTTGTTCTCATCAAAAGTTTGTTTTTATTTATGGGCCGACATTTGCGCATTCCTTTCGTCCCATTTGCTTGTACACCAAATATATATAAATAGTATAGAGAGAAGAGTACATATGTACATATTGCTCATGGGTAAAACATTTTGCATTTATTAAATGAAAAATTAAAGAACATGTAAATTTGTTGTTATTTAATTACAGCTCATTAATTAAACAACATGCCACGTGTCCGTTTTTCAATTCAAAATTTCAAATGTGCCGCCAATTCTGCCATAAAAATAGTTGACAGCGTTAACAACTGTCCGAACAGCCTGGTAACTTCTGATTGAGCTTACAATTAGATCAGGCTTAATGCAGTAACAGTCTGGCAACGCCTGGTAGTGGACTTAATTTTATTGGAAGGGTTTTCATGATAGGAATTTACTAAATGACCAATCTAATAAAATAAAACTGTCGTTATTCAATTACAGGTCTTTAATAAATGCAATAGCTCTGTGTAGAATTATGAATCAGAAAATGCCTAGTCAAACATAAAGTTAGCTACCAATTAACTGGGTGGCAACGCCTGCCTGAACTTGAATTACATTTAACATTCATATTGCAAAGGATTTTGATTTCAAAATATGTGTTATTAAAGAAAACGTTAAATTGCTGTATTTTTAATGCAGTTCATTAATTGGGACTAACAATAGTTGACAATGCACACAAGCTTCCAGCAGCCAGCCGTCTGGCAACACTGTCTTCAACTCGAATCTATTTTAGGCTACACCTGGGCAACGTATTAATTGGATTGAATTTGTATTTGTCTTATTGCAGGACTCGCCGCTATCGTCAAAGGTGGCCATGTTTAACAATCAGGCGACACAGCATAAGCAGTCGCAGCTATTGAATCCATTCTCGCACGACGGTCGCGCCTCCTCGCCGAAGCCAACTTTCTCCAAGGATCAGTATGGTAAGCCGCTGGCTGGCAGTCTAACAGAGATGCGCGGCCAGAAGGCCAATATGCATGTAATGAAGGAAATGCTGGAGCTGTGTCAGATCATTGACTCCGAGGGCTACCAAGTGAAGGATGAGCCCACCATGCGGGTCATACCCTTTGGGGAGTTGTTCAACGTAAAAGCAATTCTCAACTCTCTCTAGAAACAAATTTCACCTAATCTTTCGTTCATTTAGATTTACAACTACATTTCGGACAAAGTGGTTGGCATTCTGTTGCGTGCCCGCAAGCACAAGCTACTGGACTTCGAGGGTGAGATGCTGTATCAGCGTCGCGATGACGATGTGCCCATCTTTTTGCTTCGACCCATTGTGGAAATACGCCGCGAGCTGAATGCCAAAGTTGAGGACATTAAACGGGGCGCCAGTCCAGCGCCTCAATCTACATCGGTGCTGCTTGACAAAACTGCGCACGAGCAGAATCTAAAGGTGTTGGAGGAGAAACGCCGCGTGTCCAAGTCTCGTACACCGTCGCCGGCTGTCAAATCGAAATCTAGATCAAAATCACCTACGCCTGAGGTGCGAGATAAAGCCGAGGCTGAATCTAGTGAAGCAGCAGCAGCAGCAGTACCATCTACTGCTCCCGTTGCAATTGAAGTTGCACCTACTAAAACGCCAGTAGAGGCAACTGTGCCGATTGTTGTTATTGATCAGCCAGCTGCAATAGAAATTGCATCTAAAGAAGTGACACCAGCAGCGACAACAAAAGAGGAGCTGCCGGCCAGTGAATCCCAAACGGCTGAAGTACCACCTGAAGCTGCTTCGCCTGCTGATTCAGCTGATACTCCTACTGCTGTGCCTGCTGATGCTGTACCAGTTTGTGCTGCTCCTGATGCTTCTCTAGCTGAACCCTCAAATGAGTTGCCCACAATTGTTATTGAAGCCAGCGCTACATTTGTGCGCACAGTTAGCGTGGAGCAGGTTTCGGAACAGGTTTCAGAGCAGGTGGGAACTGCCGAGAATGCCTAAGGAAAATAGCGAGATCCAGTGGAGTTCAACAACCGGACTTATGAGAATGTTTCGAAAGAGTTCGCAAACTAGTAAAGCGGCAGCTTTAAATTGCAGTAATCTAGATTTAAAGCATAGTTTAACTTTATAATTAGGTGTTTAAACAGCACTGAAGACACTAAACAGAGAAAAAGAAAAACAAACAAACAAAGGAAAAGAGAGAGAGCAACTATTTATAAATGAATAAACATATATAAGTATATAAAGTAAATGTAATACAATATTTAGACACAGTATTATATAAAACTCATACTTATTAATGCATGATTATTATATAATATGTTGGTAGTAGTTTAATAAAGTATAAAAATCATATTTGAATTTAAACTGTTGTACTGGCGTTGCCACATCGCAAACGAAAGCGCACGAACGCAGTCAAATGTCTGGTAGCACCTTCAATCACAAGTCAGCTGTTCAGTGCCGCTGTTTCGTTTCCATTTGATAAATGCGACGGTCATATATTTGCGACGGACCCCTACGATCGGTGAATAATGAGAAAGTTCGCGGCATTTGCATGCGGCACTGGCGCTGGCTTCGCTGCCTACTACTTTCAAAAGCTGCGCGACCCTCTGCAGGCTGTGCACAACTCGTGGACGAACAGTGAAAGACAGATTAGCGAATGCGCTTTCTGGGACAGCAATTGGGATTTTCGCGATCCTAAGAGCTTGGTGCGGCCCGTAAAGGGCGACAAGCCACAGGACCAGAATCGCTATAACAGCGATCTGGAAAAGAATATATCGAAATATGCGCGGCATATCATATTAATACGCCACGGCGAATATCTTGACGTGGGCGAAACCGATGAGACGCATCATTTAACAGATCGCGGTCGCCTACAGGCCAAGTATACGGGCAAACGTTTGCACGAACTTGGCATCAAGTGGGACAAGGTAATTGCCTCAAATATGGTGCGTGCCCAAGAAACGGCAGAGATAATACTGAACGAGATCGACTTTGACAAGACCAAGGTGAAAAACTGCTCATATTTGCGTGAAGGAGCACCAATACCACCGCAGCCGCCTGTTGGCCACTGGAAGCCGGAAGCCTCGGTAGGTAATCCAAACGGAATGGAATAATGTTAATCTTTATTCGATAAGAAATGTTGAACAGTGCTCTTAACCCTTTACAATTTAACTTCATTTGCAGCAGTTTTTCAGGGACGGTGCAAGGATCGAGGCCGCTTTTCGACGTTATTTCCATCGTGCCTTACCCGATCAGGAGAAGGAGAGTTATACGTTGATTGTTGGACACGGCAATGTAATACGTTATTTTGTTTGCCGCGCCTTGCAATTTCCGGCTGAGGCTTGGCTGCGCATCAGCATTAATCATGCATCAATCACATGGCTAACGATTAGTCCGTCCGGCAATGTGTCCATCAAATATTTGGGTGATACCGGCTTTATTCCCGCCAAGCATCTGACCAATCGTATACCACGCGAAGCCAAGAACGTTGTCTAGTTATAATCCCAAGGCGTATTTTCTGTATTCCTTTCCACAAGGCTGCAGCTCCAGGAATCAGTATACAAATACTGTTGTCCACTGATGAAGACTATTTTTTTAATAATGAAGTTTATATTTCAAATTAATTGAAAACTAATTAAATCATGTTAAACGGGTTTTCTACTATTTGGCATATACAAACTGTAAATTGAAACTGAACAAATGAAAATATTTGAATACAATCAGCCAGATGAATTAAAAAAAATCAATGAGATAAATCTGCGAACATGAGAATTTCCCCCTTTTACATGCCATAAATAATTCAACCTTTTTGTTTTCTACATGCAACCAATTCGAAATTGGTATCGAGTAAAAACGCGGTTAACTATCGATATTTTCAACGGCTATCAGTAAGGAATGCCAAAAAATGCAGAATTTTTTCCTCCATTTACTTCATCAATAAAGCCGAGGCTGAAATAGTATCTCTTAGAAAAAAAGTTTATCAGAAAACATGATGGATAAGACACTTAAGTTACATTTGCAAAATATCCCATTTCCAATTGCAAGGAAGAAGTCGTGAACTGCCAAGCAAGAATTGCTGAAAAGGCAATCTGGCAGAAGGAACCGGTGCAAACACAAAGGATTGCTCGGAGATAGTGGAAGGTAGTGGCCCAACTGGCCATCTCTGGTGTCGACGTGAATGAGGCTAAAACAAAATGGTCCTTGCTTTGTGTCACCTTTGGTCTAAATCAAAGCAAAACGAATAATATTAGCTCGTTGACCGACAACGCTGTTGCCTGGCTCCAATTACTCGGTTCATCAATTGAATGTATTTCTTTGTTTACATCTAAATCGAATTGCAATTGATTATTTTTCCTTATTTGCAACTCAAAGGCCAGTCGACTAAGTACAGGCGGCCGTCCAGATTGGTCCTCCGCTTCCCCCACCTTCCTGCAAATCACGATGGCCTTCCCTCTGAAACGTCTGCATCTGAACCAGTTAACACTTATAATTTCGGCTTGATCAAGTATTTATTTATTATTAACAATACCACAAACATTTGTATATAATCTAATTAGCTAGCTTTAAGCACCTGTTGCAAACGCTGGAGGCATTTGCGTATGCCTACATCCTCGCCAGCGCCGCGCTTTAGCTCGACGCTGTGCGCCTGTTCGCGCACAAATCCAAAGAGCGGTGCTACCAATTGTGGAGCTCTTTCCGCCAGCTTGATGAGCATCTGAAAGTAGAAGTAGGTGCAGTGCGCCAAATGCTTTTCAGCCAGGTTGCGTATATCAGCCGAACAGACGTCGCGAGCGGCTTCCGAACGCTGGAATTGGGACAGATTGACAAGCACAGCATAGAGATTGAGCACTTGAACTCGACTAGGTTCCAATTCTCCAACGAACATTACGTGCTCGAGTAGCGATACATGAACCGCTCGCAACAGCGTTAACAGCTGCGCCTCTGCCTCTGTGTCCAGCTCCACGTCATCTAAACCCACAAAAAGCTGTTGCAGTATAATAAGAATGAGACCGACATGCGTGCCCGCCTGGCTACGCTGCACGGCGAGGAATTGGTTAGCCAGATGCTGCAACACAAACTGTGCCAGCTCGCCATCCAAATCCGATTGCAGAAGCGTTGCATATGGACGTGCCACCAGCTTGACATTGCTCGAGAAACCGAAATGTGGCGTCCAGTGCAACACGAGCTTTTCAAGCGTACGGCTTAGATACGCATCTGTGCGATATGGCAGACGTCCAATGCCCTGCAGCAGCACTGGAAATATCTTATGCAGTAGCTGTGGCAGTCGACCCTCGGGTGCAACGCCCGCCTGCAGCTGTGTGGTGAGAAGGAAACGCACCATGGCCAGGTGAAAGAAACAGCTGGGCTTTGAACGAACATAGCAAAGTGTCGGACAATTATAAATAACAATTGCCAAAAAGTTATAGAAACGTGCTCCCAGCTCGGGGCGTTCCTGCCGGCTCTGTGGCGACATCCACTGCTCAAAGTGCGCCACATAGGCATGCAACTTATGACTGAGCTGCATGCGCACATGTGCTAACGCGTCCTGTTGCTGTGCACGTCTACCCAGAGCGCCAAAGAATGCACACAGCGGCTCCCGATCTGCCAACGAGGCGGCATCCAAGCCCAAAGCACGAAACTCCTCCAACTGGATGATAAAAGGATTCAGTGCCAGCACCGCCTCGTGCTGTGCGTTGAGCAGCACCAAAGATTTTATCCACACTTGAATGATGAGCACGCTGGCCGGTTGTTGGGCAGCTGATGCTGCGTCCCGCAGCACATGGAGCAGCAGCTGTGCACTGGCTGCCGTGTTGACTGGCTCGGCGCCTTGTAGCAGGCACTCCAGCAGCTTTTTATCCCTGTCCAGTGCCACAAAGTCAGCAGCAAGCTGTGAGAGCCAAGTGCTATAGCCGTTCACATATTGCACGCGCAGCTGTGGCAGCACATGCTGCTGCAGTGCATCCCACATTCCAGCGGACATGTTGACTTTCAGCTTTTGGGCAAGCAAATGGAGAGCTTGCCAAACACGTTCCTGTGCCGCTTGTGCACTGTGTTCGATGTAGTGTGTTAGCCACGGCGCCAGCAGTAGCTGCTCGCCGCGCGCGAAATCATCAGCCAGTTCGAAAATGGGCTGCAACGTGGCTGCATAGATGCCACCCACATCCGGATCATTGCGCACAGCCGCCAGTTGGGCCAGCAGCTTACTCACATAGTCATCGAACGGCTGTCGACGTTGCGCATGCAGCAATAGAACAGCCATATGACCCTTGGCTGCCAGCTGCCGGCGAGCCGGAGGCAGCTTATCCAAAGCCAAGCAAAGCAGCATTTCCCGCAGCTTGGGCGCCAGCTCGCTGAACTCGCCATAAGTGAGCAGCAGGCACAGGAACAGCTCAATCACATGATGTATGCCCGACTCGTTGAGTGCAAGCATCTTCGCTGCACTAAATTTACTAAAGATGCGTCCCAGCAACTTCTGCGCTTGATTGCCACGGCCAAGTGCCGGCAGCTGTTGCAGCGTTTTTCCCAGCAGCAGGACAAATAGCGTAAAGCTGCTTAGATTTAAATCATCCAGCTGTGGCTTGGCCAGCAGCGTACGATAGCGCTCCAAGTATGCTGATCCGCTGGCGTATATCATCGGCAGCTGATCCAGCTGAGACTGCGCACTAAAATTGCAGTTGAGCGACCGATGCAGACACTCCCACAGCTGGCAGAGCACATCCGTATCGGGCTGTCCCCAATGCAGCTGCAGCGGCGCCAGCAAACACAGATAGACTCGACGTTGCTGCTCATCCGGCTGACTGGCCAAAAACTGTCTAAGCAGACAGCTAGTCTGAAGCAGTTCTCCAGCTACAGGTATTGGTTGCAAAACCTGCATGCCACACGCATCGTAGGCGCCCAAGCGAGCAAGGCTCAGGCGCAGCCAGGCATAGAACTCATGATAGGCCAACACAGACGCTGCTTCCACTGAAATAAAGTTCATGTTAGGCACTATTTGACAATTCGTGCCTAAAAGTCTTACGCTGTTTCTTGTGCCGCTGCATGGCTCTGTGTAGCAAGGGCCAGAAGGCAGTTTCCGTATCTGCTTGTTGCTGATGCTGAAGCACCAGCCACAGCTCCTTGCTGCAGCGACACATAAACGCCGAAGTATGCAACAGCTCAGCGCTATGTTTGCTTCTATAGTAAAAGCTCGCGCAGAGCACCAAATCATCCAATGTACGCTCTAATTGCGACAAGTACATGACCTGTGCTGTCGTATCGAACTCTTGACACTTGTGTAACAGGCACAAGTCCAGCAGACGCCATTCGAGTGCTCCATGATATAAATGATAAGCAGGCGCCTGACACTCATTGCCTTTGGAATGCTCCGCGAAGTAGAGTATTCGCCATGTGGCCGCATCCAGGCAGCTATTGATTAGGTCACGCAGCTGAACAATAGCTGGCGATAGTGACTCCACCTGCAGCTCGTTCACTTCGTGCAGCAGCAAGTGATAATAATGGGTAACCTGTTGACGTGCCCTGTACCAACAGCTGGCTGTATGCAACGAGGATTTCGATTGTAGCTGCTGCTGACCGGCCACGGCTGCGCTGAGCTTCTGTATATTCTTGCTAAGGAGCAGATAAAGATAAATATAAATATAATATTTATATATAGTTAGTCAATGAACTCTTTAATATGGTAAACTGTTTGAAGATATTTATTAAGTTAACTTATGAAAACAGAGCCAGGCGGACAGTTTCGTGTGAAACATCTCAGTCAGATTCTTCCTTAGGGAAAGTTTCCGTACTGATATTTGCGGATTTTGGTTAATCTTCGGCATAATTAAGGGATCTGCCCGACTTTTCTTCAAGTCTGTCTTCGTTTTCCGCGCGATTTATAATATTGTAAATATTATAATATTCAACTAACTTTGAAATAAATCATTGAACCACATCAAATATCTTTCCAGGCGTTTTCAAAATGAACGTAATTCACCTTAAAAGAACGAACAGACAGACGGACAGGACTGAATCGACTCGGCTTGTCGGCCTGATCAAGAATATATATATATATATTTATATAAACATTTGCATATAACTATTATACCCTGACTCCCCATTTTTAATGGGATCAGAGTACAATTAGTACTCAACAAAAGTGCACAGCCAAATTGAAAGAATTGCAAAAGCAAACATGTATTACGGTAAAGTACCGTTCTTCAAAAAATTAGATCGAAACAGAATAGCAAGACGCAATGAGTAAACAGCTTCTTGACAGCTTGAGCAGAGTAATTTCATTTATTGTTGTTTATTGTATTACACATTTTCAGTTGTGCTCTCTTTTTTATGATCTAATTCAAAACTTATTATTAGACAATAAAGCATTGACAAATTTCGTTAATTTGAATTAAAGGCCATTTGTTTTGTACCTAAAGTAAAAATATTTTAACTTTTTTCTGTGTGTAAAGAGTTTCTTGACAAATTGTATATACTGAAATATATGTATATTACTCACCAAGCTTCGCCATGCACATAACGTAAGACAGCACATACTCTCAGCTGTTCCCGCCCAAAATCGAAACTCAGCTCTTCCAGCCGGCATCGTGGCACCGGCACTTTCAACGCATAGCAATTACGCACAAAGCTTTGCTGGGGAAAATCTGATTGTGTCTTAATAGTATCTCTTCCACTGCAGATAAACTCGGGCAACAGTTCTAATATACACTCATCGTCATCAAACTCCTCATTGATTTGTATCTCCTCTGTTGGCTCTGTCTGCGGCTTTTGTGTTGCTTGTAAGAAGGCAGTGAGTATATCCTCATCGTCATCCGATTGGAATAGATCATAATCCATTCTAGCTATTAGCGATCAGCTCATATGCAATTTGTGACAAAAACTCAGTTATGACCATTTCTTGCGAAGACCACCTTGATTAATATGTGTGTTTGTTACCATTAACGAAATCAATCCGAAAGCGCCGATAAGGTACTCGATACCACTTCGATACATTTTTTAAGTTACAATAATATTTTTTGCTGCAATTAATTTGTATATTAAATTACTTTGCTTGTAGTGCTTCCTAAATATTATATATATTTCATTTTATTGAAAAGAGAAGAAAATATACATAATAAAAAATATATTTAGTTTGGTCACCCGATGATTCATTCGATCGTTACAATGTGAAAATGGAAGCAATGGTGATGCACAAACTGTGCATTTCGATTATAATAACTATCGAATATCGATTTATTTTACAAAATCAATGTGATGCATTGACTAGCAAAGGAAGAAATTAACACGGAACGGAAGCTAAATGGAAGTCGACGAAGAAGAGTTTGAAGTACCATCCAGCAGCAGCAAAGGAGAGAAGAAACGCTTTGAAGTTAAAAAGGTATATATTAATCAAATACATATGCCAAAAATTTTTTATAAAAATACAAAATGGCGACTAATTTTTGCTTTGTTCATCGTTTCTTTCCTAGTGGAATGCTGTGGCACTATGGGCATGGGGTAAGTCTGCTCCGAAACCAAAACACGACGTAAGTTTAAAACAAAAAAAAACATCATATAACTTATTGCAGATATCGTTGTGGACAACTGCGCTATCTGTCGAAATCATATAATGGACTTGTGCATTGAATGTCAAGCAAATCAGGCGTCGGCCACCAGCGAAGAGTGCACCGTTGCCTGGGGCGTTTGTAATCATGCTTTTCATTTCCATTGCATTTCCCGTTGGTTGAAGACACGTCAGGTCTGCCCACTTGATAATCGTGAATGGGACTTCCAGAAGTATGGACACTAAGACTTGCAACGCCGAAACTCAAATTACTACTAAAACACAATAACATACAGTCGTCTATCATACACGTACATGCTTAAAAGAACAGTCAATCGGAAATTGACGTGGCCGGGTATTATTTGTGTTACAAGGTACAAAACGAGCACATTTCTAATCTATATTACATTTAGGTTAAAATACAAGAGTTGGTTTGATAATCTAATAAACTCTAATAAATTTGCATGTTTCACACAAATGACCGGTATTTTTTCAATATGATTTGGTTGGCGCTCACTTTGACTTGCTCCCAGCAGCGTAACAATCGTAAGCATGGATGCCAACCCTCCGTTTGTAAAGAGACTAGAACTACGTAATATTTAAAAAAATTGCAATACTTTAACTATGAGGAAGGGGTACCGCCAGACGATTTTTGGCGTTATATTTCAAATGTTACAACGTCAACAGAAATTAATAACAATGAGATACAAAGACAGATAATTTACAAATTTATTGTTTTATTCATTATTTCTATTGTTTTTAAATTTAAAAAAAAAGTACGTAATTTTCAAATTTTAATTTGGCATCCCTAAGCCGCAGCTTGCAGTTCGTCGAAAGTACTCTGTCCCTCGACCAAATACAACGGCATTTTTATTAGAAGAAATTTTTGCCACCAAATCTCTCTTATTATTATCGATGGAAGATCCAAATAAGTTCGCAGCACATAATCGCAAAAGTCGAATATCGCGATCATACCTCGATCACACTATTTACAATCTGCAACCTTAGCCAACAAGTTGCAAGCCAAAGCTTGCCTGTGTGTTTCCTGTAGAGAGGGAGACCCAAAAATATTGATGACAAAGTATTCGTTCAAACCTAATTTGTTTTATTATTATTATGAATGTATGCGCTGCTGCTGTGCAAAAGAATGCACAGCACAATTACATGTGAATCAGTATGTTTATATATATTAAAAAAAAAATACAAATTAAATTAAATAAAACTAGCTAATGCGACGGTGTGCATTGCGATATTTTTGCCCGCTCCACGCAAGCTGCATACTTGGCTATCCCTTACTGCGACTTCCAGGTAGAGCAACACGCAGGGCATTTCACATATATGTATTATATATACATACACATATATGTGTATATTTTATGTACTTGTATTTGTAAATATAGTATAATCGTTTTTATATCAACTAATTAATATGCTAGACTTAAAAGATCAAACTTAAGGGATAAACACAAAAAAGTAATATAATTATGCAAGTGTATTGTGGGTTGAAATGCATTTTTGCATGTATGTTTGTGTGTGTACTATGCGTAAATTTAAATTATTAATAATAAATTAAAACTAACAACATGAACTGCACAAAAAGGTCAATGAATTATTTTGCCAAGGTTCACAAAATTTATTGAAATTGCATACACACATACATGCACACATGCATATGCACTCATGCTTGTATGTATATACGTGTATGCAACTGTTCTCTCTTTCAACACAAAGAAAGAAAGAAATACAAATACAAAATGGTGCAAGAAATAACCGTTTCACAAGCCATCAAAATTGTTGTTTCGTTTTTAATTTGCAGCGTTTATTTTTGTTTGTTATTTTTTAAATATATGTTTATCTTTTTAGTTTTAATTTAAATAAATTGTAAATGTATATATATATTTATTTTTATTGAATTTTCGATTTTTTATATATACATTTATTTTTGCCTGTGTAAAATGAATTTTGGTTTGCTAATGCTTGCATGCATTTTTTCTTTGTTTATATGTATATATATATTTATTTATTTATATATATATATATGTATCTATGTATACCTATATAAGTATGTATGTATATATGTATAGGCGCTGTGTAAATTGAGTTCGAATGCATATATATATATATATATATATATATATATATACATATTTATATTTATATATATATATATATATATATATATATATATATATATATAAATATAGATGCATATAATATATTGCTTTTGTTGCTATTGTTTGCTTCTATTGTTGTTTTTTCTGCTCTACTTTGTTGGCTTATATATTCTTTTTTCTCGTTTCATATACACATACCATTTATAATTTGTATTTTATTTTCATTTCATTTGTTTTTTTTTCTTTTCAATATTGTATTAATTTAACTTTAGTTGTAAGGCGTCTAAAACCGCTGCTAATTGCGTTTGTATGTATTCTTGTGTATGGGTGTATGTATTGATGTGCATTTCATTTAGAATATATATTTGTTGTTATATGGTTGTTATTTATATTTTTTCGTTTTTCTTCTTTGTTCACGTGTGAAAAATAACGGTAGTAAGAGAGAGCTTTTGCCGTTCGTATGTGCTCCTCTGCTTCAATCAATGGCAATATAAATATTTGTTGCTCTTCCAACTGTTGTTGCTGCTGCCTTGGGCTGCGCTGTTGTAGTTGTTGTTGCTCCAGTGGCCGTTGCACTGATTTGCTTCGACTTTGTTAACAGTTACATTTCGTTTTTGTTTGTTTTGTTGTTGTTTTCATTTTAACTGTACATGATTTGTATGCGTTTTAATTCTATTCTTAATTTTTTAACTATATTGTTGCTGCTGCTGTTGTTACTATTGTAATTATGATTGATGATGTTATTATTATTATTATTAAGCTTATTTGCATTATCATTAACACCGCCACCAACTGCAACAATTTGTTTAACACACGCTTTTTTGCTACATTTATGCTTTAAATATCCATCTGCAATACCAAGAGAGATAGAGAGGAGAGAAAGAGAGAGAGAGAGAGAAAGAGAGGGAGAAAATAGAAAAAGCATAAAAGAAATATATAATCAAATGTGATTAAAAAAAACAGACTTGTTATTTTTTGTTTGCTTCTGCACTTGGGTACTGTTATACTACACCAAACTGTTAGACTCTTATTTATGCTATTAGAACAAACGGACATAAGGACTCTCGTACTCAAATAGAGTTGCCAGACTGTTAGAAGCATACACACACCTGCAGACGATACCTAATGCTAACATAGGAGGAGAGGGCGGTGTGGCGGCAGCTCCAGAGCTAGCAGCAGGCAAGGGCAGGTTTCATTTGTCGTTGTTGTTGCAGTTGTTGTTGGCAATGGCAGCAGCACAGTCAATTCGCATAGAGATCAGTCGTTGGTTATTTGTTGTTATGTTGCTGTTGTTGCTGGTGCAGCTGTGGCGATGAGGATGTTGGCTGCTGGAGCTGTTGTTCAGACAGCTTGCAAGCCTGCTGTTGCTGTTGCAGGCCCGCAAAGCTGGTTGGCGCGAGCAAAGCGCAAGTGCCAAAGGTGTGCTTGGGCATGGTCAGAAAGCTGTGCGTGCTGGATACGCTGCTTGCAGCAATTGTTGCGCCATTGCTGCTGCTAATTGTGGAGCTGTTGCTATTGCTGTTGTTGTTTATGTTGCTGTTTATGCTGTTACTGTTGCTGTTGCTGTTGCTGTTATTACTGTTGGCATGGTGAATGTTGCTATTGTGACTACTACTGCTGCTGCTAACAACAGCTTGTGCCTGCTCTGCCGAGCGTTTGGTGCCACCTAATGTGGGCTGCTGCTGCTGTTGTTGTTGTTGTTGTTGCTGATGCTGCTGGTAGTAGGCCATGTAGCTGCTGTTACTTCGGCTGCCATTCAGCTGATAGGAGCTAGCGGGCGATTTGGAGCGTGTAAAGAAATTGGTCGTCGAAGTGCAGGCCGATTGAAAGGAGCTAACGCTGGATGTTGTCGATGTGGGTGAATCGGCTGCAGGCATTCGCTGCTGACCAATTGTTGTTGTTGCAGCAGCAGCTACGGTTGTTGTTGCTGTTGGCGTTGGTGTTGTTGTTGCAATCCTTTCAACTGCATCGGATGCTGTCGATGTTGGCGTACTGTTGCTATTCAGCGACGAGTTGTTGACACTCATGCTGGTTGCCCCGCTGCTGCTGCTGCTGCTGGCGTAGGAAGCATTAAAAGATTCATCGCTCGCGCCACTGCCAGCGCCGCTGCTGCTGTTGAGCTCATCGATGCCGATATCAGTTTTTGCTGACGCATCTGTTGCTATTGTTGCTGTTGTATTTGTTGGTGGAATGTCTATTGTATGAGACTCATTGCCAAAGATTAAGCGCAGGCGCTTTTTTTGCGGTGTGCCATAGATACTGTTGGAACTGGCAGCAACTGTCGCTGGCGGTGGTGTGCTGCTGATGGTGTTCAAGCCACTCCGACGACTGCGTCGTGATTTTTCTTTATGGCGCCAGTTGCTGGCATCTAGTGGCTGCTTTTCTTGGTGTTCTGATTCTCCTGCCTCCTGGTCTATATCCTGTTCTTCATCCTCCTCGTCCTCCAGCTCGTCCGCCGCTTCTTCGTCCTCAGCATCATCATCATCATCATCTTCTTCTTCCTCCTCCTCCTCCTCCTCATCCTCCTCCTCATCATCATCATCGTTGCCATGCTCTGAAATGCCCTCCATGCGCAATATTTCATATTCAACGCCGCTGCTGCTGCTGGCATTGTTGTTGCTGGTGCTGCTGTTGTTTTGATTGTTGTTGCTGCTGTTGTTTTGATTGCCGTTATTGCTGCTGCTGTGCGTATTGTTGCCCGCTTGGCCCGTCCGACTGCCAGCAGCATGTCCATTGTGCAACGCATGTTGACGATCCTCGCCCAGACTGGTACCCAGCTCGAAAACCTCATCGAGTATCGGCGAGCGTTTCATTCTCAGTGTCAGCTTTAGCCGTCGCTCCGGCGTCTTCAAAAGCGGCTCCACAGTGCTGCTGCTGCTGCTAATTGTGGTTATTGTGGTTGCAGTCTGTTGCCGCTTGCGTTGCAGCACACCGCCAACAGCTTCGCAATGTATATGCTCAGCAGCTGCCAACGCAGCGGCACGTCGACTGCGCTTTTGTTTGTGTGGTGGCTCATCAACAGTTGTTGCTGCTGCTGCTACTGTTGCCGCTTGACGCTTGCCTACGCTGGCCAGCTCAAAGCTGGACATTAGGTTCTTTTTATAAGCGGGACTGCTGCTGCGACTACGTGTTGCTGTTGCTGTTGCTGCCGTTGCCTGTTGCTGCTGCTGCTGCTGTTCACCTGCCGCCGAGCAATTCGACGACGAGGGCATCATCATGTTTGCTAAAGAAGCCGTCGTTGCCGTTGCTGCGGCTGCTGTCGCTGCCGCTGCCAACGGCTCGCTCGGTTTTAGTTTGCGATCACTAAATCTAGCGCTAACATTATTCCTACAGCTATTACTAATATTTAAATTATTACAATTTGTAATCGTTGTTTTAATGTTGCTGCTGTTACTGTTGCTGGCAGTTGTTGTTGCTGTTGCTGCTGTTGCTGCTGCGGCTGCTGCTGCTGCCGCACGTCCTGCGCTGTTGCGTGTTACGCGCTTCTCCTGCGTGGTTGCTGGGGCTGCCTCGATGCAATGGTGCTTTTGCTGCTGTTGGTGTTGCAAATCCGTATCGCTACTTTCACTATCCGTTAGATATTTGCCTAGCAGCTGTACGGTGTCCTGATTGGCCTTTTGACGCTGCGTTTGACGCTCGCTGCGTCTTAGCTGCCGCTGTTGCTGGCGTTGCTGCTGCTGCTGCTGTTGTTGTTGTTGCTGCTGTTGCTGCTGTTGTTGTTGTTGTTGTTGTAACTGCTGCTGTTGCAGTGCTGCAGCCACAGCAGCTGGTTTATAGCGCGGTACCAGGACTACAGGCGCTTTGGCAATGGTTGCAATTGTTGTTGTTGCTGCAACAGCGGCTGCTGCTGCTGCTGCTGTTGTCGTTGGTACTATGCTAGCATAGCTGGATAGTGGCGACTCATCAGTGGATGCCGTCGATATGGTGCTGCTGGTGCTATTCACACGCATTGATTTGCGCAACGTTGCAGCAGCAATAGCAGCTCGTCCATTGCTCAGCTCGGCGGCTGCTTGTGGCTTTTGCATAGCCGTCGCTTGGCTTGCGGCCTCTGCAGCATTGCTGCTGGCTGTTGCAGCAGCCGCTGCTGCTCCTGTTGTGTGTGGCAGGTGTGTGTGAAAATGATGCAGATGATGATGATGATGATGTTGCTGCTGATGGTGTTGCTGATGCGGATGGTGATGTTGCTGCTGCTGATGGTAGGCCGCATTGGCCATTATCATTTCGGCATCGTATTTGGTCATGCCCTTCTGTCGCAGCTCCTTCATGGTCAGCGGTGAGACGACTACATTGGGCAGTTTCTTGTCCAGCGACAAGGCAACTGCATTCAGCTCCAGGCTGCTGCTCTTGGGCCTACCCACAGCAGCTGTTGCCGCTGCCGCTGCTGCTGTTGGTGCCGCAGTCCCATTGATGTTGCTGTTGCCGACATTGCTGCTGCTGTCGTTACTGTTGCTATTGGAGGTGCTATTGGTACTGTTGGCGCGACTTTTGATACGATTGATGCGATTGTCCGTCTCACGCAAACGATAGCCACCGCCATTGGCGCCGCCGGCAGCGCCCAGACCCAGCCCCAAGCCTAAACCGTTGGTCAAGCCGAGCATTGCCTCATTTAACTGATTCGTTGAATGTTTGCCAGCAAAGGCGCCTGTGCCACGTCTCTCGCACGTCTCGCACTCGCAATATCGATTGCTATCGCCAAAGAAATCCTCGCCATAGAAACACGTAATCTCCTCGCCCACCTCAATGTCACGCAACACCTTCACACATGCCGTATCCCGGCCAGTGGCGAGGAATTTGCAGTTCGCGCGGCAATCGTGATTGATGTAGGCGGCGGGTCCTAGCCACAGTTGAGCACAGTTCTTGCGGCAACTATACATCACAGAGAAATCATTTTTGCCCGAATGCAACAGCGCCGCCTCCTCGGCTTCTGTTAATTCGGCAATGCAACCGACCAGGCATTCAATTTTATCGTTCTTCGACCAACGTTTCGTTGAATTAATCTTTGCACCCCGTTGCTCTTCCAGCGAATAACGATAGCATGCCTCGATCGCAAAGCCGCTGTCCTTGTCGAACACACGCAAATAGCGTACAATCTGAGTGTATGAAATAAAAGAGTTTTTGTTTGATTAGTGGTTAAAAACAAATGTAGCTTCTTACAGATGTTGATATTTATATACATACATTGATCGAACCCCGATAAATATGAATTTTGCGAGACTTACGACTCATTTTAACTAACATTTAGTAATAAATGACAATGTTTTAGCTATCGATAATTGACTTAAGTGTCATCATCAACATCAACATTAAATATATAAATACTAAATTGATTTATTTGCTGTTAGCAATGCAGTAGTAACAATTAAAGTCGCACCATAGAATCAATATCAACATCTGAAAAGCAATTTGTGACTAATTTTAACCCACTTACATGATCGTGAAGCCGCTTGGTAGCTATCTTATTCTTATTCTTGAGATGACGCCGTATCCAGGGCCCATCATAGATGCGCTGTATGGCAATGTCGTAGTTCTGGGTGTGTATAAATTCATCGACAATCGCTTTCAGCTGCTGTGTATCTACTTTGAGGGGCCTAAAGCGTATATTCATTTTGTGCGTCTGAAAGCCCAAATGCGGATCCAATATTAACGATGTGGCGAGATCATCGTTTTCCGATAATTCGCGTGGCGACATGCCCGTCGATTGCGATAGGCGACTAACAGCGGTGCCGTTGCAACCGTTAAGGCTGCCACCCATATGAACCACTGCATTAACACCATGCGACGACGACGACGACGATGATGTTGATGATGATGATGATGTCGTTGAAGATGTTGAAGATGATGTTGCTGCTGTTGCAGAGCTAAGATCCTGCTGTTGTTGCGACTGGTAATGATGATGATGATGATGATGAGGGTGATGTTGCTGCTGCTGCTGCTGGTGTGAGTTGTTACTGCTGCTATTGTTGTTGTTGAGAGTTTGGCTTTTGGTGTTGTGTGACATTGACGACGCCGACGACGACGACGACAAAGTCGCCGCCGCCGCCCCTGAGGATGCGTTTGCAATTGAAGACGTTACGCTGGTGGAGTTGTTGCTGTTACTGCCACTATTCGTGTTGCCGCTGTTGCTGCTATTTGTATATCTGCCGGCAGTTTCACTGCGCCGCGTATGATTCGAACCGACGACCATTCTGTATAATATGCAGTCTGTAAACAGAAACGAACATAAATACAAAGAAACTTAAATTAAAAAAAAATAATTAAAATTAGCTTCAGTACTTTGACTTTACTGAAATTCAACCAAGAGTGTGACCATCTCAATTTTACAAACATATTTGGTTGCATGCAGTCCGACATTTACTACACATAAAAACAAATTTGCTTTACAATAAACATATTGCACTTTCTTATTGTTCTAATTAATGTATTTTTTGCTGTTAGTATTTTTGAATAGTTAGCAGCATACTAGACAGTATTCAAATTAATGATTTTAATGATATGGCAACTTGCTTTCGAACTGAGAAGTGAGTGAGTGAACAAGACAGAGAGTGCAATTGTAATTTTACTGTTACTGGGATTTACAATATGCTTAATTTGAAGCTCATTTCATTTATGTCATGGTCATGAATAAAATATATAAATAAAACAAAGCTTCGCTACAATTGCCTTGCCTAAATTACTTGCACAAGAATAAATTATAATACGCAATTTTCTATAGAAACAAACGAGATGGCAACACCGACTTCAAGTCAGAATATTTACACACATGCACACAGCTCTCGGAAGCAAAAGTTGTATCTGCTGACTTCGCTGATAAATGATAAGCGTACAGAATTTGTGAGCCAAAGCCAACCCAAATATTCAGCCAGACGGCTAACTAAAAACCGAAAAAGAAACGCAGAAAAAAATACCAAGCATACGTGCATACGTGCATACAATGTGCAAGCATTTCAATATGTCATAAAATGCAATTGGCGAATTCAACTTGATTAAAAAAAATAAAAATTATGGCTTCGCCCTATGTTGTGGGTGGTTGGAAAGAGCAAAAAAAAAAAATTGCGAGGTCGACAGACGGCACGCTTTCGCTCTCTCACTATGTTGACCGCTCTCTTTATACTTATACACGTGCAAAACTAAAATCAATTAACATGGCAGCACATTAGTATTAATATAATTAATACAATTGTTAGCTTATACGAATACAATGCATGTACAATAGTGTTTACCTATAATTTCGCACAACACACACAATCTATATTATAAAGCTAATAACAAAATTCATATTTATATATATATATATATATATTACAGTGGATAGCGGCTTTGTTGTATTGTCTACTGCTGCAATAATTGCAAATATGTTTATGTGTGTGTGCATGAGTGTCTGATTTTTAGGTGCCCAAAAGCTGCTGCAGCTCTCAGCTGTTTAAAAGACGGCCAGACACATGCATTCGATTGGGTGCGAGAGCGAGAGGCTACTATGCACCCATGCGCAATGCAGGCTGAATAAATGAGAGTGACCTGCGCAAGGTTGCCACTTTTGAGTCAAAGTAAACTTTGTTAAATTTACTGATTTTGCGTTGTTAAAAACATATGTTTACGTTTAGATATATGTATATGCATTAGAATTAATATTCCAAATACTAGTACCTACACAAATTAAGTGGGTTTGTTTCAGTATTTATTTTTATGGCTGCAATTTGAGACTTGTGGCAGCGCCATCGCCGATACACTACATGCACAATACTCTCTCTCACACACACAAAGGCAAAAATGTCAACAAAGAAAAAGACTGGCTGCAGGGTTGTCAAATATTTTGCAGCAACAAATGTCGCAAGTTCTGTTAGTGAATAATTGTAATTATAAACAATTTTGCCTCAGCTGTCAGTGTTGCGACCTAAATAGGAAACTTTATACTCAGCCAATTACATCACATTGAGGCATTTGTAAGCTGCAAACAACGCTCAGTTTGTTTTTAATGCGCACATTGCCAACCCTAGGTCCAGGTCTTTTTTCAGCTTGTTACATGGATCACACGGAAAATGGCGGCGCCTATTATACATATACACATGTAGATGCATACATGTATGTACCTTTAACAATATTCACTGAGGTGGTGGTGCTGCTGCTGTCTGCTTCTTTCGGTTCTGGATGATGCCGCTTTGTCTGTTGCTTCGGTAAGATCGGGTTTTCCGTTTTTCTATCTTTCCTACCGTCGTCCAGCGGCAGAGGCACTATCGTACATACACACGTACGGGGCTTGTTTTTTTTGCGGTGCGGGGCGGCTTTGTATATACTTTATATCCAAATATCACAGTTGTAGCCGTAGTAGAACATCATACGTACTTTGGCGTTTGTTTTGTTGTTGTAGTAGTCGTCGTCGGCTGTGCCAGTTCATTTTTACGTTTTTCTTTCAACGCTCAAACGCCGACGTTCTGTCCCCACCCCTCCTCTCCCTTTGTCATGGAGTCGGAGACTCTGCTCAGTAGCTAACGCACGCACACACACACACACACGCACACACGGCCGCACAACACCAGCACACAGTTAAACACATTCATACATGTGTAGATACATATATTCCTTCGCAACGACGTGCGTGCGTATGTATGTTGTATGTGTGTGCCTTCTTTTTTCAACTACTTTGCATGAACGCGACGTCTCATTTTCTTATATTTCTTTTCTATTTAAAACGCGTGTGCTATTAACGACTATATATAAATATATACACACACACATATATATATATATATATATATATATTTATATATATATATATATATTATTACAATAAAATGCGATGCCTGCGGTTAAAGAAAAAAAACACGCACGCGAGTAACGATTATTTTTAATGTACTTTTCCGCGTTACAGTTCTCCGCGATTCCGTTTTTTCGCATTTTATGTAGCAATCTGTGTGACCGACAGTCATTCATTAAGAAATACCCGAGACTTCGAAAAAAATACTGAATATAACAGTTCAATATTTTGAATGAATTCTTATATATTTTGTGGGCCCGCACCAAATACGTAGTCCGTCAAAGACAATACATTTAATGTTTGTGAATTCGTTAAAATAGTGGTATTCTGAATATAGCTGTTGTAATACCAATAGACTACGGTCACTGTTGCCAAAATAACTAAAGAAACAATTTTTCGGATATAATTAAACTAAAAACAGATATGTATATGCGTATTGTTTGTTTAAGTATGGCAGCTCTCTTGTAACGTGTTTATGTTATGATAACAGTATTATGCGGCGAAATATCGTAAAATACTGTCAATGTTTATTTACAATATCAATTGGTAAACAACTGTAACTTGACTAAGCGTGGCAGGACCAATGCAAAATTTGCTGGTTTCTATATACAACACGTTAATTCCCGTTGTCCATTTAAAAAACAGCTTAATTTAAGTAGTCTGGCATCACTCTTTTTAATATGATAAAGTTATATTTACATGCTGCGCCGAATATTGCTGTTAACATAACATATCCTAAAAATGGCCGAGAGTACAAAATTAACTGTTGTCGGTGTTTATTTACATATAAAAAAAGGAAGTCGGTATAAATGTTTTTGCCTGTAATTCGATTGGCAGACAACTGCGACGCGACTAATCAAGGTACAGCCAATGCATAATGCGGCTATATCCGTATTTAGTTGCCGCCTGCTGCATCCACGTGCTATGCGCTAGCAACCATTGGGTGCTGAAGGACGAGCGAATTGTTCAAAAGTTGGATTCGCCATTCTTTATGCGTGAGCCAAACAATTTGATTGCCTTTCTGGAGCAGATACGCTACAATGAGTATGTGGAGCGCAGTTATTTGGAGCTGTTGCGCAAACGTGAACAAATTGTCGAGCATTTACGCTTTTCTATGCGTTTCGGCGAGGATTTGGCCGAGCAAGCCAAATGCGCCATGGATTACTATTTGCTGGAGAAGCGTATGTCCTATCTAAAGATAACACCGGATCAGCTAAAACGCATAAATTTGCCGGAGCAGCGTGAATTACAGCAACCCTTGCAGCTCGCCGGCATCAAAAGCAAATACAATCGTGATCTGGAACCGATCTGTAAGAATTATCAGGAGTTGAGCGTAGGTCCGGCGACGTATGATCATTTGGATAGTTTTCAGCCGGAGGTGCTGGAATCGGCATATGTTGAGCGGGAACATGATACGAACATTGGTCAAGCCACCGTTGAGCTGACGCGCCGTTTTGCTCTCGACGGCCTACAAAGGCAGCCGGATTCATGGAAATTTCATACGCTTAGCTCCTACTATTGGCGGATGCGTGGCAATGCATTGCAGGCTCTACCCTGTGCCCGTCTAGCTGTTATGCTAGCTCCACCCGAACACAAGGACATTCCACTCTTAAGTCTCGGCACCATACTCTTTCGCATGGGTCGACTGGCCGATGCGGATCTTATATTGAGTGCTGCGGTGGAGCATGCGCCGCTCGTGGCTGAGAATCATGTGGTATTGGCTTCGGCGCTGGCCATGAAACATGACTTCAATCGTTCGCAATTCCATTTCGATGAGGCGGAACGCTTAGATCCAAGCACCTTGCCACGCACACAGCAGGTGCGAAATTTCATCAGCTGCTTAGAGAATCTCACAAAGAAGACATCGAAAATGTACAGCTATGTGAAATACATGAAGAACGAGCTGAAAGAGTTCAAGAAATTGAAGCAACATATCTTCCAAAATCACGAACGATTAATTCAACAGCAATTGCCGCTGGGCGCACGACGTTTCCTCGACTCCCGGGCCAATAACGAGGACCTGCATCGACGTGGACAATATTGTAGTACGCGGACGCCGAATGGCTCCGATGAGCCGGTGCTCTTCTGCGACTTCTATTCAGATATGCAGATGCGTTTGGAGAGCAAAGACATTGATATCGAGGTGCTCGAGCGGGATCTGATGGCCAGCACGGAAAGCGTCATTCGCCAAGTCTCCACCGAAATACGCAAGCAATTCAATTTGGAACAGCTGAAGGCAGCCAAGGCCCAAATGCCAGCAAAGGCTTCCAAGTCCACGTAGTCGGAGACCCTCAAACTCCTTCTCTTCCTTTCTTCAAATTGCATTCCATAATAAAAAGAAGAGGAAGACTCGAAGGGGAAAAAAAGTGTAAAAAAAAAACAGTTTTTGTCACAAATCCGCTTTTAAAATGTTTATTATACTATTTATATTAAGTCATCTCGTATGCTCTTTAAGTGTATATACTTAACTATAATATATCTAGATATATATACAATAAGTAGTTATAATATATATATTTTTATTTTTATTTGTAAATTGGATGATTTTGTAAGCCAAGTTTTAAATTTTTTATTTTTATTTTTTGGACGTTCTTTTATTTATAAACTATTGTTTTGAATTTAGGACTTAAGCTTGAAAACATGTAATTATAAATTAGTTGTCAAATACGATTTTTTAAATTAAAAACTTATTTAATTTTGGTTTTGTTTTTTTTTTTATGTTTTATTTGTATTCTTTATTTACTTTTTTCGCTGCATTTTTTAAATTTACTTCTAGTTTTAAAAATATTGAAAATTTGTTTAATAACCAACAAATATATTGAAAGCTAATTCAAACATTTTTTACATTTCGATTTTAAATATATATTTTTAGCTGGCTCTAATTAGTTTTGAACTGTTTTCTGATATTTATGGAATTTGTTTATTGTTAAATAACGTTATTAAATAATGTAGCTCGTAGATAAAGTCAAAATATGATTTAAATAAGGAATGGAATTGTTTACAAAATACGTAAAACAATTTTTAAATACATATATAATGTATATAAATAAATATATTTATTTTTAAGATTATATATTATTTACAAATATATACATATATTCACGTAAATTTTGATATATATTTCTTAATTTTAATTAAATTAGTCTTAAAAGAACAGAAAAAATACTTTTTAATTTTGGTTTTGAAACCATAATAGTTTTTATTTTAAAAATAAATTAAAAATTAAAAAAATATACAAATACATATATTCACGTAAATTTTGATATTTATTTCTTAATTTTATTTAATTAAAGTCTTAAAGGAACAGAAAAAATACTTTTTAATTTTGGTTTTGAAACCATAATAGTTTTTATTTTAAAAATAAATTAAAAATTAAAAAACAACAGCCTAAAATTTTGCTTTGGCAAAGTAAGAAATTAAATATGTGACAACATTTATAAACATAATATTTGTTTTTTTTTTTTCTAAATTAGCGTCTTAATAGAGATTAGAGAAAACGAAAAATATAAATTAAAGGGTTTTTTGTATTCTTAAACTGTACGCCTTAGCTAGGTTTTACTGTGCCCATGTGTCACTTCACCAGGGAATCTCTTTAGTTTCAAGCGCCTGCAACATTTGAGCGAGACTTGCAAAGCTGTGTTTGGGCACCGGCTGCAATTGCTCCAGTTGGAGTTGCTGCTCCTCCTGCACGAGCAGACTACACCAGCCGCTATTACGTGCTCCCATATAATCCATATCAAACTTATTGCCAATGTGCAGCGCTTCGGCTGCCTCAATATTGTGACCCTTTTCCAAAGCCAATTGAAAAATGCCGGAATTTGGTTTCATGACGCCAGCGTCGTAGGAGTTGATAATAAAATCAAATTTATCATTGAAGCCCATGGCGTTCAGCACCTGGCACAATGAGGGATCAAAATTAGAGATGATACCCACACATTTGCCGGTATCTCGAACGCGTTCCACAAAGTTGGTAGCTCCTTCGATTCGTGTCCAGCATGCGCTGGTGCGAAAGATCTGTAGCAGCTGCTCGGCTACCGTTTGCAGTGTTGCCTTCGATAGATTGGCATTGGCGCAAGTGAATGTATCGATTACCAACTGGTGCCACCAAGTTTGCCAATTCATGTTTGGCGAACAACTTCCAAAATTGGCGTGCGCTTTGCTCATTAATTTAAAGTGCTGTCGAAAGCAGGGTTCCAGCTGCTCTTGGGTTATGCCAGTTATTCCACATGCTGCTGCCGTTTGGACATATTGCTTGATCGGATCTTTAAGACGGAGCAGCGTATCGGTTACGTCAAAGGTCACTAAACGGAATCGCTGTAAATTACGCACGAATTGAGCGGTTAACGGCATTATGGCACAGCAGTATAATAGAGTTTCTATAGATTGTCTACCATACAATTTACTACAGTATTTTTCTGTTTGCTTGTGACGTCACAAGCTTCGAGCGTTGATAGTACTGCTGCAAGTGATCTGTAGTAAATTTGAAAAGTTATTAATTTAATTTCATTAAAGTGCTCTACCAATTGTTAAAGAATGATTTAATGCTCGCTTTGTCTTTTTTTTTTACCTTTTTTACCTTATTTAACATATATTTCTACAAGTATGTATAGTAGTTTTTGCTTGCATTGACGTCGCAAAAACAAATCGACTCACAAGAGGTACTCTAAATGAGTTCAATTAGTGCTCAGGAAATTACAAAATAGGAATGCTGATTGATTTTGTTTTAAGCTATTATATATAGCCTAAAGTATATAATATATGGTATTGTCCAGGTTGTTACCCTGTGTTTTTTTTCCTTTAGATGTGCACAGCGTACTGCTTACCAGGGGTCTTGCTTTAAATTGTGGTATATTAATAATGCTACTTTTTGGCATTTGTCAAAATATTTCCAAGTGCCGGTCACACTGCTTTGCAAAATTGCAATATCATTAGACAGCTTCGAGTTTATAAGGCAAAAACGTTTATGTTTATAGTTTATTAAAAACTTTTGAAAAACAAACAGCAAAGATGACCGTGACTGCCGCACCATGCAACGAAAGTATTCGTGAAAAGGCCCTGTCCGACTACAGAAAGAAGCTGTTGGAGCACAAAGAAGTTGAGGGGCGACTGAAAGAAAGTGGGTACAGCATTAAAAACGAACATTTATTTATTTAAATAATGAAATATATTTAAATTACGTAGAACGGGAGGAACTGAAGGAGCTGACAAAACTATATGATAAATCGGAGAATGATTTAAAGGCTCTGCAAAGCGTGGGCCAAATTGTTGGCGAGGTGCTGAAACAATTGACAGAGGATAAGTGTAAGCCGACTATCTTATACCTCCTTTAATATATAATATAGTTTGCTATTTATAGTTATTGTGAAGGCCACAAATGGACCACGCTATGTGGTAGGATGCCGTCGCCAGCTAGATAAGGCCAAATTGAAGTCTGGCACACGCGTTGCTTTAGATATGACCACTTTGACCATAATGCGATATCTGCCACGCGAAGTTGATCCGTTGGTCTACAACATGTCCCATGAGGATCCTGGCGATGTCACCTATTCGGCAATTGGTGGTCTTACAGAACAAATACGTGAACTACGAGAAGTTATCGAATTGCCATTACTTAATCCTGAGCTGTTTCTGCGCGTTGGAATCACGCCTCCAAAGGGCTGCTTGCTTTACGGTCCACCTGGCACAGGTAAAACTTTGCTCGCACGTGCAGTTGCGTCCCAGCTGGATGCGAATTTCCTCAAGGTTGTCTCCTCGGCCATTGTGGATAAATATATTGGCGAGAGCGCACGCTTGATACGTGAAATGTTTAATTATGCACGCGATCATCAGCCGTGCATCATATTCATGGATGAGATTGATGCGATTGGTGGACGCCGTTTCTCAGAGGGTACTTCTGCCGATCGTGAGATACAACGCACACTAATGGAGCTCCTCAATCAAATGGATGGCTTCGATTCGTTGGGTCAAGTGAAAATGATCATGGCCACCAATCGACCAGATACGCTGGATCCCGCTCTACTACGTCCAGGTCGCTTGGATCGTAAAATTGAAATTCCCTTGCCAAATGAGCAAGCACGTTTGGAGATCTTAAAGATTCATGCGCTTAAGATCGCAAAACATGGCGAAATTGATTACGAAGCTATAGTCAAATTGTCCGACAATTTTAATGGCGCCGATTTGCGTAATGTCTGCACCGAGGCAGGCCTCTTTGCCATCAGGTAATATATCTATTTAACTCTAGCTCTACAGGCTAGCTCTATACATATATATATCAACTTATTATATATATACTCATCTCTTTTACAGAGCTGAACGAGAATATGTAATTCAGGAGGACTTTATGAAGGCCGTGCGCAAAGTCTCCGACAACAAGAAGCTGGAAAGCAAATTGGATTACAAACCAGTTTAATTTTTCTTTAAATATTAAATATATAAATAACATCTCTGCAAAAAGAATTAACTAAACAAAATATATATATTTAAATGAAATGGAATCTTTTTAGTTGAAGAAGAATTTATTACAAATTTGTTAATAACATTGGCTATTAACAGTATCACGGTTATATACATATATAACGCAGGCTGCTTTGCAATCCTTGTTTACAATACGCAGATGGCGGTTTGTAAATATAAAATTGATTTATTTCTTATATTTATATATTTCTTCTTAAAACTAGGCAAAGTCTCAGTAATGCTGCTCCTATTTTTGCGGTAAATATTTTTTTTGAATAGAATAGTTTCCTGTTTCTGTTGTTGTTGCCGTTTCACTTCCTTTCTTGCTGTGTGTATCCTTTCTGCTGTTTCTATTGATGTTATTCTTGTTGCTGTTCATGTTATGTCGGCTGCTATGGTTGTTGTTGTTGCCTTTGCTGTTAATATTGCTGCAGCATTACTTGCTGCTGCTCCTCCCGTAGGTTTCATTTCTGTTGTTGGTGTTGGTCCTCGATGCGTCGCTTTTTTCGTTCCATATAGTCGCTTATATTATCATAGCGCTTCTTAAACCAAACGGATAGATCGTCTGGCACGCAGTTTTGCCCCGCAAAGTTTTCCATGACCATGTTCAGCCAACCTTTTGGCACGGACTCCGCTTGTTTGCCATCGGTGATGTTGTATACGTGCAACGTTAACCGCTCGTTTAGAGCACCAGCTACATATATCCGATCGCTGGTCAAAGCAAAATTGCTGATGTTCCAGTTGCCTGCCTCTGCGCGCACTAAAGACTCCTTGGCTATTGACCAGACAGCATCTTTAAGCTCCAATTCGTAAAGGCCAATTGCTTCTACATGATCGTAAAATAGCACGGCTAACAGATACCGCTTGGAGGAGATTAGTTCACGCATCTGAAGGCGTACAACTGGTGCGGGCAACTGTTGCTGCAGTAGCTCCTTGCCCGTCATATAGTTCCACAAGCGCAACGTTTTATCACCTGATGTGGATATCAAAAGCTGTTCATGGCCTGGTAGCAATGCCAGTCCTGATACAAACTCCTTGTGGCCCAGACAATAGCTGTGTATATCGTGGGTAGCAGGATAGTTGGTCACTCGAATTTTATCATCCCGATCGCAGGTGATGATATGCTTCTGATCCGGTGTCCACAGAATATCGTAAACAATGCTTAGATGGCCAAGTAGTAGTTTAGGCGGTGCCTCTACCTCCACGCAATCGTATTGATGGCAATCTCCGGTCTTGTCTGTGACCAGAACGGAGCTGGAGTCGGGTGCAAATGTTATAGCGCTAGAGGCACGTGCCAAGCTACGTGCAGATAGCAGCAGCGCATGCTCCGGCCGGCTTTTGTAGAGCAGCAGAGCCTTTTGCCCGGCTGTAGTTAGTGCAATCAGTTGTCTGTCTGGTGAATAGCAAACATTTAATATTGACACCTCTAATTTTGTACATGTTGCTTTCGGCTCGCCCTCATCCGCTGCCTCAATCTTAAGTCCACATGTGGTCAAGTCATCTGCAACTTCGATGTCTTTGAAGATTTGCAAGTCATCGGGATTGAGGAACAGCACTTTGCGTCCATGGCCAAGGACTAATTCGGGTTCAGTGTAAAAAATAGTTGTCATTTCTTCTGAGTCAACCAACGGGAGAGAGTTGTTTACGCCTCCATGTGAAAGACAAGCAATAGGCTACAAAGCAGTGACTGAGTCACGCATAAATAACAATTCGCACTTACTCAGAAAATATCAACAAGTGGCAACACTCGTGATTGACAAAGTGCAAAGAAAGTAACTTTCTAATAAATAATGAATTTAACCTATTATTTATATATTTTTTTAAATATATATATAAATTAATATATATTTTTTTAAATTTATTTGGCACACGTAAGCCACAAATTCAAAAGTGACATTTGACTTTCAAATTCAGCGGTGATGGCATTAGCAGGCATGCTGTCGATAAGTATACTTTTAATGTAATCAAATGGCAAATGGTGGCAGGGCGGGCATACGTTTAATTACTAGTTATTTAAATTGTGATTTAAATGTGATTTTTTAAAATAGTAAACAGCATTAATGTACAATAAAATTGTTTTATTTCCTAAGAATCATAATACTAATAAAAAAAATGTGTTAAAAAAAGATCTATATACAAATTACGGCAACAAGAGTTTGAGTGTCCTGGCTACGTGCTTATACCAATAATCGACTCAATTGAGAAACTCAACTTAGGTTTCTTGGCGATGGGTGTTGGCGTGGGTGTGAGCGTAAAGTGCGGCATTGATTGATATGCCTTCTGCTGCTTCTGTTGCGCGACAGCAGCTGCTGTGGCGGCATTGCCTAATAGATCATAAAAGGCGTTGCCAATTGTTGGCGGCGTTGCCAAAGGAGTTGCTGAGCAACCGCCGCCGCCACAAGCGGAGCTGCCAAGGAGCGTTGTATCGATTGCGTAGTTCAGTTCTGGATCAGCGAACGCGCGCCGCTTGCGCATGCGTTCAAGTAACGGCGAATTGAACGTGGGAAAGCGCTGTTTGTACTCTGCAATGGGAACAAGAAGATGAGAATGGAGGCAGGGCAATAGAATTGAAATTACACGCTACAAGTACGTAAGACAAGGAAGGAGTGATATCTCTCTCTCTCTCTCTTTCTTTGACGTTGGCGTCAAATTTGTTGTACAAATTGCTTTCCAATTGTCTCAATTCGTTCAGCACACTGAAGGATTGTTGTGTGTGTGAGTGCACTTAGAGAAAAAAGTAAGCATATTGGAATTTCATGAATTATAATTAACCATGCTTCAATATTTTAATTTAGCTATTGAATGGAACTAAGGTAAAAACATATATTTTATATTTCAATGACAATATAAATATGAATTCTGATTGCATTTGAGTTTCATACAGTGTTTTTCTCTGCGTGCAGCATATGGTAATTGAATCGTAATTTGAGCTGCACAGAGCCCAATATTCAGACCCTAGACCAAAAGACCATAACCAGACAGTACGGCACCAAAAATTATCTGCGTGGATTTTCGTTCATGTCTTTACTTGGAAACCAGATGGAAAAATTGTGAAAAAATTGAAATTCCATTGGTTGTTTTTGTTGCCCCGTTGACTTTTGCCACACATTTGCTTCAAGAGGTTTTTCCGCTTTCGCGTATCAATTTACACAAATGAAAATTGGGCTTGGCCTACAGATTGGACGTTTCTTTTATCGTCCCCTCTCTTTTCTGTTCTTTTCTAATTTTTTGACATAACAGGCAATATGCGTGCATACGACAGGCATTCAATTTCAGTGGGTGACGTTTTAACAAATTTGTTGCTCCTTATTGTGTGTTGATTTAGTAACGAATCAGGCATTTCCTGTCGCCCATAATCTCTATCTCGCTCGCACACTGCTTCACACTTTGCTCATATTACAAGCCTTGCCAGACAGTCTGGCACCGCATGGCGAGCGTTTGACTTGGATCAGTGCTAGCATGTTAGCTGTTTTATAGCTAAGTCAAGCACTTTTGACAGCTTAGTAGCTTGTACATTTAATTATGCCTTGATTCGATTTAAACTGAACTAATTGAAAATATATTTTTAATCTTACGGCTTCCAATTCTGAGACTTCATGTTTTTGGCATTGCTCAAAATCTTTGAACGCTAGGAACCTACCATTTTGATTCGACAAAAACTATTTTGTAAACTTCTACAAATGGAAGACAGAATGTATCAGAAAATAAAAATCAAGGCTGATCATTCCTTTTTGTTTCATAGACACTTACATTGTTTGTAGCTCGTCTTCTAAGGTAGTTTGAGCCTTCTTAAGACAGCTGGCTTCGTTTTGGCTATTTTAATTTGGGGCTTACTTAAGACAGTCTTTTTATAGCTATTTTTTAGCTCTACTTAAAATACTTAGCCTTTTTACACCCATTATTCTACTAAAGACACGTGGCTGATTTTTAAGATAAGTTTGCTCTTTAGCTGTTTTTCGCCTATTTGACCGATTTGGGTTGGCATTCAAAGTAGGTCTTCACTGATTTAGTTACGCTTACCTTCCATTGCAGCTGTGATGTGCAGCGTGGACTGCTGCAGATTTCGCAGTCTCTGCTTGTAGATGCGTTTCTGGGCAATCAACGCTTGACGCGTGCGCAACGTATTGGCTGCCATTTGACTTGGTTTGGTGGGCGTCATTTGCTGCTCCTCATCGCTGGCCTGCTCCACGGCGACATGCTGCGACATTGTTTGACTGACCTCCAGAGCTTCCATAGTTTGTTGGCGTCTCAATGCAACCTGGGCGGCCATCACACGCTGCCGATCCACAACTAGCTGACAATTGGGGCAACAGCATTCACGCCAGCGGCAAAGCTTCTTGTGACCCTTAACACAGGAGATGACGCCATGATTGCGACAGCGGGCGCACTTGGGTGTTCTCAACAGGCGACGCTCCTTAGCGCTGGCCAAATTAACCGAAAGAGACTGCATTATCAACTGAGACAGAGCGAGAGAGAGAGAGAGATATCTAGATCTAATCAGCTAAACGTTCAGCTAACAACTGAAAGGATCTGGCGCACGTTTTCACTTATTTAAAATACAATCACAAAGGATCGCCTGGCTGCTCGCCCAGACAGTCCGACGACGTCAAGTGGTCTGCCCTGCTGTGTCTGCCTCTGTCACTGCCTCTGCTTCTGCTTCTGCCTCTGGCTCTGTCCGCCCATTGGCTGCTAATCGCATCGTCTATAAATAGATGATCCAATGGCTGCACAGCTGGCTGCCGTCAACTAAATTGAAATTGGAAATTCAATTGAAAACCGCACAAAAGATACAAATGTATCTTTTTGTGCGTTCTTTAAGATACAAATGTATCTCTCATTTTTGTTTAGCTAGGATACAAATGTATCTTTATGTTTATTCAGATGAGATCAATATGTATCTTTGCAAATGCATCTCTTATAGCTGTTTAGCTGAGATACATATGTATCTTTATGTATATTTAACTGAGATACGAATGTCTCTTTATGTTTGCGCAGCTGAGTGACACAGATCTATATCTTACTCCTATCTACATGTCAAATTTAATGTCTTTAGATCTCATAGTCTTCGATGTATGCTTGACAAACGTATCTTAAACCAGAATAGATGAGAGTACCTAATAAATGTGATAATGTTTCTTGCTGCTAGTGGTGTTCAGGAATATATATTCAAAATTGGGGCAGTTCAGGCTTCACACTTCTCGAGATTTGCACTATATATATGCATTATCAAAGCTGAAAAGGCAATCTTAAGAATGTTTTATATGGCTTCTTCCAGATGTCTTTAAGCAATAGTATATAAATCAACCTCTCTCTTGTTGTTGTTGTTTTTTTTATTTACTTCAATTTGATTTTTTATATGTATAACGACGATTTGTAGCATGTTCATTATATATCATTACATTTATCCAATATAGATATATATGGCATTTATATAGTATGGTATATGTATAATTTATTTTTAATGTATATATATATATATATATATACATATAACTATATATATATATATATGTGTGTGTGTGTGCATATATCGCACTTATATGCATGTATGTAAATACAAATTCAACACGAAAAATTAAATTAAATTCCATTTTGTAACAATTTTTTTCTTTATTTTGTATTTCAGTTTTTAAATTTTATTTAGTTTTTTGTTTTTTTTTCTTTCTTGCTAGTTAAAGTACAAAACTGTTGTTAATAAACTTTTAAGCACAATTCTTTCTTATATCAGATATAGCTGAGTTGATTTTTAGTATATATACTCGTTTTATTTAATCATTCTTGGTTTAAAATTTGTTTATTTCTTATTTGATTTACTCATTTATAAATTTGTTTTAAGTATAAATAATATTATTATTATTTTTTTTCTGTATATATATTATTATGTTGACTATTTTTATTTTTAAAGTATATATAATAATATAACTTTGTTAAAATTATAAATATTGATTTATTAATTTTTGTTAAATCATTTTTATATTTCTTTTAATTTTTTTTTTACTAAGTCTAGTTTATGTTATTTTTCAATAAATTTGTTATATTATTTTGTTTAGAATAATTAGTTGAAATATTAAAGCTGCTAAGGTTTATGCCAGGTTTTTTTTTGATTTGTTGGTCATTTGTTTACCTACTTTTTAAATGTGTGGATTATGCAGAGATATAGCAAAATTGGATAGATCCGTGATATATGTTTATAGAGGTGCGGAACTGGACTAAGTGAATAAATATAATTGAATTTATATTGTAATATTTTTTGGTTTGTTTTGTTTTAAATGCTTGCAAATTTATTGTCTTTTAACTATTTTCTGTTTATTGCTTATCCAAAACTAAGGAGATTCTCGAAAAAAAGTACCTTAGAACTCTGAACTTTGGCTTACATCTGTTGATCTGTGGATTATCATATATATTTGTAATACATTTCGTAAATACTTGCTGGTTTCTCAAATCAATAAAAAGTTCAAAAATAAAACCCAATAAATATAAATCGAATATACAATTAGCTAAATCTGAATTTGGTGCTTCCTCTTGTCCCAAATGCAATAAACTTTTTTAAATTATTCATGTTTTGTTTCTTTAATATTTCAACAATGATGATTGCCAGTAAACGTACTATCTATTCATAGAATATATAATGTATATATATCATTTATACCTTCTTTATACGACAACGTCTGTAGCCAACTGTAGCTTGAGTTATTCACATTAATTTTTATATAATTTGTTTATAACAAATATTTTGTATGTCTCGATATCCTTGCCAAAACTATTGAGCATGATATATTGGTGGTATGATTGATGGATGATTGATACTTACATCATTTGATTTGGTTCTTTAATTTTATGAAGTGTTTGAATAACAAATCAAAAGTTAGTCAATCATTCAATCTATCGCATCAATCTTTTTGAACACATGTATGTATATGCCACCTAAACAATCAATCACTCAATCGATCAATCATTTTTCTTTTAAATTTGTATGTCAACTGAATGAATGCATATCAATCAATCAATCAATCAATCAATCAAACATTTAGTTTACTTCTTCTAGTATTGCAAGGGTATTGCATCTTCGGCTTGCCGAAGATTAAATATTCTTTTATATTAAATTTCTTCGTTTTTCTCTTCTTTTTCATTTTGTATTTTCGTTGCTGAACGATAATTATCAATATCGCTATTTAGTATAAATGCTTGATAACAATGGGTGCATGAAGAATTCAGTTTAAGTATATTGTGCATAAAGACGACTATAGTCTTTCGGTATATAGTGTATATATAGATATAGATATATATGTATATGAATGTGTGATTTAGTTAATTTAGGCTCGATTTGTCCTTTGGTGCTGGTTTAGTTTAGGTATTTGATTTTTGGTTGCTAAAGTTGTAGTTTGTGGTATCTGGTAATACGCATCTATATGTAGTATGCCCTATGTAATAGGTAATGCCTAAAGTCTAATTGCCCTATGCCGAATATGTTCTAGGAAATCCTCTGTAAAAAAGTAAAAAAAATGCTCAGCGCTAAAGTTAGTAAATGCAATGTAGAGGGTTGTTCTTTTGACGGCAGGTAGAATCCGGGGAGACACTTCAGTACGCCTGGGATAGTGGGTAGGAACTTAAGGTAAGGTATAGGGTTAGGCTAGGTAACTGTTGGACTGGACTCTCATGGCGGGCTGTGATGCATTGTGGAGAGCATCTCACATCTTAAAGTGCTTCTTTACTTTGTGTTTCCTTCCTACTCGAGCTCTGTTTTGAGTATATGGATCCAATCCAGGCCTTGCTCCAAATTCTGCATTAGTTACAACCGTACCTCTAGATGGCTAGAGAGCCATCTTGAGTCCGTGCGTCAGTTCTGCCATTACTCCAGTCCATGCTACAGTTGAGACATTAGTTATTTATCTAGTTGATACTCCACTTCACATCAACTATTGCTATGGGTTGGGCTCCATTATTTTCGTGAATTATTGATCCAGTTTCCTTCATCGCCTGCCCTCCGTCTTCTCTGTCACTTCACTTTCGTTTCCTCTACCAATTCTCTTTCCGCATCCGTCTTCTAACAGCTTCCGTTTGCCGCCTCCTCTTTGCATTTCTTTCGCAACTGCTATGCATCTTTCCTGTCTTCTCTTTAGTCATTTCGGCGGCTGCTGGCTCTCCCTTCCTCGCTTAGACGATACTATTGCGTTTAGCGCTCGCCCTTTGAAGCGTGCTCTGCATGGCAGCCACCACAGCCTCAGCGCCTCCAATAAAGATCGGCTGATTGGCGGCACGTCGTAGCACATGCCACATGGCCACGGGCTTGCGCAAGGATGAGAGCATCTGATGCCAATGACGCAGACCCTTGCCTACGGCACAGCTACCGGCAATGACATGACCCAAAGGAACAATAGCCCCATTGTCCGTAACACCGAAGACGGTAAGACGCAACTGAACTGTGGTCAGGCCCTGGGGCGGCACACTGAAGATCATCGATTCGTTGAAGATGGGACAGCGATCCTTGCGCTTTAGCGACGTGCGCTTCTTCAGCACCTTCTTGTCATTGTTCATCAGATAGACCTAGACAACCGGACGAGCCTTGGTTAGCAATCTTAGCGCAGGGGCCGTTTCACTCACCTTCACAAAGACGTGTTGCAGTGCGGTCTGCTCCGGTGATCCGTTGTCCAGCTCGAGCTTTAGATTGCGCGCCTTGACCACGACTATGGTTAAACGCTCCGCTGTGGGCAGATAGCTCAGCGAGAACATCAACTCTCCCCAGCGAGCGTTGCATTTGCGTGAATCAGAGAGCGGAATCCATGTGGTAATCGGTCTAGCCATCTCGCCAATCTCCATCTCCGCCTCCCCGATCAGCGTGTGGGCGGGCCCGTTGTGATACAAATGGAACCAAAGTGAGTGCCTGCCCGCTTGTCGCTTCAATCGAAAGTTGAAGCTCTCATTGTATGCGGGCGTCAGCGTCGAACGGACCACCTGTCAAGTAAGGATCAGAGGGGATTGAAATGTATCCCAGGGTAGGACTACTCTAATGCCTCTAATGCCTGTCTGCTGCTCACCTTGGTCTGCATGCCACCCGCGTGATCGGGCACCAGGTAGATGCGCACAAATGTGTCCAGCGAATCCAGGCCCATGCTAAGCGGACAAATAAGTCCCTTGGCCTCGAGCACACTGACCGTCAGCTCTAACTGGTCCTCGCTGTGCCTGAACAGCCAGAAAGAGTTTAATTTCAAGGATAACCCATTGGGCATTAGTCACTTACTTTTCGTATTGAAGGCCGACGCAAAGATAGCCTGTGATTTGTGTGTAGGGCTGATCAAGCTGATCCAAACATAAGGAAGACGCATCCGAATTGACCGACTCACAGGAGATTGCATGCTCCAGTTGCATGCCATCGATGGAGCCATCTAGCGACACTTGCGAGCTGTTGCGCCTGCCTAGACCCAAGCTAATGCTCGATTCCTGTCGCAGTAGCGAACGCCCAAAGCACCAGGTGGAGTTGCCATTGCCGTTGCCATTGCCATTGCTCAATCCGTTGCCGTATCCATTGCTCAACCCATTGCCAAGGTTCAGGCCGTGGCCATTGGGCAACTTTCGAAATAAATAATCCTCCGAGATGGTCTTCTGCAGCATATGTGGCCCCTTCACCCGCTGCGTTAGACCCGTGAAGGGATTGTTGGTGTTGTGCAGCTTCAGCAGACGGCTAGAAAGGCTTTGACCTTCGTGCACAAAGGGATTGCCATTGGAAACAGGGGCAGGCGTTGACTCGACCTTAGGCTGAGATTGAAGCTGAGGTGAGGGCTGGGACTCAGGCTGAGGCTGAGGATTGAAATGAAGATCAAGCTGACTCGGAGGCAGTTGCTCTGTGGACTCGCATAGAAAGGGATTTGTGCTGGAGTTGCGACGTTTTAACGCAGGTGGACGACGCTCCACCTTGGACTCCACGGGATTTTGAACATGCGTTGCTTCCGTGCTGCGGTTAATTCCCTGCTGCAGAGAGATCTGCCGCTTGGCAATGGGTCGAGGTATGGCCGTCGCAGACAGCGTCACGGATGCAGACGTCGTTAGTCTCGGTGCTGGAGGCGCCTCCAACGGTTGTGGCAACGCAGCACCTGCAGCCGCTGTGCGCAGAGGGGAGCGCTGCGAACTGGATCGTGCCTCTGATGCCTCATTGAGCTGGCTGAAGGAGAAGGTAACGGTCTTGCTGCTGGGTCCGGCACTATTCGGAGCGGGTGCTGGACGCAACGGCTGTGGAGGAATACAAACATCCGCCTGAGGCAGATTCCACAAGGGAGTCGTCGAATCTACTGCATTGTTTAGCAGCTGCTGCTGCTGTTGCAGTTGGAGCTGCTGCAGTTGCTGCTGTGACCGATTGTGATCGTCCTTGTCAATGGTATCGAAGCGCTTGAAGCTGCCGCTAGTGCTCAGCAAAAACTCCGAGCCGGATTGGATCTGCGCAGGAGTGAGGAGGATAATTAGAACACTCAACCTCGATCTCGACTCGACAGGTGCTACTTACACTTGCCATATAGCCATTGGGATGAAAGAGCTTGTGCTTGTGATTGGACAGTCCGATTTTCTCCTCCTTACTGGATCGTATACGCATCCAGCTGGCGGCACGTGGACCCAAGCAATGGCATCCCAGCAGCACGAACATCAGCAGCAGCAGCAGCAACAGCGCGAGGCTGGTGAATGTCAGCGACAACGGTGTCCCGTCCATTGTATCTGTAACCAGGTAACTTGTGAGCCAGGTAGCCAGTGAAAGCAATTGCCAGTTCGTTCAGCAGCTACTGCTGGTGCTCGCAGTGCATATTTCCACTATTGAATGAAAGCTGAAAGGAAAGTAAGGAAAGTATAATAAGAGATAATAGGAGCAGAAGGAGAAGTGTACAACGAGCTTAGCTTGACTCTGTTGCTTCGCTATTCATCTCTTCAGCAATTGCTGAAATTTATTCAGCTCTCTTTTCATTTATCCTTGGTTGTACCTTCCTTTTTTTCCTTTCTATTGAAGCGATATTTTTCCTTCTAAAGAAGCGATATTTTTGCAACTCTTGCCCACTCTACTCTACTCTACTCTGTGAATGAATCCTTGGTGCGACCCCTTCACTTCCAAGGCTTGCTCTATATTCTTTATCCAAGCTAAAGCATCTTCTTCTGGGCTGTCCTACCTCTGTCAGACTATCAGTTGATAACTATACTTCCTTAACTCCTTCTTCTACCACATTTCTTTTACCTGGTATTGTTCCATTTACATTGTGCACACCTTCTCCATCCTTCCCCCACTATCGATTTGCGATTGTTTATTTTTAGTCTCTTTAAATTTAGTCGATAAACTTTTACTTTGTTCTTTTATTCTTTCTAAGCAGCATCTCCTATTCAATTTTCTATTTTCCTCTCTCTAACAGGTACTGCAGTCCCTAGACTCCTTTTTCCTATTCTCTAAGACAATTCATTCTCCTGACACAACATCCCCATCTTAACAGCTTTTGATTGGTTTATTTTGTACGTATACTCATTTTAAGGTCTATCGGGAGAGATCTTTGGACACTGCGCCCAAAGGTACAGCCCCTTAAGCACGCGCTGAGCTCTACTTGGCCCAGTTTTCCTTTCCTTCCTTTATACAAAACTTTTCATGGAAAAACAATGAGTGGGCAGGTCCACAACGAAGACAGCGATAAAGACAAAGCTAAAGATGGCCACAATGAAAATGAAACGTGTGACAGGCGACAACGACGACGTCAACGTCAACACTTTCATCTAGCATCGTCTTACAGATAGAGCTGCCCCACCCACTCTAGTGGAGGAAGACGCTATCATGCCTTGCCAGCTCATATCATCGGCAATAATTGTGTGCGGCAGGTGTCGCTGTCCATTTCTATTTCCATTTCTTTACAGCCCCTCCCCACTACCAACACTTGTCAGCTGACAGTTGACAGTTTTTTGATTGAATTTGTAACCAGAGCTGCAGCATTTCCACTTCAAAGGCCAAACATCCGTCAACGGACAGCAGCCAACAAACAACAAAATTATTATTTCACATTTCACATTGGCCACAAGAAGCTAAGCCATCCACCACTTGCCTCCATCTTCACTTTATATTCATCTTCATCATCTTGATGAATACTTACATATCTCTGACCTGGGGTATTGCTTAATTGCTTGTCATTTATTTCCAAGTAAAATTTTAATCTGATTGGGAAACTAACAAATTTGTATCACTCTTACTTGCAGTACGTACATTTCCAATTGGAATAAGCAATTGTACTTGTTACATAGCTGCCAGCTATGTGATGAATAGCTAGCAATCGTCCTACTGCTGTTGTTGTTATATGACTTTATAACAGATCATAGTTTGCAGAGCTTGGCAATGCACGCCGGCCACTGTTATATACGTACATGCCAGTCAGCTAATATACATACACACATATGTACATATGGGTGCGTGTGTATTTGTGTTGGAAAAAGAGCTAAGCTGGGCCATTTACAGCTGACATCATCTGCTCATAATCTTCTTGCTCTGCTTCTCACAAAGTGCCCATTAGCCTAATACGGCACATTTTCAAGAGGGGTAAGGAGGGGTGTTTGGGATGGTGTGAGGTGACTGGAGGCCACTCCAGCCGACAAGTGGCCCCGTTTTGCACTTAACTGCCAAAATTTGCAAGGTGGCGGCATTTTGTTTTAATTATGCAGCAACATAAATGCATTATAATTGAATAAGCATTTACACACACATTCAAACACTAGGAGAGCAAAAGTCCAAATGAGCGAGAACAGCGAGAGGGAAAGATGACGGCCATTTTGGCAAGTAGCTGCAGAACTTTTTGCAGCAACAACCACAAGGGTTTTTTCATTAACCTAGTACGAGGTCATTCCACTGTGCAAGTGTGACAATATATTGTGTGTGTGCATATGCATACACACTTATATGTGTGTGTTTGTTTATGTATGTATTGCATAAATACCACTTATCTAGTTGATTTATTTACAAGCCGCGGACACTGTTGGGGATGGGGTTAGTTCTTTGGCTTGTGCAGAGGCAAGTGACCTGATTTTTTCGGACAGTTGGTCCAATTGGCTGCTAAAATGAATGTTGGTCACGTCAGACGGTTCTAGCTAATATGCCAATACATTTTACAGTTCACATACACTGACACACATACAGCTATTTAAAAGCGAAAGTTGGAGACGGCACAAAAAAGTAGCGAAAGTCAAAGCAATCAAAAGTGATAGAAGAAGAAGAAGAAGCAACAGCAGATAACACAAAATTGGAGCATGTTGGCGGAAGCAAAGAACAAACCAACATTAACACATACACACACTCACGCTTGAGCAGTTACATAGCGGAAACTGCAAGTTGCTTGCGTTTTATACATACATACATATGTATATGCATATGCCTGTTTGTATGTATAGCTTTTATATACTGAATTTTCAGAGTTTTTTAATTTAAATAAATATATTATTTTTATTTTGTTATTGAAAGTGATTTTGTTTCTTAACTTTTAAAGATTTTTCTAACTCTTTTTACTATTAATTACCTTTGATTTTCACTTTATATCGCACTTGCTTCCTATATATGTATGTATGTTTGTATGTATGTAAATTTGTTTGAATGGTGTATTTTTTACTTTAATTTGCTTTTAAATTCTGCTACACAAATATCACAGGGCGCCACAGGCAAAGTAACTGTAAATGCCATTTGTTTTCTTTTTTTTAGGCAGCAAACACTTTTCACGCATTAACAACAATAACAAAAACCGCGATGTTGCTGGTCGTCAACAAAAACAACAACAACAACGGTGATGACTACGACAACAGGAATCAGATGTGCAACAACAATAACAAACGCACGAGCAGCAGCAGAGGCAGCAGCGACTACAACAACAAAAACAAATAGAACTGGCCAATTGACAGCCAACGAGGGCAGCGCCCACGGCTTGGTTGTCCTTGCTGGACGACATCCCGTGGCCAACTGAGAAGGAAAGCGCGCCCAAAAACAGGCTACAGTAATTGCTCAGCTAACGTACCCATAAGCGCATCATTAAACGAGCTTTCATAAAGCACTCTCTTGAAATGCTCTCTTAAGCTACAAATCTATGCGATTATTGTCTGTGCTTTAATTATACCTTTTTTATGGTTTGCGACCAGGCTTTTGGGACACAATACACTTACTATAAAATCGGAATTGGTTGAAAACTTGGGCAATTGATGTGGATTGTCAAGTGCTATCAGCTCCACACTTAACGAATTCGTTTAAAGTTAACGAAATACTTAACAGTTGTGCCATTAACGAAATATTATTTAATGTTATGTTATTTAGACACACACCAGCAAAGACATTCACCATAACATCGCATTTTTTTAAAACTAATTTTTTGAGTCAAATTTTTATAAAATATAAAATTTATATAAAAATTATAACATCGTTGACCACATCCTTAACACAGCTACAGGCCAGGTCAAGCGCAATACAATTTGTAAATATGTGAAATTTATACATAAATAATGAACAACAAAATTATATTCAAAGAAAGCGTACTTTTCTGGGCAAAGCTGAGTACAGGCACAGGCACAGGCACATACTTGCATGCGTCATATAAGACCGATACACGATAAGTAATTAGCATTTAAGTTTCCATTCCAGCAAAAGTTTTTGAAATATCTAAAATCAATTGATGGAAATAAGTTTTTATAAATTTATATAGCATACTTAAATGGAAACTGATTAGCATAGCGATCATCCAGCACAGGGTGCCTCACCCTCGAGTTACCCGATGATGATGATTGAGTAAACATCGTTTTCTATGCTAAACACTTATTTTCGGTGAGTGTGCGTGTGTGTGTGTAAATGCAATCAACTGTGTTCAATAAAATACAATTCCCAAATGCAAAAATTTCGTTTTGTTTAGTTCTTTTTTGTTTTGTCGTGGATTTGGAGGCAACAACAACAATAAGAAACATAATGCGAAAGCAATTGAAACAAATTTGTGTAATTCGAGTGGCTGTCCGAAAAGTTGAAGAGTCAAAGTAAATAAATTGCACAAATTCAAATTGTGCGAATAAAGCGAGCCGAAATAATAACACAAAACACAATAATGGGAAATGGCGAATGGGGCAAATGTGGAGAATGAGGAATGGTAAATTTATTTCAATTCAATTTCAATTGCATTTCAGGCAACGCCCAATGCCTCGCCTCCTCCCCCTTCTTTGGGATAACTTTTTTAACTCGAATTAGTGTTGGCAAATCAGGTGAATAAGTTCTAATGTTCTTTTCGTTCATGATGGCTCATTTTATCTACAAGTTCAACTTTAATTTGCTCTCCATTGAACAGCTCAATAAAACGACATTGAACAACGTGCTTCCTTACCTATAAACGACATTCATCGACTTATGATTTGTTCAACACTGAGAAAGTCGTTCATTTGAGTGAGCAGTTCTATTGAACTGAACATCTCAGCTTAATGCATATCAATTTATGGTCAAATTTTGATACACAGAGAAAATTGTTTCGAAATTCAGCTGAATTTACATTGAAATCTGTTTGCAATTGCGGACAGCGGATGCCAAAGTTTTAACTGAGTGGGAATTTCGTACAAATTATTCGCATTATTAAGAGGAAGGCGAATAAGAATAGTTATGAAAATGAAAGGGGGAAGGAGTAGTAGTGGGGATATTCCAACTGCTGTTTGCTGCCAATTAAGGCAATTGCAACTGCAAACCAAAATGTGGGAATAGCCCTAATGAATCCAATGAATACAAGCTAATTACAATTGTAATTATGAATATGCCATTCAGAATGGCAGCTCCAGCAGCATGTGCTTCTGATATAAAGTGAAATAGAAAGAGATAAAACTTTCTCGCAGACTTATCTCTATTAATTTTTTTTTCACTTACAGAAATTACACATGACATACTAAAGCTACACTTTGGGTGAAGTTGAATCAGTTATCGTTGATAGTGTGATCGCAAATAACACCCTGGGATGCAATTAGTAATGTGGCAACGCCTAAAAGGGCACAGACTAAAATTAAAAGTAGTTATGCTGCCAACCATAAAAGCAACACAAAATTTACCAAATGCCAAGTAACAGTTCAGCTGCACAGACACACACAACCTGTCTCTCTCAAACACACAGACTCAATAAAGTTTAGCATAGTTATTAAAATCAACAGTAATAAATTAGCATACTTTGCGTTTTATCGTATCAACAAAAATGCCAACAACAACACAGTATTTAATGTGTGTGTGAGTAGCAATGGAAGCAAGAGGAAGTATGAAAGCAACACATAGGCACACACTCTATATTTTGTATGCATGTGTATGTGTGTGTGTGTCTGTCTGAAAATTGTAGAGGAACAAGTACAAACAGCTCAGTCCACTCTGTCTATTTCCTTCTCGCTTGTGTCTCTCAATGAAGCAAAAGGCGAAGACGCAAATTGTAACAACAACAGCAAAGCTGATCGCATTTTTGGGACAAAACAGAAAATTCACATAAATCAGGCCAAAAGCAAAAAGAGCTCGAGCCCAGAGCCAAAAGCCAGCTAAACACCCACCCAGCCCCAAAACAATTTTGTTGATGAACGGACTGTGCAATAGCCGGTTACATATATAAAATGGCAATTTTTACTACATTCTTGCTTTTCACACGAAACTTATGCGAAATAATTATCAATAATGTAGTAGAGCGCGTTTGGAGGAGAGCGAAAGAGAAGCGGCAAAAATGGAACCCAAACTTTGAGCGATAGTTTGCATAAAGATGAGAGTATTACGACATGACATGCTTAACGAAAATCACAAGCACGAAAAATGAATAAAATGTAATATTGTACTGAAATAATATGTAATATTTGTATATTTCATTAGACATTAATTTTAACAAACAATAATCAATTTTAAAAATACTTTATTCAACAGTTGTGCTGATGTGTGCATGCTCCTGCACGTTCAGGCATATTTAATTTCGTTCTGTGTCAAGAGATCATGTATGTATGTATGTATGTATCTGCTCTTATTTCATGCTCTTCTCTCTCCTTTCTCTCTCTTTATCTCCCACTTTGACACTTGCTCCTTTGTGGCTGGTGCAGTGCAGCACAATGCGAATGCGATATTATCTTGACATTAATTGCATAATAAAGCACTTTTAATTAGGTTTTGCACAGTACGCGAGCTCTCCCACAATGCAGCAGGGTCAACGTAATGGAACACGAAAAAGGGGGCGGTCGACACGCCCATGCGTAAGAGTGCCAGAATTCGGGCGGGGTGGGGTTTGCTGAATTCGCTGAAGCTGAAGCCAAAAATTGCAGCTAAAGCAGAAGAAACTCATTTAAAACAAATAAGCGTCGTGGCTGGTTGAATGTATGATACCCAGTACACATCTAGACGAATTATATATTGCTTTGAACTTTATGCAGTTCCTCATAAACTACATTTTCTTTTCTAGAACGATATTATTATTATTACTATTTTTATGAATTTCATTACGCTTGCCTAAGGAATTTAATTCAATTATTTTGGAATATAACTGTCGATAGGCAAATAACAGTTTACAAAACTCCCCATTGCACTTTGGTCTTTGTATAGTATTCAAAATTATCACCCAAAAAGAATCGTTTGAATAGGTGGGGGCAACCACAACCTTTGGTCTTTGCATTTCGTATGATATTGTTGTTGTTATTGTTGGTATTGGCGAACAGTTTGGCAGAACGGTTTTGGCTTAATGCGCAACTGTCGACCAAAACTTGAAGCAGCAAAAATTTTGGATGCAACGAGTCCTGCCCCCCTCCCTCAGAACTCACACACCGTTTTGCCCGGTTCTGGCGTATACGCAATGTCATGTCGGTTGGGCGACCTTCAGCAGCCGCAGCCACAGAACAGGCAGTGAGGCAGTCAGAGCGCAGTTTGTGCTTCAATTATGCCAAAAATGCGCACTGACACGTAAAAATAATGCATACTTCAAGGCGGTGGGCGGTGGGCGACGATCTGTGGGCGTGGTGGCACAATGGAGGCAGCCGCAGCCGCCAAGTTGACAATGCCAGTCCAAAGACGAAGCGCAGCCATGGGGCAATGGCAATGCATATAACATTTTAATTTCCTGCTTATTAGGCAACCCCCGCACACACTAGTACACACAAAGAGATGCGGTGAAGATACGACGTGTGCATGGGTGTGTGTGTGTGCTTGTCATTCTGCCTTGGCGACAGGCAGTTTCGCCCATACCCAACGTTTGCCCCTATGGGCAACCCTTGCACATCTTTCGGGCCATGCGCAGTTTTTCATTACACGGCTGCTGCTGTCCATTGCAGCGGTATTTTGGACGCGCCTGCTTCTGTGCCTTGGACTGCGTCTGCTTCACATATATAAATCACCAGCACAGGCGCGCACATACACACGCAAAGGCAAGCCAAAACACTTAACGAAAAGTGCGCAATCTATTTTGTATTTACTTCGTTAACAAAATAATATTGCCAGATCTGCTAAAAACTTAGCTTTGTTATTTTACTGCACTTAGCAGTGATCGAGATCGGAATCAGTTCCCGTCAAACTTGAAACGAATCAAATATTATTTGTTAATTTTAATAACATAATATTTATATTATTGTTATTATTATTATAATTTTGCTTGCCTCAATAATTTATTTTTAATATAAAAAATTTGTAGCAACTTTTGTAGTAAATATTTCTCTTCACAAGGTACGAAGCTTTTCTCTAAGTGCATGCACACACGCACACAGAGTAGGCCCCAGGAGTCGAGTGACCACAGCCGCTGGGAGGAGGGATTGAAAATTTTGATAATTGAATTTACACGTGAATGATCACATCTTTAAGCCTTTGCTCTGGTTTAGTGCACTGGCTCTAGATGGAGCCCATACGCTGCATTGTTTGCCATGTGGACGCTCTGCCCAGATTGAAATTGTTCGATTCGTGAATTGCGCCAGAGGCCAAAAGGCGGATGACCAAAACCAAAGCCACGTAATTATGATCACAAATTGATTAGGGCGCATTGGGCACGAGCTGCTGCTGTTGGTACAACATATTGAGACAATTGGGTCATCTTACTAACCATACAACGTGGTCATATACACTGTACTGGTAATAGTTTATCCGTACACGTAAGTATGCATGTATATACATATGTTCATATGTACATACATATGTATTCCATTTAAAAAGCGCAAAAAATAAGAAACTGTATTGTGTGCTACTCGAAAAAACAGAATGTCGAATATGGTATACCCTGCTGACAGTTTGTCACTATTTGTTACATACATACACATACATGTACAGCTGTAAGCTATTTTCACACGTCCCTACACACATTCTGTGTGCCTGTGCCTATGCATTTCTAATTTTTTTCAACAGCTCTTTAATTTGGTTCCTTTTAAATGTGTGTCAAAACCAAGAGAACGAAGGAGACAAAGCCTTAAGTCGCGATCGCTTGCACGATGCAGAGTGAGATGCAGAATTGTTCTGGTTGGTCTGGCATAGCCCTTTCTCACTCTAACCTAAGTACAGTGCGCTGCAGTTCACATGTCTATTAATTTGCCTAAAATGTAGTACAGCTCTTAGCGTAAACAAAACAACCGCAACTTGTGATTGATGACACAATCAAAGCCGAGCCACCTGCAGGAAGCCACAACCATCTGCTTGAGGGGCAGCAGCAACAGCAAAAAGCGGATAAGGAAACTAGCAAAACGGCAGAGAGAGTGGAGGCAACAGCAGCATGAATAAAACAGAGCGCATATGTATGTAAGACGTCTGGTGGCCAGAATGCAGCTGTACGACAGACCGAGATGGGGACAGTAGTCAGCTTTGCCAAATAGAAAATGGATTTCGCTATTAATTTCGCTGACAAGGCGCTGGGCGACGACGCGGGCAGGTTGACAGCATCAAAAGTAAGGAAATGGTACTGACAACAGCACGTTTTAGTCCTGGTTGCAGGTTATATATACATAAATATTTATATGTATATGGGTATGTATGTATATGTTTTATATGTACGCCTGCAATGCGCTGCAACAAAAATGGCGCCCAAGCATGTCAGCGTTGCCGGCTTTCACTTTTATGGCGGACACACCTATTTATAAAAGGGATTTGCGGCATTTGCGGCTAAGCAAAAGTAAAATTGAAAAAAAGGACAAAAATACGAACGGCAACTTGGAGTAAATGGAGTACAGTAAAAGCTTTTTAAAGCAATAATGTTTAAGTTCATTATTTATTTATATTTGAATTTCATTTTAGATTACAATACTATTATTTAAACATAAAATGCGTATTGCTTAACTAGAAAATGTACTCTATATTTTGTATTTTTGAAATGATGACTAACATTTGGCGAGCTGTTGCATGTAGCGAGTGTTCACTGTTACGTTGTCCTCTTTCTAGTCTTTTCACAGCTATGCAAAATATTTACACAATGCGCAAACACATTTTTATGCATACATACACACAAGTAAAAATGTATGTTTTGTTTAAAATTAATATAATAAGCAAGTTTTAGAAGCAGCTGAAAATGCTGACTTATGTGACCTACTAAATTATAGGATCAGGCATCAGACATCAAGCACGTCTGGCCAGTTTACGGTCATGATAGCGTGTTAGCGCTGCATCAAATGCATCACCTACAGTTCGCTTTCGCCAAATGTAGCTGCGATCAATGGGCTTTTTGGCAACTGTCACAACATTTTCCTCCTTAATGGCACTGTCGTCGCTATGCTCAATAGGCTGTAGTTGTGGCTGCTGATGTTGCTGCTTGGACTCAGTTTCTAAAGTAGGTTGTTTATCCTTGTCTGTGGTGTCTGTCTCTGGCTGGGCTTTATCCTTGTTGCTGGTTGGCTTCGTTGTCGCCTGCTCATCATCATCGCTGGATTCGTCAATGCTAAAGTCTGAATCAGCATCTATATTGTTAGATAAATGAGCTTTCGCTGTTCCGGATTTGCTGTCAGCTGTGGGAGTAGTTGTTGCAGCAGTCTTATCATCATCCTCCTCCTCCAGCGAGGAACGTTGTCTTCTATAGCTACGCTGTTTAGTTGAACTGGTTAATTGTCCTTCACGCTTGATTGGCTTATAGGCCACATCTTCTGTGCTGGGAGCCGTTTTTGGCTTAATCACTGTCTGTTGTGTACCCAATTTTTGTTCATATAGATGTCTGTAGAAACCATCGAGATCCTTTTGTTTAGTCACATCGCCAATGGCTTCTAAATACTCATCGCGTGCATCCTGCTCCTGCAACTGTCGTATGGATTCGAGTTTTTTACGATATGCTGCGGTCACATATGTATCCTTGTCCTTAAACATTTCGCCTTCGGCTTCGCGATCCTTTTGCACTTGTCGCTCAATGCGCAGTTCGTTCTCCAGCTTACGACGTTCAGCATGTTCAAGCAGGCGGCCAATATATTTGGCTTTGCGTGGCTCCAACTTTTTCGTTTCTTTGGCTTCCTCGCGTTTGTTGTCCATATCATCGTATAGCTCGTCATACTGAAATATAGTTGGGTCCTCGGCCAAGGCCTTTTCCTGCATATTTCTTGCCACACGACGCTCCATCAAACTGGGTCCACTGACCACACCAGCTTTGCCGGTGGGCCGCTTTTGTGGACCACTTGTATCATGATCACTAACTGAACTGTTGCTGCTCTCTTCGAAGATTGAAGGCTTGGTTGGTGGCCGTGGCGGCCTTTCCGGTTGCTTCTTCTGCTGTCCTGGTATTATAAGACCAAACCTATAAAAATATAAATAAATTGTTATAGTTATATTTTAAATAAGCATAAATATTCACTGTTTCGACATATTGTTATTGCAGCTGAAGTGTTGGTAAATACCATAATCGAAATCAGTATTGTCTAATGCGTACATTTTAGTCAAAGCACTCCTGCGTTATTAGCAACCGTGCGTGTGTTCCCACCACTGACAGCTGCAGCTGTCAAATGCGGCAAGATGGACTTCCTCTTTTCCGATACGTTCGCGGTCGTGTAAATTTGTGTTGAAAAACCACAAAATTAAATCTTAGGTAATCTACGTGAAATTTTACCAAAATTCTTGTTAGAAACACAGCAAATATTGCAAGATTATCGCTTGGTTAATATACGCTATGGATTTTGTGCGTGCGCCTTGAAAATTATGCGCTAAAACCTCGAACATTTACATTTTTTTTATTGTGTATGAAACGAAAGTTAAAATATGTGTTGACAGCGTCAGTACACGGCCATAGGTTGGCTAGATGTTCAAATTTGAACCTATTATCAGTGCATATGAAAACAATGCTAAGCAAAATGCAGAACAATTTTTTTAATATATTTTTTTCTGTTTTGTGAAGAAATGTACACAAGGCCGCCTTTAGCGGTAATGTTTGACAGCATCAGCTGTGCTGTTGTTGTTCTCGTTAGTACTACTACTACTACTATAACGGTAACTAGGATGTTGTAGTGCAACGGCAAACGCCAAAGAGAACCGCAGATAAATGCTGCCGGTAGCACGAGAAAAATGTGCAAGTAAATTGTCAAAATTTTGCATTGTTGTTTACATGGCCAGAAATCCAGTTCTCAATGCAATGCTGCAAACCCTGCTCACACTTAAGTGAACAGTTGATGGGGGATAGAGAGGAGACTTTGACACACACGACATATTTTTAAGGCGCCGTACTTGCACGTGTTTTCTTTTTTTTTTTTTTTTCCTTCCAATTTTTGTGTAAAGAGGAAACTAATTTGTTTTTAATTACAGCCATGGTGCGTATGAACGTATTGGCCGATGCCCTGAAGTGCATTAACAACGCCGAGAAGCGCGGCAAGCGTCAGGTGCTTTTGCGCCCCTGCTCCAAAGTCATCATTAAGTTCCTTACTGTGATGATGAAGCATGGCTATATCGGCGAATTTGAGATTGTCGATGATCATCGCTCAGGCAAGATCGTTGTCAATCTAACCGGACGTCTAAACAAATGCGGCGTCATTTCGCCACGCTTTGATGTGCCCATCAACGATATTGAGAAGTGGACCAACAATTTGTTGCCCTCTCGCCAGTTTGGCTATGTCGTTCTGACCACATCCGGCGGCATTATGGATCACGAGGAGGCCAGAAGAAAACATCTTGGTGGCAAAATCCTTGGCTTCTTCTTCTAAATGCGGAGCAGTAGGACAAGCCAACAACATCTAAAACTATTTTTGTGTGTGTGGGGAGTTGAAATATGTAAAAGTTGTTTTATTTCCCCGTCGCGATAAATGATAAAAGAAAAAATACGTTTCACGTACATTTCAACAAAAATACCAACATCGTTCATTCAAGACAGAAGAATGTTCCAATAAGAAAACGCGAAATAAAATGATGAATACATAATTTTTAAATAACAATCCATTCTTTTTTAACGTACAAGTTTACGCTCTTAAGTTAATTCCGGTACATTTATCTGTACACAATCTCTGAGTCAAGTATTTTGAATTAGCTGTGCGGACACGTGTGGAGAGACGTGAAAGAATATGTCTTGAGGATTTTGGTTGAACTATTAAATATGTGTGGGTTATATCAAGATAATATAAACAGAAAGAAAAGCAAGCTGCTCCTCAAGATGGTAACGACTGAGTCCTTTATGTCTATTTCATAGTAATTCAGAAGTTAATAATAGCGTTGCCACCCGTTAGAAAAAATGTTAGACGTTTTCCAGCAGCTGGTTATGTCGGCAATATCAATTACACATAGTGACCGATATTTAAATTTTCCCGCGTACATTTTTATAGAAAAGAACGAACTGATGTGAGTCACAGGTCCATCGAAAACACATCTGATATAATAGTATAAAAGTAGAAAACTAATAGTAATAAGATTACTAATAATCTGTATATTCATATCGATCAAAAAATCAACTACGTTTCATGCATCATTTTGCAAACTGTATTTAAGTCAAGTTGGCAGCTCGCCAATTAATTAGTCATTGTAAATAAAAGTGTTGCACACTTTCAGGCATTATCACTTATCGATAATCAACTAATCGAACTTGGACTTGATTAAAAGCTGTTAATTTTCCGATACAAAAAATGTGTGAAAAACAGCGACAACTGCCAATTAGTTGGCACACGCAAAGGACCTCAATCAATAGTCAATTTAGAGTAATTAAATTGGGATTAGGCGCAATTGAAATAGACAAGCCAAAACAATAAAGCATTGTCATCGTCACCAATGCGTGTTATACAGAAATAGTTATCTAGATTGATTTATATCAATTAGCTAGACTTATCAATAAAATCGAGCGGTAGCACACGGCTGACGATATTTAACATCTTGTCAAGGCGTGAGCATAGTTAAGTGACCATATGTACGTGTACAAATGCTCATATTTAATTGAAATGATACGCAGATTAGGGACTCAAAATGGCAGAATACATTCGCATATACATATTAACATACATACATACATACATATTTATACACGCCTTTCCACACGGTATTCTAATGGCGTCTATCGCGACACTGACTACCTTCCCTTATCAGTTCCTGACTATATAAGTATGTGCTGCATATATGTACATACATACATATACATTGTACATATACACACATGATTGTAATAATTGTATCAAAGCAACCATAAAACTGCGGCAAGAAAAGTAATAATTTATATTACCCAGCAAACTTAACAGCTTTATCATTATCATTATGTATTATGTATGTATATGTACAATTGTGAGTGTTTGTGCATGTATTTTGACCTGTTATTGGAATATCATTTCATGTAATGCATTCAGCCGTCAGTTATAACTGTTGTTTTTATTTTTCTAAGAGCATTCTAAGAATCCCCATATAAAGCATTGGGAACGTCCTCAATTCGCTGTTGCGGCGAAATTTGCACCGAACGGCCATTTTGGTAATTATGATGATTCTGATGGTTTTTTTTAGCTTTTATTTTGCAAATAAAATTAAAATGATCATAGACAAACATTGGAAAAAAGTTTGCTATGATTCAGCCGCACCGCAACCAGATAATTGTTTAACAAATTGTCTCATTATTTTTTGGGGCGCTATCGCAAAAAATCTATACAGCAAATGTGTGATTTGTGATTTTCAGCTTAGAGTAGATCAAGACACGTACTTACGCATGTATGTATATGTATGCAGACCATGTATATGTATGTATAAAGTGGGATTTCGCCTTAGTATTGAATATTCATAAATATGTATATATGGAGAGGTACACTTACACACACACACACACACACACACAAAGTAGCAAAATATTTCCAGCAGCTGCTGCTTCAATAGCTCTGGTAAAATATGTACATAAATACACGGATACATACGTACATACATATAGAGATACAAGCATGTGTATATTTAACAAAAGCAACACAACCGGCGAACATTTGAAAGGGTTTTTGTTTCTAGTTGGTTCTACCGAGATAGCAGCCTGCACTCGAAGCTTTGCGAATACATGTGCTTGTCTCTTTGCCTGTGTGTGTATGTAAAAACGAGTTTGGCCAAAGAGACGGGGACGTAGACCTTGTCTTAAATGGCACAACGCGTGATGAGCTAGAATCCCAATAGTAACAACAACAATAAGAACAAAGTCAATCTTTAAAGTCTGCTGACGCATGCTTTGATGCTGGTACCAAAGCGACACCGGGCGACAGCGTTGCCAACACCTGACAAGCTTTAGATGAAAAATGTCTATAAAATAAATATTGCTTGTAATTATATACAACGATCTTATTGAAGAGATCAGTTATAGGTTTCGCACACCATCATTATATACATATATGTATATATAAATACATATATTGAATAAACTTGAATAGGATTAATTCTTAAATAAAATCTGAAATTTCAATTTGAAAAAGCTAAACTTGGCGGGAAGTGGAAGCGGCAGCACTGCACCCACAGCTGTTGCTGCACACACACAATGAAATAGAAAACTGGAATTGCACTTGGGCAGTGGGCCAATAGACTAGCGTCAATTATACACGTGCAGCACGTTGATTATAACGGAAAGAAACTAAAAGATTTCCATAATCGTTATCACAGTCAGACGTCGTTCAGTTATTTCATGAAGGCAAAGATAAGGCAAAGTCGAAGTCGACACGGCTGAGCAAGTCAATGGCGGCTAAACCTGAGCAGATAAAAAAAAATAATGATATGCGTGCCAGCGGCCCACGTGTTTAATTACGATTCAATGCGGCTTTATTGTTGCAAGTAAAACAGAACTTGTTAAGACTTTCTGCTTAAATTACATGTATACATATATGTGTGTGTAGGGGAGGGGGTGGGGTAATGGGTACTTGCTACATATAGTGCGAACTAGCGCTAGATTATCATTATGTTATAATATATAGGTGTGTGTGCTTGTTTGTGTGTATGTGAGCAGCCTCTCCTGATGCAAGTACGACTTCTTTCTCTCGTCCTTCCATTCAATGGAATCGCATCGAAATCGGGCGAATATATATATATATATATACATACATATATGTTTAGCTTAGGATGTGCTGGCAAAGTACTCCTTGGACTTGGTGGGATCGGCCACCATGGTCTTCTGGCCGGGCTTCCAGTTGGCTGGGCACACCTCGCCGTATTTATCGGTGTACTGGAAGGCCTGCACTAGACGTAGTGTCTCCTCCACGCTGCGGCCGACTGGCAAATCGTTAATCGTTATCTGACGCAGATTCTGCTGCTCATCGATGATGAAGAGGCCGCGGAATGGAATGCCAGTTGCCTCATCCAATACACCGTAATCGCGAGCGACCTTCATCGACTTATCGGCCAACAATGGAATGTCCATGTTACCTAGGCCGCCCTGTTTACGTGGTGTGTTGATCCAGGCCAAATGGGTGAACTGGCTGTCTGTAGAGCAGCCAATCAATTCGCAATTGATCTTACGGAACTCGGCCGCATGATCAGAGAATGCAATAATCTCAGTGGGGCACACAAAGGTGAAGTCAAGTGGGTAGAAGAAGAGCACCAAATATTTGCCCTTATAGTCGCTCAACTTGATGTCCTTGAAGGCGCCATTGACCACGGCGGTGCCGGAGAAGTCGGGTGCGGGCTTCTGAATTTGTGGCATCTAAGGGATTAAGATAAAAATTACGATTTCCGTTAAGCAATTGAGCGTACTATAGCTTTGATACACGTTGCAAAAGCCAATAGCTCTTTCAATAGTATGTGGATTTTAAGGTGCATTTTCATTATGACCTCAAGAAATGGCTGCGCAAATGCTTTTAAGTGGTAAGCCTTTTAACACAACTTAAAAAAAATGGAATACGTGGGACTTTTTTTTAAGTACATTTTACAAGGTACATTTTTCAAGTTGTGCAAATATTTATTTTGTGTAAACATCAATTCGATCCAGCATTTCAATACCTTTCCAAAAAGTATAGACGGCGAAACCTGATCAAAAAAAAAATGGCGGACCACAAAATATATCAAATTGTAGAAGATGGGCGCAAAGCGAAATGCAATAATTGAATGACTTGCAGACTCTTTCCCTTCTCTGACCTTTTGTATTTGTAAAATTTTATGATTTGTGGCAAAAATGGCACGAAATTGTGTACAACACCAAATATTAAAATATTATGTGCCTAATGTGAAAATACTTTCAATCCTATAAAAATACTCAAGTGATTGAAGCGTTGCCGATGCCGCCATGACGTTGTTACTGCCGGCTAGAATTGCGAGAAAAAAAAGCAACGCAAACGTCGGGAGCTGCATGTATGTATGTGTGAGTGCCAATAAAACTATGTATGTACATGCTTATATATATATATATATATATATATATATGACGTTGAAATTGTGCGCAAAACTTGTGATAATCTTTACAACAACAAGAAAAACGCCAATCATTATTTAAGGCTTACGCTCAGCTGTAATTTCTCTTTGATTTTGTCAATAATTTGCGAAATGCTCATGATTTAACAAAAAAAAAAAAGAAAATTGTTTCTGTTCTCTTTTTGCTAAACAGTCAATTCACAAGAATTAACTCACTTTATTTTATTTAATAAGTTCAAGTTTTTGTTAGTTAATTAAGCGCGTTGATGCGAACCTTTTTATTTTTTAGCTCGAAAAAAAACCGGGACGTCCACTCGGCTCGACTATTTTATTAGAATTGTTAGCTTATTTGAAAAGCACACGAAGAAGAGCCGTCCAAGCACCGATTGTTCCTATCGAAATAGATTGAGCGAAAAGAGAGCGCAAATTTCGGCATGAGTTTGCCAGAATGGCGGACTGCGAGAATGGAGCACGAGAATAAGTAAAAAAAAACAACTTAAAATACAGCAACAGGTTAGGCGCAGAAAGTTTTCAAATATAGACAAAGCAAATAAATTACTTAAAACGAACATATTGTTATTTTTATTTATTTGTTTTAAATATATTTAGCTTTCACCGTAACTGCGTTTGGTAGAGCTTTATATCTTGTTTCGTTTGCGATATGGCAACTCTGCGCAATTTGGCGCCACAGCTTGCAATACTTTCTTCCAAGTCGACTTTGACCCATCATGATTTTATTCTCATATGAAAAAACTTCTTTATTTCGAATATATTCATGCTTAAATGTAAAAAAAGTATGCAATTTGTCCACACAAAATCCGTTCTCTGAATAATGACTACGTTCATTACTTTAATCCCACTGTATTTGCAACAGCTTGGTCAGCTGTTCGGGACATTGAACTGTTACATAAATGTATACTAAAATTATAACAGCTGATAAATCTATTGGAGGCGATGGTGAAATTCATGCAATCTGATGTAATGTATGTACATATGCATGCAAATCTCAGCCAATTTGCATAAATAAAATAAAAAATGCACACAATTTTTTTCGGATAATGTTATTATAATACAAACAAAAAATACGAAATTTTGCACCACAATACAACTCTTACATAGTCAGACCAACATAGAAAATTAAACTTTAACATTTGACTATTACAATGTATACATATACATATATATATATACATATACACATATATACATATACATATATATACATATACATATATATATATATACATATATATCTATATATATACTTATATATAAATATATATATATATATATTTATCTGCTAGTGCCGGCGGTTATTGTGAAATAATGGTGGGATGGATCGTTTTTTTATTATCTGCTCGCGTTACCGCATCAGAACGTAATCCTTGGCGTTTTTCATGCCAACATTGAACTAGAAACTGGAAATCTCCACAGCCAACTGAATTGGAATAATTTCGGTTTGACTAGCTTGTCCAAATATGTTTAACAATAAATGACCTAAATGTTGCCAGATCGATTTGACTGTGAGGATTGGGTAGGTTGGCATGGGACCGTTGCGCTAGAGTTGCATTGTGCGTCTGAGTGTCTGTTGTAGAGTGTGTCGGTGTGAGTGTGTGTATTTGTGTGCTTGCAGCTTATTGTCTTAAGCCTAATCACAGGATCCATCTAACCAGCCATCACGCCACCTTTCATTCACTTTGCTGCAATCGAACAGAGGTTTGCCAAGTTTGTCGTTGACTCGATTATGAAACTTGCACAACCACAGGGCAAGATCCTTTTGGGAATTAACATTTACTGGATTTACTTCAATGCTGCAGGAAATGAAGAGAATATGGTCACGTATTGCGTTTGTAGCGAGTCAAGCAGGCTGCACTTACTCTGAACGAAAGTCTTTTGCACAATATTCGCATGGATACAAACGTGAAAGTACTTCGAAAAATGTGCGCATATCACGTTTCTCTGTATCAGTGGGATTGTCGGAATAAAAGGCAGCCATGGTATGCAGCAGGCCCCAAGTAGATATGCCAAGACGTACCTTATCTAATGGGCAATCATCTCGGGGAGCCGCGACGCCAGCTGCATTTACGGTTAGTTTTTCGTTAGTGGCTATATGCTTCTCCTGTGAAAGAGGGGGGAGAGAAAGAGTAAGTGCATGTCATAAGTAGATGAAGCAAACTGCAAATTGTGCTGTACAATTTGATGGCCTACCTTAGCTGCTTGCGTATTGGAAATAAGACGCTGTTGTTTTGACCATGACTTGAAATCGTTACATGTGCGGCAATTGCTATCCTGTTTTCCATTTCGATGGGCGTTGAATTGCGCACCATCGACCGGTGTTTCTGGTTCGGATGGCTTCTGCTGAAATGATGATTTTGACATCTTGAAATCGGGTTCACGCAAAATTCGCAAAACAGTTTTTTGTAGGCGGCGTATAATCAATCGGGCGCCCTCACGATTAGGAGCTACCTTACTTTGATAGCTGTGACGTCGTATGAATTCTTTCCACATGGGCAGTCAGCTGCTTACCGTTGACGCAAATTTGAGTCGTTCTATGTATTTTGTTGTTTCTTTTTTCTGGCCAGCGCTGTGAACAACGCCAATTTATGTGCTTCGATTAACGCAATATTGAGGCACTGTTAATGAACATCGCTGCAGGCCGTTGGTGCTATGTGCCAACAATGTGGCAACGCCGCTTTATTGCCACAAATATGTTCGATTAGTGCACGTTGATTCAAATGCAGCTATTTTAGTTTCGTGTGTGTTTTAAAGTAAGACGATAATTCGAAATTACACAATATAATTTTTTGATACTTTTTCCATTTCTCTATATGTCGCTCTACGTGTGTGTGTGTGCGTGAGAAAAAACTACATTAAACGAAAAGCCATGCGGCGTAACGTTATTTTGTGTTTGTATGCGTGTAGATTTACAGTTACAAATTTTATTTTCAGTTGTCAAGGCACTTATTTATTTGTTGGTTTTAATACAATATAAAATGTATATAAAATTCATTTAGTAACAACTACAGTTAACAATCATGTTAGAGGCACACAAACACGCACACGTATACATACAAATATATTAAAATATAAATAGTTAGGCAAAGTTGGATTGCATCTACATGCATAAATTAGTATTTGATAACAAAAATGATTAGAAATTACGAGAAAAAATGAGTAGTAAATAAATTGGCATTTAGGCATATTCTCTATACGTGGTAAACAGGTTGTAAAGCACACGCAGCGTAGACTTTAAGTCCATGTTGACAATATCTTCAGGCCTTGCTTTAGGCTTTGGTAGTCCTACATCCTGCATCAAATCGAAAGCAAATGCGACATTGCTGACCATTTGATCAACGTCCTGCGGTGTTAAATGAAATTCGTGCAGCGGTACAAAGAATCCGCCGAGGAGTCCCATCAACAGACACAAATAAACGCCATCTCGAAAATCGGTGTTCAGATCGTTGATCTCAAAGTTGAGTTTAGCCAAATGCTTGTTGACGAACGTGATTAGGGATTTCTTTACGACGAGCAATTTGTCGGGAGCACAATCGATTAACGTATCGAATGCATCCTTTTCGCAGCGCATACCTAAATCATCATACTCCGAGGTGATTTGCTCCTGGAATTTTCTGCAAGACAAAACAAGAACAGTATATCGGAAATGTGGCAAGCGGGAAAATTTCACTCACTGTGCATTCAGTACACCCGCATTCTTCTCGGCTATGACCACGGTGACAAAGACATTCTCTGGCAAACGCACTGGTGCACGAAAATGACGCACTAGCGCTACCAATAGATGCAATATTGCAACAATATTCTTTGAGTGAACGCTGGCTACCGACCATTTGGGTATCTTCTGATGGAAGCCAAGTGTCTGCATACAATATATGAATTTTAGTCAAGTTAACCAATGTTTGTAGCATATACTCACATGATTAACGGCCTTCAGCACAATGTTTAGCTTCTCGTGTTGGCCCTGTTCCGATTGTGTTACTTCTGGCACATCCAACTTTTTGCCCGTTAGTTTCTCCCATAGCTTGTGCAGTACTTGGCCATCGTACATATCCTCCTCCAGTTGCTGGACAATAATGCGTTGCTCCGCTAGCTCATCGTTAATCCAATCGATGAGAATTGCTTGCAGCTTTAACATTTCCGGATCGTTATTCGATTGCGGATCAATCACGGCACGTTGCTCATGTTCACCTAACGGTTAAGATAATGCAAGCTTTATACATATTTTCATGGAAAATTCAATTTATCACTTACGCAGTGCATAATCTTCGGGCGGTATGTCGAACTGATTGGGCGAGCCAGGCGAATCGATTGCATATTTGCCTTCTTCTTGGATTTTCTTAACTGTAAAATACATATATTCGAACAGTAGGTGTGAGTGGTTAGGCAATAGCGAAAATGTAAACAATAGCTGGTGACGTCACGCATTTACCAAGGCGACAAACTACGCTAGAGATGAGCGTGTGTCGCTTATGAATTAAGAGAATTGCAGCATTTATATGGTTATGATTTTTACATAATTTGCTTTGGCGTTTTGTAAGAGAAATATTAAAGAAAAGAATTTGTATCTATATAAGTAAACAAAACCAATATGTATTAATATTCATTTAAAGGTACCGAACAAAACAATTCAAGTTTCCGAAACGATACGAGCCGAACTCTAGCCAGAATACCCTACTCAACTTAATATATACACACACACACACTCTCAATCATACGCCTACAATCAAAAACCGATCAGCCTGTTTGTTTGTTTGCGTCACAAATGTAAATGACGCAATGTTTTTTTCTATTTAACTCACAGACAGAGACAAAATGCACATCTGTTAGCAGAAACTGCAGGATTGGCTGCTCCTTGGGTACAACCCAACAGGAATGAATTAATTGTTGTAATCACGTATTGAACATATAGCTTCAGTTTATGCTGTAGCCATATTTGGCCATATTCTGCAGATTTCACTGCGCTTTTCCGTTTGGCGAAAGCAGAGGGGCTTAGTATGGGGAAAGGGCGGAGGCAGTTGGTTTAGCTCACCTTCTCGTGTGCCGCGTTTGCGACCGAGTGTGCTGAATTTATCCCAAAAGCTATCCTCCTTTTCACCCTTCTTAATGGTTGTCGGTGTGTGCGGAGATTTGGGGCGATTTAATGTCGACATATTTGAGTGTGTGAGCAACGCAAACAAAATAAAAAGAGAATAAAACAAAACGAACGCCGTGTGTTTCAGCGACAAGATACTCGATTGACTGGACTACCGATAGGTTTTGTCTGCACTGTTTTTGGTCATCAGCATAATTTATCGATACTTTAAGTAGAATTGATAAATTAGCGAATTAACTTTGACTGATGTCGATGCCGATTCTTACCTTCCGTTTTAGAATAGCTGTAAGGTATTTTTTTTTTTAGTATTTTCATTGTATTAATCGATTGCCTAGCTACCGACAAGCTTCACGTACACGCGAGCTGTTATCAATTATAAAAATCTTATAAAATGCTAATATATATTGAGGGTGTTCCTACTGAAAATAACTAATATCAAGCACAGCTGAAATTAATTGATAGTTGTACTTGACCCTGCTATTAATTATGAATTGATTTTTATGTAAAACAGTCACATTTATTTGATTTTTATATAACTCTCTTATATTAATATATAATAACTTATGATAGACATTTCAGGGATTTTTTATGTATATTATAGGCTTTTTAAATAGAGTTGGGCAGCTGGCAGGCGCGCACAGCTACCAATTGGAGCAGTACAAAAATTGGTGAGAAAACTTCACTGTACTCGAGTCCCGTTTTGCCAGATAACTTCAGACATAACAAATATTTGAAGATCGCGATAAGTACAAGGAAATATGTGCTCCACATGAAACGATGTAACGCCTTCCGCTTGTTATCTGAATCCAAATACATACGTATTCCAACAATGACGCAAAAATAGGCATTACAAATATCGATAAAGAACAGTGGACTAAATATGCTAAACCAATCGCACATTAGCTCAGGTAAAACATTATTCAATGTACCAGAGATCTTGAAGGCGAGCGAGATGGTAAAGACGAGTAGGCCGCATAGATTGACCAAAATCTCGAATTCCGTTAAGCCAAGCCAGCGCACCAGTTCTGATAATTTAAACATGATTCTCTACTTTTGTTTCTTTTGTGGCTTCTTACTGCTCGCTTCAGTGTAGTTCGTCTGTGCTGGCAGCTTAGGTACCACAATATCGAACAGATTGTTATTGAAGATCTTGATGTGTAATGCGGAATTGTTGCGTTGTCTATAGGTTATATCGTCCTCATCACAAAGTGGATGCAGTTCATCCACTAGATTGATGGTAGATGTGTTTATCGCGTAGCTTAGGGCACCCTCCGAGTTATCGATAAGACGCAATGCCAAATTGAGGCCACGCGTTATCGAATAACCCATGCAATGTAAAAAGATTTCCTTAGCGCCCGCATTCAACAGATCCTCGCATCGCTTTTGCTGTGCCTGTGTGCCAATTGAAATGTTTACAGAATTATGTTTACAGCGAAACGTATTACTTACTTTAAAGTCTGTCTTGCTTGTAATATAAATATTATTTCGCTTGTCGTTTGCTACACGCGGCGGAAGTTTTCGTACAACGCGTTGGCTTTGCTGTCTGTTGCGATTGTTTCTTGGCTTTGCACCGCGTTCCGTTGAATTGCTGTCCATTATCGACAGCCACAGTAGAAGAATAATCAATTACCCATGCTTTGTGAACGTACACAAAACATTTAATTATTAAGACTGCTTGAAATCTATTAAAATGTAAGACACGATAACGATATGTGCATAAGCATTCCTGGCGAGCTTTGTAAACTACACGGAAGATGGCGCTCGTGGCTTATAATCTGGCAGTCTGGAACAGCTGCCAAATCATATGTGCGAGCATAACGGCGCAGACAAAAATAATATGGTTTTCTCACGGCAGGTGGCGCTTTTAATCTGGCAACCCCGCTCTAGCTGTCAGGCTTTTGACACTTAGTCGATATTTGTAACGAGAAATTTTTTTCGAGCATCTCACATACTATCGTCGACTGGTTCGTGTTCGTAACACAGAATTATCCAGCAGTTGAAAAATTTTCTTTGTACTTTCCGTATTAACAGAGGTATGTTTTTTTTTGCAACAAGCACAATAACAACAACAAATTCGTATCATCAAAAAGCAACTAATACAAATTATAAAACAGTGGCACAAAGTATTGTATTTATGCAATAACACACACGCAAACAAATATTTGTCATAAGTTCACACATACACAACCATACAACTTACACATACACATTTTCGCCGCTGGCTGCAAAGGCTTCAGCAGCAGGCAAAGAAAAAAATTACATAACTCCTGATTAATTTGTACTACACATATTTGTTGAGTTCTTATATTTTGGCATAAGAGTAAGATAACTATGTAAGCAGAAAAAAGAAGCAATCGTAAGTTTTTTTAGCTGTTAGTTACATAAGTTCGGATTGTACGCTGAAACGCAATTTTCGATGCTGCCCCGTTAAGTATCTCGTATCTGTATTCTAACCACAAACGAATGTAGATAAAAAATAAGAAAAAGAAAAGAAATGAGAAAATGAAGTAATTATTATAAACAAACTACTTGCACAGCGCATTTGATCCAAGTAACGTTTTGTATTCATGCGTTCAAGTTCATTTTTCCATGCAGGACAAACAAAAAACCGCTCCCAACCGATTTCAGTTAAACAGTTACAAACAGCAGCAAAGCAAGCACAAAAAAAAACATTTATCGCACGCGACTCAACGCACCAGATCGCGCGAACTTCGTTCCAAGCCTCCGCTGCAGCCAGACTGGTGCAGCCTGAAAAAGTGTGGCAATACTTTGCGGATATCTACAGCAAGAACAAGAAACATCAACATCTCGGCGAGAACTGCGGCGACAACTGCAAACGTGGGATATATCAAACAAGTAAATTTTACAATTCCTTATTACCAAACAAACAAAAAATTCAAACAAGTTAATTGAAATTGCATAAGCTTATGAATTTCGGTTGTACGTTATTCTAATTGCCTTAGATCTCAGAGTGACCATATATGACATATTTTAAAGCTTCAAAACCTGAACTTGTGTGTGTGGTTTTTTGTGGTCCGCTTGCAGTCAAACCAACTGCACTGTATTCACACACACTTGAAAACAAGCACAGCCATTTTCTTTCAGGTGCTCCCAGTGATAGCACAAAATGAATGTTTGCAGCGGCTCGTTTGGCAACTCTGACATAAATAATAGAGATTGCGAATTGTGTGTGCGTGTTGCCATCTAATAGGACAATAGCATAATGCATAATGCATGACAAAAAATAAAAGTATGGTCACCCAAGCAAAAACAAGCAGGCAATTTGTAAAAAAACGAAAAAAAAACGAATCAATCGAATGAAAACAAAGCTATATATGTTTTTGAAATAGTTGACGACAGAGAAAGAAGGCGTCGCCATAACGAAAATCGTTTCAACCATTATATTGTATATAGGTATAACGTCAAAACTGCAATTGTTTGAATTTAACGCGGCACAGTTTGAATTGCAGATCGTCAGACGTCGCTTTCGCCGAACGGAAATGTCTGCGGCACGTTTACCCTATTATCAACAGCAGCAGTCAGGGGAGCACCACCAGCAGCAGCAGCGGCGCGGTGGCGGACAACGTTGCGTTGGCTATCAGGATCGTAACAACAGTCGACGCAACGAACGTCGCTATAGTCGCAGTCGTAGTCGCAGCCGCAGTCGCAGTCGCTCTATGGAGCGTCAGCGACGTCGTCATCATCATCATCAAACGCAGTCGCAGTCGCAGTCGCAGTCGCAGCAGCAGCACCAGCATCGCCATCATAGAGATTCACGCGATCGTCAGAAGGAATGGGACAGAGACTACCCGAGACGCAGCTATTATCAGAGAGAGAGTCGCACTCCGAGTCCAACGTCCTACTCCTCCACCTCTGCCTCGACAGGATCAGCAGCGACACGTCGAGTACATGGCAATGGAGGAAATGGATCCAATAAAGTGAACGCCAAGGATAATGCAATGTCTGCTGTGGGCGCTTATTACAATCTTGATACGGATGAGCCCTTCGACAAAGAGCGTATACATCGTGAAATCGAAGCAAAATTACGTGAGACACTCGCACGCGAAGGCAAGGTCTATCCGCCACCGAAGCCGGAGGCATCGCATCCTGTATTCGCCAACGATGGCTCGTTCATGGAGCTGTTCAAGAAGATGCAGGGTCAACAAGAACAGCAACAGCAACAGCAGCAGACAATGGCAGATGTAGCTGCAGCAGCTACAGCAGCAGCTAATGCATCTGCAGCAGTAGCAGCAGCAGCAGCAATTCGAGATCAACAACAGCAGCTGCTACTGCTGGAACCCAATCCAGTTCTCAGTCCATTTGGTGCTTTGCCGGCGATTGCAGCAGGCGCTGCCAGCACACCAGCTGCTCCATATATAGCCGCTGCAGCGGCTGGCAAATCAGCACCGCCACCTCCAATGGTTGGACGTCGCCGTGGTGGCAAAATCTTAAAAACGGGCGTCGTTGCCAAGTTGAAGACGCCCAGCGAAAGAGATGTGGATCCAAAGGATTTTTGGTCGCTGTATTTGGCTGAAGTGAATAAGTACAAGAGCAATGCCTGCGATACGGACAATGGAAAGAGACCATTGGTCAAATAGTCTACAAAACACATCCACACACACCACACCATTTACACACACAATTACACACGCATCTACACATACATCTGCACACACATCTAAATAGACATAAACGCAGTAGCTGTACGCACAACAATCGAAAATATGAACTTGAACGCAGGCAAAACACAAAATTCAATTAGCTAAACCAAAATATTTGGCTTACACAAATACAATCAGCTATATATATATATATATATATATATATATATATATATATATATATATATATATATATATATATATATATATATATATAGCTTTATATAGTTAAGCGTGATACATGCAAGCAAATCGAAAAATTAAGCCTAGGTCTCATTTGCTATAAAGAATATATCGAAAATATATATAACTATCTGACTGTATAACTTCTTCACACATTTAAACGGGGGAAAATCTAAAAAAAAAACTAAAATACAAAGATAAGAAGTATAAAATAATACAATATAAGCTGATATATATATAAAAATATAATTTAAGCACTAGATTGTACAGATTTCTACATTTAAATACTATATATACATATATATATATATATATAACAAACATATAGCTTACCACATAGTGTGTGTACTTATAAAGCAAACGGAAAGAACTTAATATGACCTATATATATACGTCTCTTTCTCTCTCTTTCTCTTTCTCTCTATTTGTATGAAATTCGGATTGAATCAAATTTCAATTTCGTTTATTATTAATTAATATTTTATTATTATTAATATTATATTATTATTAATATTATATTATTATAATATATATTTTTTATGCCTAATTTACATTTAACTATATGTAATTATTACAACATAACACTTACCTCATATCATTTTTATCCTGATTCACCTTTTACGCTGACTTTACCTATCTCTTCTTCGTCTACATGTACTCTCTGTACATGTGCTGTCCTTATCTTTGTCCATATATATCTGTCTGTCTGTCTGCACTGTAACATATAACTATATTAACTTCATATCCTCTTCTCTCTCTCTGTCTATACTGACTCACGCTCTTTATTTATACTGACAACTTCTCTTGGTTTCTCTAACTATGCTGTCCATCTTCCTGTCTCCCTCTCTATATCTATTTCTCTCTCTACTACTTCTACTTCTATGCCATATGCCATTTCTTTCGTTTCGCTCTTTTTGCTTTTCCCATTACATTCATAATTTTTTGTTCGATTTTCATTATTTTCTGTTTGGTTTTGTTAACTCTAAAAGTTCGTTTATGCAATTTTTCATGTCGAAATCGAAAAACAGCGATAAATCAACAACAGTTGACACGATGTCGGCCTATAAGATGGAGACCGCCCCGTTCGATCCACGTTTCCCCAATCAGAACGTGACCAGATATTGTTACCAATCCTATTTGGATTTCCATCGCTGTCAAAAGAAGCGAGGCGAGAACTTTGCCCCTTGCAACTATTTCAAGAAGGTCTACAAGACGATGTGCCCCAACGCCTGGGTGGAGAAGTGGGACGATCAGCGCGAGAGCGGCACCTTCCCCGGTCGCATCTAAATAATGTATATATAGGAAGTTACACTCTACCTACCTACCAACCTACTCCTACACAATAACAACAACAACAACAACAGCTAAATTATGCTAGTTTAAAAAAGAGAACAACAAAACGTTTGGGAAAAGGCAACAAAATACAAATTGTTACAATTCAATTCAACTAGTCGGTCGTTTGTTTCTTCTGTACACACACACACACACACACACACACATACACACACCTTGCTATATAGTATTTCGATCTGCGCTATATAGTCGATACTTAACAACAAAACGCGCTGGTGACTGTTTTAGACAAATGAAGTGTATTTGATCAATAAAATGTTAAATACATTGACGATATATATATAGATATATATATCTGATATCTTGCGATTCTCATTGTATCAACTGTATGTTGGCTTGGCTGCTTCTGCTGGCGTGCAAACGTTGCCCTGGATGCTCTCAAAGGAGGATTGAAGAAAACTATTGAAATTTAATCGCAGGATAAATACTTAGCTTGAAGTTACAGCCAGAATCGATAAAGGAAGCACGACGTACTTTTACTTAAGGTCTTGATTAGATTGCCTCAGATCGAGAGATATCTAAGACTAAGACAATCTAAAGTTCTGAAGCTGATCTCTTATAGCTTATGATAGGTCCATAGGGAAAATCGGTTAGATGCAAAGAATGGAACAGGCTCTGTGATTCCAGACGCGGCCGTGCTGCAAGGGTAGACCGAGGCATGAAGTGTCAAGTGCAACTGCGACACTTGGTGCCAGGCATCCCATGACGATTCGTTTTTCGACACGAAGGCGTCGGTAATCCTGGCGTGGCTGATACTCAGATAAGATGTGAGCTGAATCGGGTTATAGTTTTTCAGGTTACAGGTGAGTTATCTAGGAAATATTTTGAGGATGTCTATGCTCTTATAGCTCTTATAGCTCTTATAGTTGTCCAAGGATTAAATGGTTAAGTAAGCTCCCAAGAAACAGGGAAACTAAAAAATTTTACTCTTTATTTACTTTGCTGTCATTAATTTGTTTTTTTTTTGTTTTGTTCTTTATTAGAAACTTGTGCTTAGCCAATGCTAGGATACATATTTATATGTATATTTACTTAGTTCTTTATTTTTCAATTTCTATGTTTTTTTTTTCGGTTTTTCGTGTTTCTTTTAATTTTATTTATTTTTTTAATTTTTATTTGTATATATTTTATATATTAATTATTTCTATTATTTTTTTTTGTGTATATTTTTTATTTCAATTATTATTTTACTTTCATTATTTGCTTTAATTTTTTTTGTATCTATTTTTTATTTTAATTTTAATGTTTATTATTTTTACTTTATATAATTGTTTTTATTTATTAAAGGTTTTTGGTTTTGTTTTTTTTTTTATTCTACTTAGTATACCATATAAAATGGATTATTTTTTAATAATACCAACTTTTAATCGATTTATCTCGCAACTCTTGTTAGACAACAGTTTTTTTTTATATTTAATTTTTTTAAATACTATTTTTTTATCAGTTTCCTTTAAATGCTTTGATATTTTGTTTGGGGCCTTAAAAAAATTGGGAGAAATTAAAAATAAATAATAAAAAGATTTCTTTTGTTTGCATAATTGTCCAAAACTTTTTAACAAATTGCGGACGGCAGCAAATTTTGTTGTTTTGGTTTTCCTTTTGAGACATTGCCTTAACATGCGCCTTAACATGCATGTTAGGCCACATGTTAAGCGCCCGAATTGTTGCTTAAACGAACCCATTTGCGTTTTTGTACTGCGAATCGTAGGCTTAAAACTAATCTTAAATTTCTAATCAAAGCTAAAATTGTATTTCATTTTTTATATTTCTCAACTTTTTGGCTTACTCTTAGTAAATTGCCCAAACTCCAATTTAATTAATTCCTTATGCTTTTAAATGTTGAATGGTTTGCTTAATCAAATATTTAATCTTACTCTCACTAAATTCATAGTTCATATTATATTTTTTATATTTTTAAATTGTATTTATTTTTGTAAGGTATTTTTTTTTTAACTTTTGGCTTACTCTTAGTAAATGCTCAACTAAGACTCATTTAATAGTTATAAAAAACATTTAATTTTTTGCATACTTTTTATATTAGTTTCTCATTATTTAATTTGTTGCATTAGTGAAATATTTGAGTTTGTGCCTTACTCTCAGTAAGTTCTCAACAGAAAGTTAATGTTTTTTTTTTTAATTTATATTTTATTTACGCTGAACTAACTTTTGGCTTACTCTTAGTAAATTGCCAACGGAATTGTATTTGTTTATGATTTTATAGATTTAAAATTGGAGAGCTGCTTCTGTGGACATAATTGATTGTACTTAATAGGTATATAACTATATATAACTATGGATTACTTGATCAAAAATCGAAGGAAACATCGGTTGTTAAGTAGTAAATGCCATATGCTTAATATACTCTATATATATATATCTATTCGTATATATATTTGAAGAGTTTCTTTACTTGAAAAACCTGTGAAAACTTTAATATATATATATACACATATCTGGCTATATATGCGATATATAGCTGAATATATAAGTTAGTTAAATGCTTTTAGTATAATTATAACACAGATATATAAAAATCAATAGTAAAAGTTGTTCTTTAGTGTTTAGTTCCAGTTTAAAGAGAGCACACAAGGAATACGCAAAACTAGCTTAGATCTATATAATATATATATACCATATATAGCTTAGTGTGAAGAGAAACAATGCGCTATTCGAACTGGAGCAACCATTACGTTTCCATATAAGCTTACGATCACGTACTTATATATCTATGTCTTTATCTGAATAGCTCTCTATATATGTATGTAGCGCCAGTGCTACCTGATCGGTAATACTATATATATGCCTCAATACTCTAGACTCGTTTAGCTGCCAGTAACATCTTGTTTTTTTTCTGTAGAACAAACATCTTGTGTAGTTTATAGCTATAGATCGAAGGGGATCCATGTAGATCTCTATAGATCGAGCTGTCTAAGTGCTATGTAATGCAAAATCCAGAGCTGAAGTTTTATGTGATTCTGTTTCTGGAAACTCTAGCTAGATTAGCGGATGCAACGGGAACTTCTTCTAAAGTAAAGTAACCAGATATTATGGGAGTTACGTAAGACAATATTATATGTAGAGCCGGTTAGGTTTATCTCTATATTCGTTGAATACTCAGATATTCATCTAGCGCAGTTTCCGAATTCGCAGTTATTCAGCGAAAGTTTTCAAATGTTGCTTATGAAAACTCGGTTATTCAGCCGACAGCTACACAGCTTAAGTTTTTTTTAAAGATTTCAGCCAACCACCAAAGCTTTTCAATCAATTTTTGCATATTCAGCTTAAGTCTTCTTTAAGTATTCAGCTTTTCAGGTAAAGCATTTTTTGAATACGCGGCTCTCGAGCTAAATTTTACAATATGTTTCAAGTTCCGCTATTCAGCTTAAGATTGCATCATTTCTTATCATATTCAGCTAAATTTTTCAATATCTCTTTGAATATAGGGCTATTCAGCTGCATTTCCTGTGAGTACTTGGCTATTCAGCTAAAGTTCTTAGTGTTTCGTTAAATACTCAGCTAAAGCTTTCTTTGAATAATCATTTACTGAGCAATTCAGCTTTTCCCTTGTAGTGTTCAACCATAGTTTCCCAACGTACTTCATTGACTTTTCAGCTCTGTACTCTGTATTCCCCTATATATTATATATTGTTTCAAATTTTATGCCATTTCTAAATTGTGCTTTTTTCTTTAAATCTTAACTTCTATCAAGCTTTTTCATGTGAGATATTTTTCAAATATCTTCTTTATGTTTTCAGTAACCAAAAAAAAGTTCCATACGCCCTCTCTCTCTATCTCTCTATCTCTCTATCTCTCTCTCTCTTGCACTCTTTTCCCAACTCTTTCTTCTTCCTCTAGTTAAAGCTTCTGCTAAATTTTGTCTTGATCCAACTTGTTCTTCGCCCTCTTAGCTACATGTTTCTTTTATCCCAATCCGTAAGTTCTGCTCTAGTTTTGGCCATCGTCTCGCCCTCTTCCCCCGACCCAATTCCGACTTGCCACGCCCCTCGCTCCGGCCTCCCTTACGGATATAGTTACATGTAGCTATTGCTTGTTTGTTATCCAATGTCGCGCACGATCTCGATTTTGTCGCACAGTTCGGGATCGTGAATGGTCGTAAAGTGTGTTCGATCGCTCCGGAACGTGTTCCGCTCATTGGAACTAGTCTTAATGGAACGCTCCGACGGCGTCTCTGTGCCGCTCAGCTGAATACGCTTCTGCAAAGCCGACACAAAGTTCTGAAACGACCAAATGCGAGAAGTTAGAGTTGAAGTAGATAAAATAAGACTCGACTGCATGATACCCTGTTCACATATCTTGAATCTAAGGTAACGAACCACTTCATAGAAATTTAAAGTTAAGCTAAGCTTAAGTAGTATTTCAATATATCTAAAGGAACGAATATACCCGTCTGGCAACTGTGAACAAAGTATCGACCTGAGAATCCTACAATATGTTTCGCTTGAATATGATTATTCAGCTAGTCGCATATGCCCGTCTTCAAACTGTGGGCAGAGTATCGCAAAGAGGGACTTGGAGCTGTGCTACTCACCTGGGAGATGATGTCGCCGCGTGCCGTTCGCACCTGGTACAGATAACGGAACTTGCGCTGCCTGGCCTCCTCGCGTGTCTCACGAGTGCGCGACTGCGACCGGCGCATCGGCACATGGGGATTGCCGACGCCACCGGCGCCCGGTGGCTGTTGGCCATGGGGCAGATGATGATTGCCATGCGGATGCTGTTGATGGTGTCGCATATAGAGACGCTTGCGATGATCGACACGCCAAGCGGTAATGAAGCACTGCACCATAATGCTGATCACAATGGTCAGCGGCCACGCGGTTATCAAGAGCCCGCCGTAGCAAGGCGGCGGCAACGGATGCGGCTTCATGCTCAGTATCCAGTTGACTGTCTCCAAGCTGTGCATAAAGAAGTCAATGGCACCGATCACCATGGCCGTGCCCACAATGCTCGATGTCAATATCGTGACATACTTGACGCAGCACAGCGTCAGCACCGAACAGATGACGGCGCCACCGACCACAGCCACATAGATCTCGCGATACTAGAGGGAGAGCGAGAGAGAGAGAGAGAGAGAGGGAGAGAGTGGAAGATTGTGAGGAAGATGAATAAGGGGAGAATGAGGAGAGAGAGTGGGAGGATGGAAGATAGAGAGAGAGAGAGAGAGAGAAAGGCAAAGAGGAAGGCGAGGGGTTGGATATAGAAAGAGAGACGAAGGACAGGTTGGGCAATAAAGAGAGTGAGACAGAGAGAGAGAGAGAGAGGAAGAGAGAAATATTATATTTTAGATATGCAATTTATCCACATGACAAATAGTTGTACAGCACAAATGCGCCTGGTAAGTATTTACTATGAAGAAAACGGGCTTTTAGCTTGCAAATTATCTTGAGAGTAAGCAGATGGTATAAGATATGCTTAATGGAAAAGTCTGGCAAGACTTGAGCTGTAGCTAATCTAGATATGTGCATAAGTTGACAGCAATGAAGAGCTCATGGTAAATATTTACAATATGGAAGTAAGGTATTGAAATTGAATGTAAATATTTACAATGAAGATTTACTAGCTGCTAAAAGTGCGTGTTAAATGTATAAAGTAGCAGAGCAAATGATCAATCAATTTGCAATGAAGATTTCAAGAAGGGGAAGAGAGAGAGAGAGGGCTTAGGACTCACTCCGAACTCGTTGTCCGGCATTGTGGCCACACAGACTGCCATCGCAGCGCCCGACAGCAAGGCGCCAGCAAAGGCGCTGATCAAGACCGAGGCGACGGGATACGTAGAGCCGAGCACAGCGCCCAGGAGTCCAGCGACGATGGCCAGCGCCGAGTCAGCTGGCTTGCCCAGCCAAGTGATTTGGAAGTCCTGCAGTATAAATATCCCGTTGGCGCCCACCATTAGCCCGCTCAGAAAGCCAACAGCGCGCAGGCAGCGATAGCCGAGCAGAGCGTAGACGATGCCAAACACGGCTATGATGGCCCACAGCAGAGCGGGCAGGGTATCCGGCGTGGTTGGCGCACATGTCTGCCTGCTCTCCAGGATGCCCTGTGAATGGAAGGAGAACGGGGAGCAGAAGGCGAAAGGGAAGCTTGAAATGAAAGGCTTCAAGTCTATTAAGTGTTCAAGTCGCACATAGCCGACTAGCAAATACCACATACACTCAGTTCTTTCTGTTCTGAATCTGATTTTGATTTCAATTTAAGCAAGAAATTCCATTTAGTTAATGTTCTGCCCATAGCTCCGCCTCTACATAACCTCACTTTTGTTATATTTTCAGTCTGAATATGCACGCTTCTGCTTGCTTTCGTATCTTATGCATAGTATCAATAGCTGGCTGCTGTGAGAACTTGATATGTGCGCAGTATTCTTGCATTTATATAGCTAAGCCCCTACATAACCTCACTTTTGTTATATTTTTGGCTCTATTTAAGCTAATTTTGCTAGCCAAACATTTGTTTTTAATATATCATTTTCTTATTTATATAGTAGAGCTGCAAACTAACCTCACTTTTGTTATATTTGTATAGCAATTTGCAAGATTTTTGTTTTGTCTGTAGCTGAAACGTTATACAAATTCAGATATATATAGTCTCTATATATGTCTTCAGCCTCAGTGTAACCTCATATATTCGTTGGTTCTTCTTCTGATTTTGCTCTCTCTCCCGCTCTCCCTCTCTCCCTCTCTCTGAAGTGAGGCTGTAAACATGTCAAGCATCTCATTTCGCATGCACGCAGACAACCCTTAAGCCACGCCCCTTGCCACACGCCTCCTGCTCTGTGTGCGCTGTAATTCGATCAAGGACGAGTGCAGGCACTGACACAGTTGCTTGTCCACTTGGCAGACTCGCAGGCTGCTGGCTGCTGGCTGCCTAGCTGGCTGGACGAGTAGCTGTTGTTGACACACTCCCAAAACACACACACACACACACACACACACAGAGAGAGAGAGGGAGAGATGACATACCTTTATCAAAAATGGCCAATCCATATGCGAAACGCTTTGCATATCATCTGAGTGCTCCTGTCCAGCATCATAGATCACATCGTAGCTGTCCAAGGAGTGCAGAGCCGCAGCAGTTGCAGCAGCTCCACTAGCGTTGCCCGCCGTCTCGCCCATTATCCAAAATGTAAACCCCAATTGGCTACGGCTCTATATGTATGCGTAGCCCGCAATCGGGCTGTGCCACATGTTTGGATTGGGCCCAAAACAAAAAGTGTTTGGGCGCAGTTTTCCAAAGACTGCAAATGTTCTTGCTGTACTAATTCTATTAACTTTTTGCTCAGATAAAATATTTATTTTATTATTTTTATTTGTTTTCTCTTATTTTCTTTCTATTGTGTATCACTTATTTGGCAGCAGGAATTTCGTCCTTTCAATCGGGGCCAAGATAAATTTACTTGTGGTACAACAAAGCAGCGCAATTCGCGCTGAACAGGGACAACAACAGAATGCAAGCGCCTTTACATGCAGAGAGGCAGAGGCAGAGGCAGAGAGAGGGAGATAGCTATAGCTGTGTGCAGCAACCCTTAAGGGCGAGCTTACAAGCTTTTAAAGCTTAACGCTGGTTAAGCTTTTCTGTTAGGTGGCAGCTTGGCAGGTTAATGTAAGCACAGGTGAATATATGTATTGGTGGGTAGCTAATCGATTGTATACCCTGTAAATAATAAAATGTATAAAAGGAATATGCTACGTGATACACGATACCCTGTAACATATAGTAAAGCTGTGCGAGGAGCGAAAGGTGAGCTGGGTAATCTACTAGACAGTGTGAATATGATATGCATTATATACCCTGTAGTAATTACATGTATAGAAGAGGGTATGCTGAAGCCCCGTTAGTAGAGGATACTCTAAGACGGGTACTATTATCATATAGTCATAGGTGGAAAGTCACCTGAATACTCTGTAAATAACAAATGGGTAGAGGGGCTATACAATCGATTATATACCCTTTAAATTTACGTCTAGAAGTAGATTAAAATGAAACCTTGATATTGGCAGATAGACGTAGAGACAAACGGATAAAGACTTTACCCTGCAAACATGAAACTGAATATAGCAAAAATACCCTGTAATTACATACAAGATCTTTGCTTAAACAGGTTGTAGTGGGTATTAAAGGCTGTGTCTGGCCTTACTGTTACAGAGAGGTCAACTATTATAAAGCTTGTAATTATGTAATGCAAAGATCGAGTATATCGAGTATACTTATGCTCTACTAAAACCCCGATCTATCCATATAATGCAGGCTAAGCATAAACAAGTCTAATCTAAACAATATTTAAACAAATCTAGAAAAACTTTTACAACTAAGGTACGTATATTTCTTATATATTCGTAACATGGAATTGAAAAAAATACAGGGTATATGCTAGTAGAGTTGATAGTGTGCGTGCATAGATAAACATATATTGTAGCTTGTTGGGGTAGCAAATTAGTGGATGATGCGATATCGCCCCTCTACAAATGGAATGCCTTCCAACTTCGATTGGATCGAGTCGAGTTCAATATATAGTCGTATATATATAATTGTATTAGATAATAGGATAATATAATATAATAATAATACGCCTCAGTTAGCGAAAGCTTGAGGCTTTTCTCTCTTTTCTTTCTTTTTAACAGAGTTTTTCATCAACGCGTAATATTTAGATATTTCAGTTATATAGAGATATATATAACTAACATTAATAGATTGTGTATAATTTCAGAATTGTTGCTGTTCGATCTGTTTAGGGTGACCGTATGATGGCCTCGTAGGCAGCAAAAATAATGTTGGCCACCTCCACGGAGCGAGACTTGAGACTGAGCGTCGCATCGGGATTGCCCGGTTGAAGTTTCAGCTCGAGCAGGACCCAAATATTATTTGTCAGCTTCAGCGACTGATAGAGCATATCCTGACCCTCGACATTACGCTTGGCAATGGTAAAGATATTGTTGGTGGTCATCTTGGAGGCGATGCCATCGGTGGTGCCAATGACGCCGCTCAAGCTGTATTGCAGCTCATTGGCAGCGGGTATTTCCTTCCACGTGTTGAGGAAGACACGCTTGTCCAGCTGCCCGTCCTCGGCGAACAACACGTTGCCATGCACCAAGCAGGCGAAATAGAAGATGTCGATGTTATTCTTAACGGCCACTTGAAGGTTGTTCAATGGTTCCATGCGCTGAATCGGTCCACTGGTGCCCAAAGCCAAGCTGATTTCTGTGCTCTGATTTGGTGGCAGGGGTGGCGCCTGCAGCGGCGAGGCGGGCACCAAGCCAAAGCTGTTCTTGTTCAGCTGTATGGCAAAGTTGGTCATCGGCTGCATGGCCTTGTTGGTGAGGGTCATCTCCATGTAGATTTCCCCATTGCGCCGTGAGAAGGTGCCCTGGATCTCTAGGCCTTTGCCCTTTTCGGCGGGCAGCCAATTGACCTTGGGTATTTGCACGCCCACCGACAGGGAGGTGCCGGCCAGGCCGAAGATGTCACCCAGCAGGCTGCTGGCACCACCGGCAGGAGCAACTGAATCTGCAGCCGGTGGACCACCCAGTAGTATATCCAGGCCACCACCAAGCAGATCCACGTTGCTTGTGGTCGAAGCTGGCGCTGCGGGCATGGCAGGTGCGTTGATATCCATGGAAAGCAGATCACCAATGAGTGAATCTTGATTGGGTATGACCATAGACTCGGATCCTTGCCCAGCTTCACCCGTTTGATCAGCATTTGCATTGGCAGAGCCGGCGGCACGATTTGGCAGCGATTTGCGTACGCCAGCGCCGCGACCTTCGACAAACGCCGTTGGTGGCTTATGATAGACGCTGGCCAGCGAGCTGATGTGACAGATGAGCTCGTCGAGCAGCGTCGGCTCGAGCAGATCCGTTTCCTCTGAGATGAGCGGCTTGTCGGCGAGCACCACCTCCTTGGCAGCAGCCGGATCGGTGGAGAGCAAGCGCCAATAGATAAAGCCACGATCACGCAAATCTGGATTGTCCGAATCCTGGGTGGCCAGCGAAAGGACATGCTGCACCAGCTCCTGTGTGTCCGATGGACGCTTGAGAAACAGTTTGACCACAGCTGTCAGCAACTGCAGCTGCACCTGCGCATTCTCGTCCTGGAAACCTTCAAGGAAGCTATCGAGCAGCTCGTCGGCATTGTCAATTCGTTCGGCATATTCGCCAATGATCCAGACCATCGAGGCCCGTGCTTCTGGTTCGTCCAAGGTATCCAGATTCTCGCACAGCGTACTAATGATGCTCTCATACTTATTGGGATACTTGCGAAAGATGTCCTTGATAACGACTATGGCCTCCTGAACAACATAGTTGACCTTGGTCTGAATGAGATCCAGCAGAGTGGAAACACAACGCTCGGCCGATGGCTCCACTTTGATGGCGCATCGTCCAATAGCACGCACTGCTTTGCGCACAAAATCCACATCCACCTCGGTGGCATACTCCTTCAGTTCGCTCAACACCTGGGCGATGTTGCTCTGATTGGCCAAACGTATCATAATATCCAACTTCTCCAGCTTCACATAGATGGGGTCATTGTACTTCACGAAGAACACCTTCATCTCATGCTTAAGTATGTCCGGTCGCTTCTGGACAATCAAATTGATGTTACGCAGTGCAACGTACTGAACCTCCGGCTCTGAGGAGAGCAGCGTTACAAGTGGTGGAGCCAACTTCTTGGTTAACGTGGCACAGAAATCGCTATCGCTCGACAACATCTCTAGCAGCTTCATCAGCACCTTGACGGCGCTGAGCACAACCGCCGCATTGGCATGGGCCAAACGTGGTGTGATGCGCTCACAGATCGATTGTGCTTCTCGCTCATCCTTGGGACTATAGTTGGCCAGCGAGTCCAAGATGAAGACCTGTCCCCATTCGGTGCACTCATTGAGTGCCGTCAACAATTTGTTAATCGTCACCGAATTCATCTCGACGAGCGGCTGACCCGATTGACTGGCCTCATTGATTTCGCTCAGCGCTGCCACCGCATTGGCCACCACCATGGGATTGGAGTCGGACAATAGATCTTTCAGTTGATCCAGAAATCCTTGATCCTCCACCATTGTTGCCGAGATATCATAAAGTTTAGCAACACAAACGGCTGCGGTTTTGCGTACATAGGGATCCTCGTCCTTGAGGCATTTGCGCAACGGTTCGCATAGATATTCCGTTATCTTATCGACGCGTATGCAGCCCATTGTCCTCACTGCAAGGGCACGAATCAATGGATTCGAATCCTCACAGTCCTTGACAAACGTATTCACTGCCATTATCGCCATATCCGGTTGCGATTTGGCATAGTTCATCAAATACAAATAAACGAGTTTCTTTAGCTCCAGATTATCCGTTTGCATGCAATTGACAACGTCTGGAAATAGCGCCGAGACATCCTTGCCAACGGTCATGCTGGCTATCACCTTCTTTACGGCCTCCTTCTTCTTCTCCTTTTTGTCATTATTCAGCTCCGATTTGAGCTCGAAGATTTCGCCCTTTTTGGTAGTCGTAAAATACTTTGAATCGGTCATCGTGCAGTTCTCTCTCTCTGACTCGCTCTTGCTCTCGCTCTCTTACGCTTGGGAACTTGCTGCTGGAATAAATTGACGGAACGAAGTATAAGAAATTATGGAAGAAACAGTCGAAATGCAAATATTATGTGCCTATGTGTAATTTTGTCACTTAACTGTAATACCCTATAGTAAAGTCTAACAAGGTAGGTAGATTGCAGTTTCATGCAACCCTATGGAAAAAGTTTATCAGCTATCAATTGCTTGAATTTTATATTTTGACACTTAGCTTCAATACCATTTAAAAGAGCATTAATCCGCCATAGCCTACACATAACACACATATGAATTAAATTATGAAATTTACATCTGGATGTAAATATCTATAATATTGATTAAAATGCTAGGGGCAACTTCCTCTTTAGGGGCGTAGTATCAGCCCCATAAGCACACTTACACACACATAAATACATATATATGTATATATATACGGCAAGCGTTTACTCATATGACGGCTTGAACCACGTCTTACACTTTCATCAATGTGAATTTACTAATGAAATAACTTGCAATTAAACGCTTATCGAGTTTGTTGACTTTCTATATGAATTGAACAGTTATACAAAATTAAATGTAATCATTAGAATTATGGTATTTACCTTAAAATGAGCTTTTCAAAGAATTTTGTTTGCGTTTATTTCTTCTGCCCTCTTACTGCTGCTCTGCTTCTTGTGTGGGTGTGTGTGCGTGTCTGTGAATGGATACTCGATAGTGTCTAGTTCAGACAGTGCTGCTAAGCGACATATCGGTACATAAATAATTATCGATTATTATTAAAAATAAAATGCACTTAGCTGAATATGAAAGGAAAAGAATTATGTAGTGGTGTATGCACGTCTGCTTAGCGGCACATCGATGGAAAATGGGTATCGATTATATTATTCAAATTATATGCACTCAGCTGCATATAAAAAAAGAGAAAATACCCATGCATGGAAAATGCATAGAAAAGGAAAAACAAATTTTTAATTGCTCACGTTTTCGTGTCATTGCGTAAGACATGCAATTTGAAATGGTCTACTTGCAAGCACATTAATTGTAATAACACAACCACACATATACCTATGTATGTTTATGTACAAGTTAATGCATATGTATTATTTATTTATTTATCATGTATCGTATTTTAACTTGATGCCTTGCACAATTTTCAACATATTTCCGTTGACTGACTTTTGTTGTGGATGTCTTCCGTCTATGCGAAACAAGAAACACAAAGAAGTTTTCGTATTACAATAAGCAAAAGCCACAGGGAAATTAAAACAATGCAAAAGCCGTGAATTCGACGAATATCTAACGAAAGCAAAGAGCAAAAGAGAAAAATAATTATGTTTTCAAACAAAATGTTGAATGCGCTACAATGAGCAAGATGCAGGTAATGTAATAGCAAAATTATACAAAAGCGGGAAGCATCTGAATATAGCAGAGTGTTATTTGTGTAGCACTCCTTATTCGTATATACTTCAAAATACATTTTAAATTTGGGCAATCTATATTTTATAATGTAATATTTGGGTTCAAATAATTAAAGTTTAATTATGATTCTTATGATTCTATTACGTTACATACCAATTCAAATGTTAATTCTGTGTATCAAATTGCACATCTCTAGCTTTTGTACTAGCTAGATAGTTCTAGCTCTTAAACTCTGATTGCCAAAGCTATCGATAATAAGAAAGTTAAGCTGGCTGTGCTATCGAAGGATCTACTCGCCAAATTTAAAATTTTTCTTAACTTAAACTCTTAACGCTTAGATGGACAAAGAGAAATTAATTCGATTGTTGATTCCGATCAATCAAATATATGCATATAGCTTATGGTGGTACTGTCTACCTACCTTGTTACATACCTTTCAATAAGAGCAATATGCCATGTTTACCCATTTTCTGTGTGTTTAGAGTACCAAAAGAAAATCCACCCACAATTCATAACATATATATATATATAATGTATATTTTTACACATATATATTTATAAAATGCACGGAAGCAAAAATTTGAAACCCAACGCCGCATTCCAAAATCGTGTTATAAAATAATTTGGCAGCACTTGCCTAGCAATCATTCGAAATCGAGCCACTCGAGCGAGCACATCGCGGCTAATACCTTTTTTTTATCTTCACCCAACTTTAAGCAAAATGGATAATCGACATGTGGTAAGATATAGAGGGAGCACATATAAATCAAGGACTTCAATTCTTTATGCCTTTACAGCTGCTGAAGTTTTCGTTTTTGACGCTTCTCGTGCTTCTCTTTGTTTGTGTGCAGGCAACAAATGCGGGGTATAATCTCTATAGAGAAATTTATCTGTGTAAAATTATCTTAATCATATATATATCTACATCAATTAGGAGTCAGCAGAAGAAGAAGAAAATTGTTATACATGTACCCATTCACAAGAAGATCGAGAAACATGTCCATACGATTATCAAGCACGTTCATCATCATCATAAGCCGATTGTACTAAAGGAGGAGAAGAAGATTATACATGAGGAGCATAGTCCGATACAAATACATCAGACCAAAGAGCACATACATCATCATGAGAAGCATGATCATGCCCATCATGACCATCATGAGCACCACGAGCATCATCATCCCATTGAACAGGCGCCATCCATCGAGGAGGAGGAGGAGCATATACATCATCATCATAATTATGAGCACAAAGATGGTTTTTTGGGCAGCAGTGATTCAGATGCCAGCAGTAGCGGCAGCAGTATCAACAGCAGCGAGGAACGCTGATGTAAGGCTACAATTTTTAACTAAAAACCAAGAAAAAACCTAACTCAAAAACCACTGTGGTTAATTTTATGTGATGTATTATTTAGATTTACGTATACACTGTTTTTTTTTTTACTTTTTTTTATATTAATATAGTTAAGTAGGTTAAGCACGGGTAATTGTATAAATAAACTGTTAAAAATAAACATTATTTTACTAGCCGATTAGCATGAATTTGAATGCGCGCCAAGCAATCGAGATGCTTGTCTCGCTTTACAACACTGACGCAATAACAAGTCAGCTGATGTAAATCTAAAATCAAAACAAAAAGCCAAAAATGAAAGCGTAACTGAAAAATAATTAATTCTGTTGATTTAAAGTAGGGTTTCTTTTCAATTTTCAATTTTACTATATAATAAAGTTAAGTTAAGCCTATCATTTGACTTAAGTGGCCTAAATAAAAATAAAACTGCCACTATTAATTCGAGTTACTTACATTTGAATGAGCGCCAAGCAATCGATGTGCTTGCATCGCTTTTCAACACTGCCACGATAAGACGTTTTCGATAACTTTGACATAGCGACGGCACACACACCGCAGCGAAGACAAGGCAAAAATAAAAGAAAAGCATATGAAACGAGGGAGCATAGGGAGTGAGTGTTACTTTGCAAAAAAAAAAAAAAAAAAAAAACGAAAACGAAAAAGAAAAGAGAAAAGCAGAACAAAAAAGCCACACAAATAAAGAAAAGAGTTTGCAGTTAAACTATTAGCTAGATAGCAAGCGAATGCACAAAATGTTCTTGTTTTAGTGTTGATAACAAACAACAATGACAACAGCAACAGCAGCAGCAACAACAACAACAAAAACAACAACAAAAGCAGCAGCAACCAACAAAAAAAAAATCAACACGTTCCAACTGCAACCACGAAGACAGCAAGAGCAACAGCAGCAACAACAATCAAATCGATGTGAAATCAAATCGTATTGCAGCGCAAGTGCAACAAATTGTCAATAGTTTTCGATTTGCAAGTGGCTGCATTATTTTTCCATTTTTTTTTGCCCGAATTCCAGCCTCCCGTTTGTGCCAATTCACACACACGCATACGCACATTTACACAAGCACGCCTACACTTGTGCGCGCTCCTCTTCCTTCTCCTCTTCCTACCTTCCAACACTTCCCTTTCATTGCCTCTTCCCACCGCCCTTCCTTCCTTCCTCATCCTCTGTCTTTCTTATTGTAAGCAAGCATTCCCACTCAAATTTCAACTCCGCTTTTGAGCTTTAAGCTCCTCCGCAAACACCCCACCCCAAACCTGCAAATTAAGCGATAACAAATTGATAATTGAGTGACAAAAAATAAGAAGAATATTAAGTTGATAAAGCAACAGAGCCCAGGCGAGAATCCTTTCAGTGCATTTAAGAGCGATGCAGTATAGGCCACCATGGGTTCACAAACCTTGGAGATACTGCGCCAAGGCGTGTGGGCCTCGCTGACCGGCGGCTATTTCTATGATCCGCATCAGGGCGTATTTTGCAATGTTGTCCATTTATATTTATGGCTCTATCTGCTTTGTTCGCCCTTTGTTGCCTACCTGGTGAGTGTTAATTTGTTTATCTAATATGCAGCTGAAATTAGCTATCTTCTCTTACTTCTTTCAGTATTTTCCCAGCACATGGCTAACTTGGTGTTTGTATTGCGTGATAACCAGCTGCACCATATTGCTGGTGAAGCTTGCAAATTTGGCATTGCATCGCCTTTACGATCGTGCCCAAACCATGTCCGAGGTGAATCTGAAGAGTCATTTCTTCAAGGTCACCAAGGAGATGGAGGCACGCGAGCCGGACGAAGAGAACGGCATCGAAATGAAAGTAATGCGCGCGATAGCAGGCGACGGATCACATTTATCCATGGAACAACCAATCAATGAAGCCAGCGAGGAGAATAGCATCATGTCTATAGACAATGCCAATAGCATTATAGGTAGACGAAGCACATCGCATATATATCATATATACATATTCATATTGGAGCTCCTATTAATCCTCTTCCTTTTTGTAGATCTCAAAGTTGATGTGCATCGCAAGAATAGCTCCGAGTCCATTGAGTTAATGTTTTATGCACCATCTATGCTATCTGGTGGCAGTCAACAGGATCAGCAGTCGCTTGCAGGCTCCACTAGCGTTACCAAATCCATCAGATCAGCAGCTGCAACGAATCCTGGCTATGCCAGTGATTTATATAGCAAATACCTTACTGTGTATCCCGAGCTTGTGGAGTTTGTGGTGCCTGCCAATGCGGACGATAACGAGGAGCCAGCTGCGGGTGGAGGAACACCTGCAACTACAGCAGCAGGTGCAACAACATCAGCTGGAGCAACTGCGGGAACTGGGTCAGGAACAGTAGCTGTAGCTGGAGCAGGTCGCACAGGACGTCATTTGTTTAGTCGTCGACATCGACGTCAGCTGGAGCGACAGGCGAGCCTAGATGCTAGCAGTGCTCTAGATGATATGCTAAACACGGAGCTGATGCGCAATCAATCCGATACAATAGCAACAACAAGATCAGCAGCAACATCAGCAGCAGCCGCTGCAGCTGCGGCATCGCCAAGCTTTTTACATACGAAAGCAATGAGGCCTGGTCATAATTCTCGTCAGCTTTTCATGGTTAGCCCAGCAGGAGGAGCTTCAGCGACAACGGCAGCGGGAAGTGGCGCCGGAACTGGAGCTGGAACTGGAGCTGCCACTAGCAATGATGGGTGCTCTGCATCGTCTTCCTCATCGGTGTTGCTTGTCCAACAGCCACAAACACGTTCCTTGCGATTGCAGCGACATCGCAGCTCTGAAACACACGAAGAGCGACTGAAGCATCAAAGCCGCATTGGATTATTTCAGTCGATGCAGCAAACATTGCTGCAACATCAGCAGCAACATTTCCAACAGCAACAACAGAAGCAACTGCTCAAGCAACAGCAAAAGCTGCAGCATCAACAGCAGGTCCAGCAACTGCAGCTTGAACAGCAGCAGCATGCAGCCGAACAGCAGCAACAACAGCAGCAGCAGCAGCAGCAGCAGCAGCAGCAGCAGCAACAGCAATCAAATGTCGATGTTGATGATATGGAGCTGGCATTGGCGCTGAGTCGCATATCCAACAACGATAGCAACAATCGAACGTTGCCCAATTGGATATTGGGTATAGCCAACAATTAAACGAGCTAAACAGTTATTTATATATATATATATTATATTCTTTAAATTGTCTTTTTTAGATTCCTCTTCGGATGTTTACTTGGAGGACGACAGCTATACCAAATCAGATTTGGGCATTGAGCAGCAATCGTTGCACCAGGCAACATTTCGTGCCCAGCAGCCGCATTTGCATCACCATCATCATCATCATCACCACCATCATCATCAGCAGCTGCACAATCACCATTTGGTGCGCAAGGATCGAAATAGCACAATGTCGGCACTGCAGCTCTGCAATTCGAATCAATTGGCGGAAACGAATCGTTCGGCGAATGCAATGAAGCGGCGTAGACATTCCAATGCGACAAGCTATCAAAAGCAGAGCAGCAATCCCAACTCTAGCTCCAAGACCACATTGTTGAATTCCTCGTCGAACAATCAAGGTGGCGGCGGGGGTGTGCGTCGCATTAAGAGCGCCGCCTTGGAGGTTCTCTGTACGCAGCCATCAGTCTCGAATTTAAGTCCGCATCCGAATAGCGTGGAGGCGATTAGCGGGCAGCAGCAGTTGCGAAATCCGTTGCCGCCGCCCAGCAAAAGTCTTGTGCGCAATCAACATTTGAATCTAAGACTAGACCAGCACTATGCAGAGAGTGCAACTGCCGGACCTGGAGCCATTGGCAGCTGCAGCAGCGTCATCTTCGGCAGCTCTAGCGCCTGTGGCTCAACCACAGCCCTAATCGAACCACCTGTTTATCCTATTGTCGAGCATCTGGATGAGAAAATCAACGATGAGCCAAAGCTGCAAGTGGACTACGATGACGACGATGTGGAAGAGGAAGTGGATGAGGATGACACTGATCACCAACTGGATGTTGATGATGATGAAGTGGATGATGTACCCTTGAGACGTCGCACACGTGCCTTGGGCTGCAGTCAAACGCATCGCAGTGCCGAATCCGATGTTGGCGGCATTTTAGCTGACGATGATGATGATGTCTTCAAGGATTTTGACGACAATCTGGAGCACATACTTAGTGAACTGCAGCAGACGCAAAGCCAGCTAGACGATGTGCTCAAGAGCTGCGAACTGAATGGAGGACGAGGAGCTGCAGGAGGAGGAGTAGCCGCAACAGCAGCAACAATTATTGGGAATTCATCAGCCGCAGCAGCAGCAGCAGCAGCAGCAACTGTTGCAGCTATGCCATCGGATGACGAGGAGACAGACAACAATACGGGCTCACGTTCACCTTTGCTCAGCAATCGACAGCAACAACTCAGTGCACGGGAGCAAGCCGCCGAGCAGGCGTTACGCCAAGAACTCACCCAGCCAAAGAAGCTCCAACAACAGCAACAGCAGCCATTGGAGATCCGCAGTCAGCTGATAGGCAGCGAAGCCGACTCTGGCTGTCCGTCCAGCGATTGTGAGCATGTAAGCGCCAGTTCCAAGGATCAGTTGTTGCTGCAGGAACACGAACCCGACCGGCATCAGGATCACGAACTGGACGAGGAACAGCCCTGCACTTCACGCATGGCTGCACGCAGTCTGGGCGCCATACCAAAGGTGGCCAAGTACCGTGAAGTAGATGAGCTGCGTCGCCGGATGGCTCTAGCTGGTGGCGACTGCTCCAACAGCAGCAACGAATTGGCCTTGGTGAAGCAGCAGCAAAAGCTGGCCATGCTGCCAGCATGCTCCCGCAATTCCTCATCCTCGAACTCGACGCACAGCATCAGCTTGACAGAGAGCCTCACGGCCGACATACATAAGATGCTGTGGCTGATGCATGGCGGCGCTGTGGACGAGCGTGGCCGCCCCATAGCCGGCATCCTGCCCGACGGCACCACAGTGCCAGCGAATCCCACAATTGTGCCACCAAATATGTCCAGTGCGCATTTTCAGTTCTATCAGGATGCCATACAGGCACTGCAGGGTAGCTATCCCGCCTCCATGGATGCGAAGCTAGTCTGCGAGCAGCTAGCAGCAGCAGCCGCTGCTGCGGAGGCGCACAATGCAGCGAACGCACAGACAGCGCCGCCAGCCTCGTTAATTAGCTGCAGGATGATGAACAGCAGCGGGAGTCGAGGAAGCGGAACCACAGTAGCTGGCGGAGGCGGAGCTGTAGCTGCAGGAGGCACGGCAGCAAATGCAACACGTCCTTCATTTCAAGGCATGCTCAACATGATGCAAGTTGCGCGCCAGGAAGCGCTGCAGCAGCAGCTCAACGAAGTTGCAGCCGCAGCTGCGAATGCCAATGTCAGCGACTCTGCTGTGCGCCAGCAATCAAATCAACAGCAGCAGCAACAGCAGCAGCAGCAACATCAACAACAGCAGCAGCAGCAGCAACAACAGCAACAACAGCAGCAGCAACAGCAACAGCAACAGCAGCAGCAGCAGCTCAGCCAACCAATGCTACACGTGGATGGGCATTTTGCGCCCTATTGCGACTATTGGCGTCCACCTACCTGCCTGCTCTCTGCCGAGAAGCCGCTGGCGCCCAAGAGCTTCTATAAGTATCGCTTCAAGTGGTGCGGGCAGGAGCATGAGTTTAAGATAGCCATGGATCGCTTGGAGCTGCTCGCGCTGTTCGATCGCGATCTGCATTGGCTGCACGTGCTCCTGGCCTGCGTCCTGTGCACCTTGGTCGCCTGCCTGGGCGCTGCGATACTTCAGCATAATTACTACAAGGATCTATGCGTCCTGCTCTTCTGTTCGGTTATAGCCGGCGCCCAATATTCGCTGGTGAAGAGCGTCCAGCCGGATGCCGCATCGCCCGTGCATGGCTTCAACAAAATTGTCGCCTACTCGCGCGCCATTTACTTCTGCTTATGCGGCGGCCTGTTGCTGCTGCTGAAGCACTTGGATACGGCATATGGCGAGAGGCCGCCGGAGGCGTTCGTCTTCTTTGGCATACAGTACTCACCGGCGCACGTGGTTGCCATGCTGCTGCAGTGCCTCTATGTACTGCTCCTCTGCTTTCCCATCATGTTCTCGGTGGGCTTGTGTCCGCAGTTCAATACGTTTCTCATGTACCTGCTCGAGCAGCTCGACATGCATCTCTTTGGAGGCAACGCAGCGAGCAGTCTACTAGGTGAGTAAGCTGTCAGAATGTGAGCATTAATCGTGTGCAGCTTCTATGTAGCCGTAGAGCCATTGCCATTGAATATGGAAATTCAGAAATTACAAATTTGATGAGCATCGACAGCTCTGTCCACTTGTACCAGAGGGCATCAGAGCATAAGAACTAGATGCCAGATAAGCTGACTGGGAGAGAATAGCTTGGATGAGTGCAGCTGTCCAGATGAATTTATTGATTTGTCGGATTCTATTCCAGCATAATGTATAAAAGGTTATCAGAGACTAGCTGGTATAAGAGCGAGAGAGGGAGAGCGAGAGCGAGAGGGAGAGAGAGAGAGAGAGAGCTCTTCCCTCTCTTCAGTTATAGACAGCTTAGCAAGGCTAGGGTATTTGCTAGTCGTGCACTCCCGTCTAGAGCATTATTATTCGTTTTTACATTCGCATATTTTTCTCCTTTTGCAGGCTCTTTCCTCTGCCTGCTGCGCTCTGTCCTGGCTGTTCTGCTGCTATATGGTCCGCTGTATGCTGCCCTGGATGAGCATCGTGGCACTCAGTACATCTTGTTTTCCATATTTTGTGCTATGCTGATACCTTTGGGCTACCACATGTCCAGGTCCGCGAGCGACTTTAGCCATTTGTGGCGCATCATCAAGACGTGCATTGTGAGCAGCTATCGCGATGATGAGGACGAGTGCAGGCAGCACTCGCACAGGAGTCGCAATCAGGTGGGCCAGCTCAGCGAGCAGGAGCACAGGGAGCAGCAGCAGCAGCAGCTGAGTAAACGTCAGTCGACGGAGCCCAGCTCCACAGCGCAGCCAACGCCGCTGGCACAGCGTGCAGCTAAGCAAACGGAGCTAAATTCCCGGTCCAATAGCAACGAGCACATCGAACTGAGCTCGCTGGAGAAGCACGAGCAGCAGCCAGAGCAAGAGCAGGAGACGGAGCAGGAGCAGGAACACGAGCAGGAACTGCAGTTGGAGCAGCTGCATAGCAAATCGAAAGCTTCCTCCCTGGGCAGCAGTCAAACGCTGGCCAAGAGCAATAAACGCGGCCTAACAGCCTCCAGTTCCTTTGCTTCGATAGCCGTTGGCCACGATGCAAGTGGAGCAGGGGCAGCTGCAGCAGCTGCAAACATAGCTGGAACTGTTGCAGCAGCTGCTGTCAAGACGGCACGCAGCGCCGAGAATCTTTATGCAGCAACCATAACGGAGTCCAAGTCGCCCACTGAGGACACACAAGATGACAAGATCTCCAGTTCATCGACCACAAATCCCGGGGATATGTCCACTCTGACAGCCGGCGCTAATACAGCCAATACGGACATAGACGCCACAGACGCGCTCGACCCAGAGCCGGGACTCGGCAATCAGCAAGCGGCGCTCGAGCTGGACGCCAATGAGCTGGAGAACGAGCTGCCGGATCCATTGCCACGCAAACTTCAGGCGACGGTCACAACTCGCTTGAAGAACGATTTCGTTGTGATGACCCTGTTGGCTGTCTCTGTCCTGGTGCTGCACTGCAGCACAGTGTTCACCGTGCTCCAGCCAGATCTCAATGTGGTGCTCTACGTCTTCATCGGCACCCTAGGCGTGCTGCTCCACTATGCGGTGCCGCAGATGCGCAAGCACATGCCCTGGCTCTGCTTCGCTCGGCCGTTGCTCCGGCAAAAGGAGTTCGGACAGTTCGAAGTGCTGAACGCCCCGCAGATCATGTGGTTCGAGAAGCTCTACATCTACCTGAGTGTGCTCGAGCGCAATGTGCTGTTCCCTCTATTGGCCATCTCATCGCTGACAGCGGACGCGCAATCGATTACGGACAAGTTCGGCGTTCCATGGGGCACGCTCATCGTGGCTGTCTGTGCGCTCAAATGTAAGTTGAGTGCGCTCCGGTTCCTAGGCTTGCCACTGAGTTCTGCTGGTTCGCAGTTCCCCAGGCTCTGTGAACTGGGCTCATCTTCTTCTTCTTCTTCTAGTCAGCTCTTGCTCACCTTTTTTCCCCTTCTACCTTTGCAGTTGTTCGCAATGCCTACTCGGATCCGACCAACCAATATCTGATCATTATATTCACCGTTCTGCTCTTTCGAATTGACTTTGCGATGGCAACGGAGAGTTTTATCATCGACTACTTCTTCGTATCGCTCGCGTTTCGCAAGTGTTGCGACTTTTTGCTCAAGGTAAGTTCTCTTTTCCGTATACCCAACTCTGTATAGAAGGGTATACGAGTTCAGTTTGCCATTCAAAAGTCTGTGGACTAGCTCTCCTAGTGCAACAGGATTGTAAGTGGATCAATGTTAATGAGTAGCTGAGGCTGTCAAAAGAACAGCTCTGTGCAGACTGCTTAACTAAATCAAAACTTTAGACTATAGTTTATTGATCCAGCTCATTTTGATTATAACTAGTAGCTCATGAGCAGCTCAAAGGCTTACGAGAAGGCACTTTTATGGGCTTAGACTGATTGAGTAGCTAAAGCAGGAGTATGGAGAGCATTGTTCATGGTTCACTGGTGGACTAGTTCATTTTTGTTATAGCTGCAGAACAGCTGAAGTGCTCTAGTTCATTTATAAGATAGCTGCGAGCTCAATAGAACAACTCGTTTAACATCGAATGAGCGGAGCATAGCAATTGAACTGCATTGCTCACCGATCACTGAACTAGTTCCGTTATGCATTTGACAACTGAACAGGTTACTATCTTTTTTTTTCCGAATAAAGTATGCAGTATTTTTGACTAGTTCATTTGAAGAACACATTGACTTGAACCGGTTCCGCACAAGGACTCTTCTATGACAGGCTTTAGCTAATAATTGGAATTCGTTTGTGATTGCAGTTGCAGTTCATCGTCACGTACATCGCGCCCTGGCAGATAACGTGGGGATCGGCGTTCCATGCGTTCGCTCAGCCTTTCAGTGTGCCCCATTCGGCGATGCTGTTTCTGCAGGCGGGCATCTCGGCGCTGCTGTCGACGCCGCTGAATCCTTTCCTCGGCAGCGCCATCTTTCTGACCTCGTATGTGCGTCCGGTGAAGTTCTGGGAGCGGGACTACAACACGCGTCGCATCGATCACTCCAACACCAGACTCAGTTCACAGCTGGAACGAGACTTGGGCGCCGACGACAACAACTTGAACAGCATCTTCTACGAGCATCTGACGCGATCCCTGCAGCATTCGCTCTGCGGTGACCTTCTAATGGGTCGCTGGGGCAATGTCAATCAAGGCGATTGTTTCGGTGAGTCAACAGAAGTCTTGAATCTCGCTCCTCTCTCCCATTGCTGACTCCGGGCTTAACATTTGCAGTTCTCGCCTCGGACGATTTGAACTGCTTGGTGCACATCATTGAGCTGGGCAACGGGCTGTGCACCTTTCAGATGCGTGGCTTGGAGTTTCGTGGCACCTATTGCCAGCAGCGCGAAGTGGAGGCCATCACAGAGGACGTGGAGGACAATGATGGCTGCTGCTGCTGCGATCCAGGCCACTTGCCCCGTCTGCTCAGCGCGAATGCCATGTTCTCCACGCGTTGGCTCGCCTGGCAGGTGGTCGCCGCCCAATATGTCATCGAGGGGTATTCCATTTCTGACAATCTGGCCAGTGCCACCTTGCAGGTGTTCGAGTACCGCAAGGTGCTCATCACCTACTACATCAAGGTGGGTATTCAGTAGTTCGCTGCAGTTCACGAAGTTCCTTCTCCAATCTTCTGCTCGTCTTTCATCTTCCACAGAGCATCATCTATTACGTGGTGCGCAATCCGAAGCTGGAGCAGTGGCTTGCTGCTGGGCCCATTCAGGATGCACTGCAGCACACGCTGAGCCGGCAATTCGTTGATCTCGATCCCATATTCAATTTCAATTTGGATGAAGACTTCGACTTTCGCGCCGTGGGCATAACGCGCTCCAGCTTTTGTTATGTGTATCTGAAATGGATCAACTACTGCGTGGACAAGCGCAAGGAGGTGCACACTGCCAAGGAGTCGCCAGCTGCAGCTCCGACTGTAATCGCCACTGCTCCAACAGCCACAGCTGCAGCTGCAGCTACAGCCACAGCCACAGCCACAGCCACAGCGACGGCTGCTGCTACAGCTACAGCTGCAGCAACATCCGTTACCTCTGCCTCCGTCTCCGCCTCGGCGCCAGCCTCAGCTGCCGTCATTGCGCCAGCATCGACCAGCGGCTCGAGCACGACAACTGCTCCAACTGTCCCAGCTGCCGTGCCCATTGGCCAGCTGGGCAGCAATCAGGTTTCAGCGAACAATACGCCCGCCCACAACGATTCGAAGAGCACGCCGAATCTGTCAGCGCACAACGCCTCGAGCACACCACAATCGAAGTCTCAGTCGCAGCAGCAGCTGCGCAGCGTGCGGCCGCAGAAGAGCGCCACAATGAGCGCTACTCCTGGCGTGGTCCAGGAGAGCCGAGATGTGCTCGCCGGCCTAGATCAGCTGAGCAGCTCGCACAGCTTTGCGAACATCTCGCGGCAGACGTCGGAGAGTGCACCCGGCCTGAGTGGCTATGTCGCCTACATGGATCAGAACGTCTTTGTCAAGCTGGCCAAGACCACGCCGGGCAAGAAGGACTCGCCACGGCTGCAGCAGCCGGTCGGCGCTGCCGCTGCAGCTGCTGCAGCAATGGCCCAGCAGGATGGCAACTTGACCACGATATTGCCAAGCACAGCTCCACCGATACCGCCGCAACGACCCGCCATCAAGCTGAAAGCGCCCAGCGTCTCAAAGGATGCGCCGTTGGTGTCGCTTTGCCTGGCTCTGGGTCTGCTGGCGCGCCGCTCACTGGCCACGGCATCGCATAGTTCGCTAACGGGCGTGGAGTTCTTTCTGCACGGCTTGCACGCCCTGTTCAAGGGCGACTTTCGCATCACCTCGCCACGGGACGAGTGGGTCTTTGCTGACATGGAGCTGCTCCATTCGGTGGTGGCGCCCGCTGTCAAAATGGCCTTGAAGCTGCAACAGGATCACATAACGAATCCCGATGAATTCCTCGATCCGCTCGCCTTGTACGAGGCTATCGACAGCTGCTCCAAGGAGCTGGTCATCTCGCACGAGGCAGATCCGCAGTGGCGCAGCGCTGTCCTACGCGGCGCACCCAATTTGCTGGCCCTGCGCCATGTCATGGAGGACGGCTCCGACGAGTACCGCATCATAAGGCTGACGAAACGGTTTCTTAGCTTTCGTGTCATCAAATTGAATAGGGAATGCGTGCGTGGCCTCTGGGCCGGACAACAGCAGGAGCTGATCTATCTGAGGAATCGCAATCCGGAGCGAGGCAGCATACAGAATGCTAAACAGGCGCTGCGGAACATCATCAATTCCAGCTGCGATCAGCCCATCGGCTATCCGATCTATGTTTCCCCCTTGACCACTTCGTATGCGGACACCAATGCCCAGCTGTGCCAGGTGATTGGCGGCGCCATAACATTGGACACGATCCGGCAAACGGTGCTCGATTGGTGGCATCGCATCAGGGAACGTTGTCGCCAGGGCTGCAGCTCGGGATCGGCCATGGAGGCATCTATGCAACAGTTGGGCAATTGCAACTTTGGCAGCGGTGGCAGTGTCGTCGGCTCCACAGCCGGATCGGCCAGTGCTGGAGCAGGCACAGTAGCTGGAGTGGGCGCTGGTACTGCAGCGGCAGCAGCAGTCGGTGCTGGCGCTGGAGCAGCCATCGCTTCAGCCAGCGCACCTGGCACTGCTAGCAGCACAGGCGGTGACTCAACAGATCTGGCCCCGGTCTTCATCTCACCTCCATTGTACAATACGCTCACGGTCAATAGCTATTACGGCGTGCGCTCGAGCAATGTTTCCGGCTTGGCTGGCAGCTACGTGGGCGACACTCTGGCCGTTGTGCGGGGCGGCCTGGCTGTGATGCCTGTGAAGCCAACATCGACCACGCTCATCGCTGGACTGCTGAACCGTGAAAGGGAACTGGATGGAACGGCCTCCACGTCGGCGCCGGGCTCCACGCTGCGCGCCAGCAGCAGCGCCAGTAGCGCTGCTGGCGTCAGTGGACAACGTGCCCGGAGTGGCATCAGTCTCCAGAGCAGCGCTCGTCGCGCTACTCTGCCCATTGCCAGCGGCGCTGCTGTGGACGTTGAGGTGCTGCCGCCAGCGCATGCAACACATCTGGAGCTGACCGAACAGGAAATCAGTCCGCGCTCCAACAAGCTCTCCTCCTCCTCCACGGGCAGCTTGGGCGTTGGCATGGGCGTCGGCAACATCATAACCACGCCCGGCGACTATCCACGCAAGACCAAGGGACCCATCTGCCTTATGTCCAATGAATCCTCAACAGCCAGCACGAGTGCAGCTGCGGCCGGCTCTGGCGCTGCAGCGGGCGCAGCTGGAGCAGCTGGAGCAGCACAGCTAACGCCGCGCAAGCCGCGCATCGAGATCTACCGAAAGGTCATCATTGTGGACGATTCGGGGGTGAGTGGATAGCTCCATAGATTGCCCTTTGTTCATTTGAACCACTAGTTCACTTAGTGCAGCACTGTTTAGTTCCAAATGAATCAGTTCTTTTCCTAAACATCTCTCTCTCTCCCTCTCTCTCGCTGTCGCTCTGATAGATCTATGACTGCCTGGATATTATAGACGCCGTTGTATGGCCCACCGATCATATGCGCGCGAATGGCGGTCGTCTTAGCTGGAAGGATTGGGAGCCGAGCACCGGCATGGTGGGCCACGTGGTCCATGTCTGGGTGCCCAATCATAAGGAGGAGCTGTTTCGCTCCCATGTCAATCGCTGCGTCTACCTGATCGAGATCGGGGAGCACTATGTGCCAGTGGAGGAGTTGGGCTTGCGTGAATATAATCAAATCTTGGGCAGCAGCAGCGAGGAGGTGGCCACGTCCAGGCGCAGTTCCGTCCAGCTGGATTTCAATGAGTACTCGCGGCAGGTGATGCTGGCCAGGCAAACGACAGCGCCAACGACGACTTCATCATCGTCGTCCAACAAGCTCCAACACAAGCCCCAAATTCGAGCTGTCAGCAGCAGCAGCAGCGAGGATGAGGATGAGATTATGGTGGACAATGGCACAACCGCTGCAGGTGGATCGACAGCTGCAGCTGGTGGTGATGCCTTGGCCCTCCCACCTGGCGTCAATTTCAGTACGCTGCTCAACATGTGGAAACTGATTGCGGACAAGAAGAAGCAGGCGATCAATATAGACACGACGGAACCATTTGCTGCCATCGATTACACGGGTGAGCTGCCGCCGGAGCTGATGCGACAGCTGGAGGAGAGTCGCATGGCCAAGCAGCAGCTGCTCGAAGAGCAACAGGAAGAGGAACTGCGCAAGCACCTGCAAGAGCTGGAGGATGAGGCGAATGCCTTGGCTGCCGAACAGGCGCTGCATCCCGTTACGATAGAGACGCCGCCATCTAATGATGAAGAGCTATCGTTGGAGGTGAGCGGAACGCCGACGCCAATGAGCACAGGCTCAGCAACGACGCCAACGCCGCCAGTGGAGAAAGAGCTAGAGCAGGAGCTAGAGTTGGAGCAGGCGCAGGAGCAACAGGAGGAGAGGCAGCTAGAGCAAAAGAAAGAGCAGGAGGAAGGAAATATAGCAGAGCAGCCAGCTACAGATGATCAGTCATCGAAGCTAGATCAAGCTGAGCCTGAGGAGCAGCCAGCCATGGTCAGCGAGCAGCTGAAAGGAGGAGAAGGTCATGGAGCTGCGTGCTAAAGAAGTGCAGCGCGGAAGAGCAGCAGCAGGAGAAGCAGAAGATAGGTGAAGAGGAGAGAGGAGGAGGCATAGAAGAAGGAGAAGGAGGAGACAATATCAGAGCAGAAGGATTAGACGAAAAGGCAGAGCAACATCAGGAACTGCACTTGGCCAGCGAGTAGTCTAAAGCGCAAACAGACAGAGACAACAACACACACATACACTTACACAACATATATATATGTGTGTGTGTGTGTGTAAATATCACATAAAGAACAAATGAAAATCGAAGCAAATGAAACAAACAACAAAGCAAAAATACTTCCAAATGTTATCAAAGTAAACTTAGAAAGCCCAAGAAAAAACCCAAAAAAACGAATGACTGCAAAATGGATAAATGTAAATAACAAATATACAAACTATATATATATATGTATACTATAGATAACTATATATATGATATATACACTATATACTATATACTATATACAATATATTCGCTATATAGAAATTTGTTAAATTTATGCGTTTGTATATAGCAAAAGGAGCAGAGATAAAAGGAAAGCAAAACCAGAAAGCGTTAGATTTTTCACTCAAAATTCTAGACTAAAAACTATTTAATGAATTATAAAAAATTATATATATATAGCAAAAGTTTACTATATGTATATTAACTATATAATACCTTTATATATATATTGTCAAATATATATATATATTTAAAACAATTACAATTTTTGCGTATTAAAACAAACAATTTTATTAAAAATAAATTATATAAAAAAAATATATATATATATAAATATTGTAAAATTTACGAGAAAACAAAACAAACTCAACCAAAATGCTTTTCATTAATTTTACTAAAAAAATGTTTTTTTTAAATATTTTTACTCTTAACTAATTTTTAAACTATATCAATTGCTTACCTAGCCAATAAACAAATAAACAAAGTGTTAAGCAACAGCAAAGAATTTATATATATATATATAAAATATATATATAAATACAAAAAAATCAATTCAAAAACGAAAACAAAACACAAAACATACCAAAATTTTATTTGTATAAAAACGAAATAAAAAAACTATATGCATATATATATTAATGTATAAATGTACAAGTATTTAACTGAAACAACAACAAAAATAGTTATATATATGAATATATATAAATATATATATTTTAGTTCTAAATCTAAATCAATTAAGCAAGAAGTCTAGAGACAAAAAATGTTAAAAATGTTGAATGAATGAAGTGTATATATATATATATATATATAAATATAAAAATATATATAGATATATATATATATATATTGATATATTGACATATTGAGCATGTTATATATATGTTGAAAGAATATGAATATGCAAAGCTCTCACGTTGCCTTAATACATTAGACTGATTTTTTCTACACCTACACATACACAACACACACACACACAGAGAACACACATTCACTTGACACATGCATCGTATACATATACACATATATATAAATATATATATATATATATATATATATATATATATATATATATATATATATATATGTATAAATATATATATATATATATATATGTATGTATATATTTAAAAAAGAAATCACATATATACAACAAACAAAATTTAAAAAAATGTTAAAAAATAAAAACAATTCAGTTTATGTAAAAAAAAAAAAAATAAATAAATTTGATGGTTGCGAGTATTGAAATAGCTAAAAGAAATATATATGTAAACAAAAACATATTTATATATATATCTTTAAAAATATTTAAAAAAAAATCCATAAAAAACCCAAAAAATACTCTGTAAAATACAAAACAATGCTGAAGAAGCAGTGGCGACAACAACAACAACAAAAATACACTAGCTAAAAATTGTCCAAATAAAATTTCCAAATACAAAAACTAAAATATGTAAAATGTAAAGAATAAAACAAAAAACAAAACAAAATGTTTAAATGTTTCAGCCAATGCATATGTACAGTTATTCAAATTCACAGTTAAATACAAAAATTAGAAAAAAATTAAAAAATCAAAAATAAAAATGAAGTGTAAAAAATATAAAAATAAAAAAAGAACAACTGGTACAACACAGGCAAAAAATATATATATATACATATATATATAGATATATATATATATATATATATATATATATATATATATATATATTGTATTCGTACAGCTAACGAAGTGTAGAAAATACTTTCAAGTTCAAATTCTTTTGCGAAACTTTTCATTTCTCCTTCTGAATCTTTGTCGGGTTTTTATTTCTATTTTTAAAAAGAAATTTAAATATTTATAAAATATATATGTGTATATATGTTTATATATATATATGTATATATATCTGAAAAGTATATATATAACATTTCACAATACAAATAAAAAATGAATTGAAAATTGTTATACAAAATAAAAAAATCAAAAGATGTTTTCTTCCCCTGTATGAATATATAATGGAGCCTAAAACTGTCGAATCAGTTGTGGTATAGGCGTGGATATATACCCACATATTTTGAACTGATTATATAGCTTATGTTTGAACTTTTCAATATTATTGTATAACAGTTGTAGAGACTCTTATACAAGCTAGATATGACTCAATTAAAACTCCGCTATGCTGAACCTACGTAAATTTATTGCCTCTGGCTCAAGTGGGCATGGCAGAACAAAGAAAGTAATATCAAAATGACGAGTTTTCTGTCTGCTTTCAGCTAGTCGAGCACTCCCTACTGGAGAACTCCTACTTCATTTCGATACTGCTTCATTGATACTGCTTGATTGATTGATTGACTACATGGCCTACAGCCGATACATACAAACATACAATGCGAGTTAAAATTGATTCTTTTTGTATTAATAAAAGAGTTTATTATATATATTAAAATATATATTTACAAACACACGCAAACAGGTGGAAAATGGATGAGAATATGATTCAAGTGGCAGCTGCATCCACTTTAGTCGGTGGCCAAATAGGCGTCAACTCGCTGAGCGCCACATCGTAGAGCAGCTGCTGGTACTCCTCCAAGAGAACTGGAAGACGACGACAGAGTGACAATTAAAAATCGTTTATAGGATATATTTGAATAGATGTCTTACAATTGGGCTCGATCTGCCACTGATCGAAGAGCGTTTGCCGCGTGTGGATTTGCTTATTGATCAGAGCTCGCTTGAAGCGCAGCACCTTGTCGTTCAGACTCGACCAGCTCTTGATCAGCGAGGCGGGCGTCGACTTCAGCTTCGGCTTGAAGGCAGCCAAAGCAGGACAGACCAATCCATCCAGCAGGAACATTCCAAAGTAGCTAAAAGAGAGATCGTCTTATAAATATGCAATAAGAGTCGTGTTTATATCGAGTCGACTTATGTCTCTTCGAAGAGCAAGAGCAAGAGACTAGCTAGTTACTTGAGAGACATACTAGTGCTGCTCTAGTAGCTAGTAGATGCTCAACCTACCAGCAGGTCTTCTCATTGAGCGGCATTTGTTGCTCGCCCAGAGGCAGCTCCCAGCCTGCCTTGCCAAATGTGGCATCCACAAAGCAATAGATGTGTCCTTTGGTTTGGTCATAGCGCGGCGCTGGATCTTCGCGCACCTGTCGCACGTTGCAGAGGAGCGGCACGTAGCGGAGCAGCCATTCCGGTTCAATGGCCGTAATTCCACGTATGAACATCTTTTGGCTATCTCCGTTCTGTATCTCGTAGGCCTCCTGGTAGATGATCCAATCGGGCGGCGTTTGTTTCAGCACCGAGGAGGAGTGCAGAAATGCCGGCTGCTCCATGTCGGCACAGTTGTAGGCGTACTTAAGCCTGCGACGCTCCTCCTTGTCACTAATCTCCTCAAGCGGCACTTTGCGCGCCACTCGGTCGCCCAATCCGGCGAGCAGGATTTGACGCAAGAATCGAGCTTGTGCATCAGTTGGCGGTTTCAGCTGCGGATCCACGCACAGCTCCACATTGGCTATATTCAGATTGATCTCGTTAGTTAGCTGAATGCGCAGCTTCCGCACCTCACTCATGGCCTTCAAGCGCAGACCATTGGCCACACAGAACGCCTCCAGTTTGCCTTGACTGCCCGCATATTCGGCTGCACCCACAGCCCGCAGGAGCACCATCGGATCACCCAACAACTTGTAATTGCCACTGGCTGCCCAGCTGAGGCGTCGCTGATGATACTTGTTCGAGATGGGCGCCATATCCTCCTCCCTTTGCACGCCCCGCTCGACGAGCAGCTCCTGCACAGAGAGCGCAGCAACCAGACAAACTGTGTAGGGCAGCAGCTGCTGCTGATTGGACAAGGCTAGCATCTTGCCAAAGCGTGGAGCGACTGGAAAGCGTGAGATAACTTTGCCCAGTTGGGTAACAGCTGGCGGATTGTTCTCGACAGCCTCCGACTCTAAGGCGCCGAGCACACGCAGTCGCTGTTCGGCTGCCTCCAGTTGCACTTGATCTGGCGGCGAGGGAAAGGGAAAGTGGAGCACTCGATCGATGCCCATGCAACGCATCTGCAACATCAAATCCTCGACGGGTTTCTGTTGTATATCCGGTTGACTAAAGGCCGGAAAGACGTCATTGTACACGGCACTCGAGTAGAGGCGATAACAATGTCCAGCACTTATGCGACCCGCTCGTCCAGCTCGCTGATCCGCTGACGCTTTTGACGTGTGTGTCACCACAAAGGCGCTGACTCCAGTTAGCTTGTCGTAAAGCCTTGACTTCTGCCTGCCACAATCCACAACGTATTTGATATGGGGTATGGTCAGAGATGTCTCCGCTATGTTGGTGGCCACCACACAGAGGCGACACCCATCGGGCACTGGCTGAAAGATGCGTTGCTGTTTCTCCGACGAGAGCAGCGAATAAAGTGGCAGCACCCACAGAGGTTGTTTGGTTGACGTACTTTCAAGATTAGCCATGTTATCGGCATCCTGTTGCTCCTCTTCCTCCTCCTCATCATCATCATCCTGCTCTTGTAGCTCTGCCTGCTCATGCATATCTGCCTCGGTATCATCGCCTGGCAGCTTATAGTCATCCAAATTGATTTTAGGCAACGAAATGCGGGACAAGAATTTGCGCTTTGACTTACGCAAATTTCGTATTGTGCGCTTCATATCAAATTGTTGCTCCAGCTCTTGCTCCTCCTCGTTCTCTGGCTGCTGCTGCTTCTGCTCCTGCTCCTGCTTTTGTTCCCGGTGCTCACAGGGAAAAGCCTTACGCAACTTCCGCACCAGCAGCTGCACCTCCTGCTGTCCTGTAACAAAGATCAAGATGCCACCCTCAGGCAGCTGTGAGTGGATCTTCAAAGTTTTCTTAAAGGCCTCCGCTACGTAATCCTCTGGCGTACGCTTTTGAAAGTGTATAGTAACCGGATATTGCCTCGCCTCCACTTTGATCAGAGGCGGCGGCACTTTAAACAATCTAACATTCTCCGTGAAATCGCTGACGCGCAGCGTGGCGGACATGATGATTAGCTTGAGTGGATTGGAGCGCTTGTTACGCAGCGGCACAATCCGTGAGAGCAGTCCAACCAATATATCCGTATAGATGCTGCGCTCGTGCGCCTCATCGAGCACAATCACGGAATATTTGCTTAACAGAAAATCTGTTTCGATCTCCTTTAAGAGCACGCCATCAGTCATGAATTTGATGCGAGTCGCTGGCGTAACGTTACCCTCGAAGCGTATTAGATAGGAGACCTCGCTGCTTGGCAAATTCATTTCATGAGCCACACGCTGCGACATTGCTATGGCAGCTACGCGACGTGGTTCGGTTATGCCAATCATCTTATGCTGCGCATAGCCGGCTTCGTATAGAAACTGTGGAATTTGCGTCGTCTTGCCGGATCCAGTTTCGCCAGCGATTATAACAATTGGATGCTCATTGATAAGCTCCATCACCTGCTGCTCCTCAGCAAGTATGGGCAGACGTAGACGTGCTGCCTGCACCTCAGCTGTTCGGTTTACAGGCACATAAACTGTTTTGTGAACAGGGGTTGGTGCGACAGCAGGACAGGGAGCTGCTTTCGATTCAGTTTTAAATTTAGCTGCTGGCGCGGGCTTAGCTGGCTGCAGCTTAAGAGCAAGTTCCTCATTAGTAGCCGGCTGCTGTTGCTCGACTTTAGCTGGCAGCTCAGCTTGTTCTTCGCTTATCTTTTCCTCCTCCTCTTCGTCTTCGTCATCGTCATCATCATCCTCTGATTCCTCGGCATTCACTATATTTGGATTCATGCGCTTGGCTTCAAGCTCCTCCCGCTCCTCGTTGAGCAGCTTCCTCTTGCTACCTCTGAGCGCATTTACACGTCGTACGCTACGAGTCTCCTGATCCTTTTCAATCAACTGTTGCGTTTGACGCTCCTTTTTCTTTGCCAAATATTCGTCAAGCGTGTGCAATCGCTTTAGTCCAACAGTTTGCACCTGACTTATGGATGTATATTGTTGCAATTCAGCCTCCGGTATTTGCACAGCTGCCAAATCTTCCAGCAATTGGGCACGCTATAATAGAAACATAAAACTTAATATTGATCCAATGTTCAGAATAAAATGCAGTTGGAGCTGCTTAGCTTACGCCCTCCTTCTTCTTCTTCTTATCGACAATAGATTGCAAATGTTTGCGCTGCTTCTTTGTTAGTATTTTCACATTTTGTCGATGTTCGACTTTGATTTTCGTTGCCCGCTTCTGTGAGGGCAAAGCCAAAGCATTGGCCTCGTCATAGCCTGTGGGAATGGAGCTGTTGCTGTGGATCTCATCCTCGACGACGATTTTGATCTGCATCCCAAGAAACCTGGTTAAATTTGTTATCTTGATTGCATTTCACGACTATACTCACGCTCTTTACAGTCGAGTTGTCGACAATTGTTTGAGGATTGCGTCGCGCTTTGGCATTGTACACCTTTTTGCCCATGTTTATATTTCGGTAAACATTTGTTGCTTGTTTCTCATACACGTGCAGCTGTTAGCGATGAGATATCGATGCTATCGATCATTATGTGGAAAGTATCGCTAAATATTAGAGCAAGAAATATCGCAAGTAAATGAATTTTGATTAGTGCTGAAAGGAATGTGCACCAAAACTGTTGATTTTGTGCAAAATATGTCAAAATAATATATATTTGTTTTTTTTTTTGCATTAGGGATGCGTATTAAACATATCGCACAGTAAAAATATTACAGCATTATATAAATATATATATATGAACGTCAACGACGGTTTTTTGAGCATATATATTTAGCCATTATTTAAATCATATGAGCATCCAATTTTAACTATGCAATTTGTAGAGTAATATGTATGTACACTTGCACAATTCGAACTGTCTGGCAGCTCTGTTAGCACCAAAAGAGAGCGCGAGGGAGAGACGAACCGAGAGAGAATGCGCAGCAATTGGCAAACCCGCGTAGCAAAAAAAAAGCCTTGTGTGTTTTGTTGTTATTATTTTGAGTGTGTGCTAGCATATTACTGTTCATTTAAACCGTTAATTTTTGTTTTTAACATATATACATATTTACAAAAACAAATGCGATGACGAGTAAAAGCGATCCAGTGCGCATTGTACTGGCAAATCTCATTGCCGAATCGCAGTAAGTGCAGAATGCTGACCAGATGCGCATCTCACATATTTATTTTATTTTGTTTTGAATCACAAACTGTAACGAAATTATTTGCGTAGAACGCCATATACGCCGGACAAGATACTCCGTGAATTTCGTGCCACAGTCGATAAGCGTCTCTCGGATAGGGATCTACTCTTTCTGCTCGAATCCATCAGCTGCAAGCGTCCCAATTGTCGTGAGGTGCTCGATGAGATAAGCGACACCCTTGAAAGGTTCGTACAGGCTGACATAAAATGAACTAGTTCATGATCGTCTACTGTGTTTTTCTTTTTCTTTTGTGCTGTTTAGCAAGGATCCCATGTACGCTTTGCTGGTCTTTGCGGAACGAATAAACGACGAAACAATGTGGCCTTCAAAATTCAGCGGAAGCAACAACTCGAATCTCAACTCCAATAGAAATCCCGAAATGCCAGCGTCATTGCAAGAATCGGAGCTAGGCAGTAGATGTCTTCGTAAATCCTTGGATTTGTCCACATCAACGCCTGTCAGTAGGCGCTTATCGGAGGATGCGCCAGTATTGTCCACAAATAATGCTACAAGTGCTCCAACTACATATTCGCGTCGTCCCTTGCCTACTTTACACAATCCCAAAGACCATTTGGCTCAACGTGGAGATCTAAGTGTGGTGGGTGCCATAATGCATAAAGCATAATGCTGTATTTCCAAGTAATAGTAACTTCTCTCTTGCATGTAGATCAAGAAGCGTGTTCTGAATGCTGTCTCGAACAGCTCGGCCCTGACGATGGGATCCATAGATCAGCTGCTCAATAGCAGCAGCGGCGGCAACAAAACTAAAGCTCACAACAATGCAAGCGCAGGAAGTGGTGGCCCACCTGGCGGTGGTGCTGGTGCTGGAGGAGCAGTAAGTGCTAGCAGTCGAACTGTGAATGTAGAATCTAGTCCATGTAGCAGTCCCAGCGTCAGTCATCGTTCTGGAATTAGTATTGCTATCAGCACTGGCACTGGCACTGGTACTGGCACAGGCACTGGCACCGGTACTGGGACCAGCAATGGAGGAGGCAATAGCAGTCGTGCGCCGAGTACTGGGCAGGCAACCGGTTATCGATCGCTGCTTGAACGTTGCCAATTAAACACCAACAGCAAAAGTAACAATAACAATAAAAATGTTAGTGAGGGTAAGGATGGCTTGCCGGATGAATATCGCACCCATATGCTATGGGATTACTACAGAGTGGACACACCAAATGTCACATTTAAGCCAGAGCTGTCAGCGCTGCCGGTGGATGCACAGCAGCGTGTTTTGCTCACCGAAATCCTTTACAGTTTGAGTGGAGTACAAGGCACATATATTGTAACATTGCCAAATGATGAGCTGGCAACGGGCTTGGCCAAGTACGAGACACGGTTTAATCTGCATGCCCAATTGGATAAGTCGTTGGCCGAGATGGTGCAAGAAATATTGCCATTGGCATCTCACTTTATGGGCATTCAGAAGGTCATCGCACTGACGGATGGACATGGCCAGGTCAACAATGCCCTCAATGCGGCCTTGCAGAACATTAGCCATGATTTCTATGTGAGTGCTTTTGCTTTTACTTAATAATAGTTATGTGATCAAGCTATTTGCACTGTGTCCTTTGCAGATGCTGCTGCAGCAAGCCGAGGTGGAGCTGATGAAGAATGATTTAACAGTGCCCAAACTCCTTTACTATCTACAACCCACCATTTGGGTCATAGATGAGATTTGGACTACGTTAGCTGAAGTGGATTTGGTAGCTTATTTAAATATTCACACGTTATCTATACATTCTTATAACGTTCTCGTCTGCTTAGCATAATTACCATGGCGCTGCTGTCTTAACTCATCTCTGTGAGCGCATCAAGCAATTGGAGGGCGATAAATGTGCACAAGAATTAATCATTGGACTGGCTAGAAAGGCCGCTAAGCCGTATATGCGTATGCTACAGCTGTGGATACAGAAGGGAATCATTGTTGATAGAACACACGAATTTTTGGTCGAGGATAATGAGGTTATCCACAAGGATGAACTGCCCGAGCATTATTCGGATGACTATTGGGAGAAGCGCTATACAGTTTGCACCGAATGTATTCCATCGTTCCTCGAAAAGTATGCGGACAAAATATTGCGCACTGGAAAATATCTTAATGTGATTAGACAGTGTGGCAAGCGTGTGATGCCCACGCAGCAAATGAATCTGGAATTTGATCCAACCAATGAGCTGCACGTTTATGTGATCAATGATGCGTATTATTTCGCTGCTCGCATGTTGCTCGATGTACTGCTAACCGAGAACGATTTGATGGGACATCTGCAATCTGTGAAGCGTTATCTGTTACTTAATCAAGGTGATTTCACTATGCAATTCATGGACGCCTGCGAGGATGAGCTGGCAAAGAATGTGGATCTAGTACTACCCATGACTTTAGAGAATTTGTTGGGTCTGACGTTGCGACTTTCGTCTGCACGCTGCGATCCCTATAAAGATGATCTGCACTGCGAATTACTCACATACGATCTGGTCACACAAATGTCAAAAATAATGAATCAGCAAGAAGGTAAGTACATGTTATATATATATAAAAATCACAAGTTCAATTAAGCGGTTCATTTAAATGAATTGCTTACAGCTCTAACTATTTCGATACTCTCTTCTGAGTTCAGTAATCGATAGTGGCTGATTCGTTCATTTGAGTTGTTCAGTTGCTCTCTAAATTTGCGTTATATTCAGCTACTTGGCTGTCAATTGAGTAACTGTTCAATGGGGAACATTCAATAATATTTGTGGTTCATAATCGATTGCTCTAACTGAACCAGTAAAGAGATGGCAAAAATAATATTAAATAAATGAACTACTGAACTTTTTGATCAAATTTAAATTTGAATTGAATAACATAAATTAATACCCTGCATTTTAGAGTACTGGAAGACGACGGATCGTCTTGACTTGAGCGGCTTGGAATGCTTTGCCTTCACGTACGAGGTGAAATGGCCAGTTTCTCTGGTACTAAATCACATAGCCATAACGAAGTATCAAATGCTCTTCCGTCAACTCTTCTACTGCAAACATGTGGAGCGACAGCTTTGCAAGTGAGTAACTGCTATATCTATATAAGTTCTATATTCTTATTCACTCTGTATTCATTGCAGAATTTGGAAAGAGAATTCCATAGCTAAAAAGTTCTCGCCGCTTGCCGCTGAGCTCTATCGCTCGGCCTTTACTTTGAGGCAGCGCATGATGAACGCTGTTCAGAATCTGGAATACTATATGATGATCGAGATTATTGAGCCCAATTGGCATATATTTATCGAGAAGATGAAGAACGTGGAAAATGTGGATATGGTGCTTAGTCTGCATCAGGACTTTCTCGATCTGTGCCTTAAGAATTGTATGTTAACTGAGACATCGCATCTGAATCGTGCCATATTCAAGCTATGCAAGATCTGCCTCAAGTTCTGCGAGTTCATACAGGTAGCATCACTATATAGTATTACCCAATCTATATATTTTAATATATATATAGTTAGAGCTTAATTGAATGTCTTGTCTTGTGTCTTGTATCCCTTTCTCTCTCTCTCCCATTTTCTCTTTCTCACTCTCTTCCATGCCTGTCTGAACATATGTCAAAAAATGTTATATATATGTGTGTGTATTCCCAATCAAAATCAAGCGCTCGCAACGTTTCTTTCTCGATGCGGAGCTCAAGTCCATGGTATGTGATAGCAGCGATGAAAATACGGATCATTCCGATTCTGAACCAGAGACGTCGGATCGGTTACAGGTATACACCATTATAATGGTCAATGGAGCCCCACAACTATTTACACATATTTCATATTCGATCTTTGGATATAATCAAATTCATATATTATATTATTTCTATATGAATTTAACAAATTTTTCGTTATTTTTTTTCTTTATATTTCCTTTAACTTAATGCTAAATTTGACTGATTCTTGTATTATATATGCATCTATACCTAGTTTGTTTTCTTTTGAATCAATTATTTTGATTATTTGTTTGATTTTCTTTTACTCTAATATTTGTTTGGTTTTTTGTGTTTATATCTATATCTATTAAGATTTGTAAAGTTCTTGCTCATATTTCCAGCATTGTCCCTCAATCAATAATTCTATATAATTTTGATCCTTAAATCGAATATTTTAATCCAATTCCATCTGTTTTTGTTTTTCATTATTTTAATTTTAGCTTATAACTGTATCTTATATGTAACTAAATCTTTATAGAACTCCTTCTCATATAATCTCAATATCTCTCTCTATATATAGGCGGAGACCACTTTGGATGAGACGGATACTTTTGCGGAGCGTGTTAAACGTTTCGATTTGGAATTTACAGGCATGCTTATATCGTTCCTTAAACAAATTAACGATCTGGCCAAAGATAACACCGCGGATCGTTTCATGAATCTCGTGCATCGCATCAATTTCAATGGATTTTACTCTGAGCAAATGGAGAAGTTGTGCGTCAAGAATGCCATGGGCTAGGCGTGAATCACTCCACCTCCAATTCCACCTCCACCTTCAACTCCAAGTCAAGAAATGAGAATTGAGCAGACAGAAAGACAACAACATCGAGTATTATCTACAAATCGAATTATATAGAAAACCAAATTGGCATTGCCCTTCGTGTGTCTGCTATATATAGTTATATATATATGTGTACATATATGTATGCATATATATATATATATATATATGTATACCGTGAATATGGATCCATCAACTATCATTCCCGTCTATCAGCTGCTCCCACTTATAGTTCTAATTCCATACATATTTAATAAAGTTTAATGTTTTTCCATTTTTTTTTTTTTTCAAAAACAATTCGAAAACACTTGTTGAGATTTGCAAACGGGAACAGCTCTACTCAACGGCAATGGAACCGAGTGTTTTCTTGTAAGTGCTCGTTCCCAAAAGCGTAGAGTACGGCTGTGCCAGTTCTGAGTTGATCGTTGTTATCGATAACGCAGGCTCGCTTAACTGCTATCTAATAAGGAAACCCCACCCTCACTGCCATAGTTATCGCATGCATATGACAGAGGAGAATCGAGTTCCAGCTTAGATGCCATAATCATCGTTGGTATTTTTGTTGTTATCGATATCGTTATTGAAATATATACATTTTTTTGAGCTATGCTTGATCTTACAGTCATATGGTAAGGGAGAATCGACTTGCAGCTTCACGATGGAGTGGCATCAGCTTCCAGCTTAGGTAATATTTCGCTATAGTTATCGTAGTCGATGTCATTATCGTTATCGATATACATCTCTTGGCATGTCGTGTACTTATACAAGAGGAGATTTGAGTTCCAGCTAAGGATGGGTTCATCATCATCATTGATATTATTGTTGTCATCGTTATCGCAATCCATCATCAGCTGCTTAATAATCGAAGAATCGTTATCAGTATTGGTATCGGCTGTGGTCGTTGTGCAATTACTCGTAACATGCTGTCACTGATGTGCCAAATAAAAATCAACGTACATTTTCTTACGAGCAGTACCCACTATTTGACACTTCAGGAACGGCTAGTCACCAGATGCGCGTATCGTTAATCGTTAATCGTTAATCGTTGACCGTTTCTATCGATATTATCGATTGGAGTGTTAGTGTTGTCTCTGCATATGAGCCAAAAGGCCCTTTCAGACTGTTATCTATGACTAGTCAAAAAATGCACATAGCAATCGAAAAGGGCCTTTCGCTTCATACGCCTATCGATGATGCGGCACTCGATAACCGAGACTCGATACGAGCTTATCGACAATGTTGGACTCGGACTGTGGACTCTTGGCTGCTAAAGTGCCTTATTTTCGCATGCATGCTCGTTTCCGAATGATAGCGCATTGACACATTATAAATATCGGCCACGTTAGCAACTAAGTACCCAACAAGTCGAAACCTATTTCAAGCTTAACACTTTTCGACGGCGGTCCTTTTCTGATAAGAGCACATATTCTGCATTGTTACGGATCATAGTACGGTTTAACTGTTGTTAGAGTATTCCATTACGACACCATCGAGCATCATTGCATCTCCTTAAAAGATTGTTTCAGCTGCTTCAGCAGAGGCGGGAGCAACACCATACTCTTTATTACTCTTCGCTCACTTTGCATCCTTCTTTTTGCTCAGCTTTGATAGTCGCTTGCTCTGCCTTGGGCCAAAGCGTCTGGAACTTACAGCGCAACTGCTTTATGTTTGTGTTTCCCAACACTGGTTCAATAGAACAAGTCAAGTGCTTCCCATACTCTATCTTCCTGCGTTTCTTAGGCTGTCCTTTGGCACTGTTTTATAGTTTGCTTTACAACACTGGCTTGTTTAAGCTAAGCTTCAACTGTCACTAGCCGAATCGAAAGAACCCGCTTACCGTTACGTACACTCATTTGCCGATTACCAACATTGGAAAAACGCTTGTCTATCAAGGCAAGGCAAATCACTCGACCAATTTACAACAGTCCAAAATTTGAGCAGCGACCAAAATTGATGGCTTTGTCTATGAGTTCTTTTCCTCTTCTGCTCCTCACCCGCCACACCCACACGCCCACTATCACTGCCACACACGCCCTCTACTGGCTGCCGCAGCTCCTCTCTGTTGTCTGCTTGGAAAATGTGCCAATTTTAATTTGCCATGGATTTTCATCATGTTGCGCACTTTTTGCACGACAACGGCCAACGGCCAACGGCCACAACTGCCCGTTAAGAGTGGCTGCCCAGACATAGGGACAACGACCCACACACGCACACACACACATGCATACGCACACACAGATGCAAAAGCCAATTTGCTTTGCATATTCATAGCATTCATATAAAAAGCAAAAAGCGGGTTGATCGATGATAAGTGGCTAAACGCTCAAGCTGTCATCGATAGCAAAATTAGAGCTTATCGATTATGTGCAACTTTGATCTATATCTAATACTCATGGAACATTTAGAAAATTTGCATATTTATTTATTTAAAAAATCTTGGATTTTATCGATCACAACATGATTAGAAATTCATGTTGTGATCGATAAAATCTCATATGAAATATTTGAATTTTTGTACGGATCAGTTGCGCTATAGAAGTTTAGCCTTGGTTATATGAGACATATGTTTTTAGAGTTTTATTAAGGATAAAGTTATGGTGAGCCTTGGTGGGCAAGAAGGTTTGGTTGACAAATGGGACTAAGGCTACGGGAAAGATATGTAAGCTTAGCTATAGCTAAGTCAAGTTAAGTAAAAAAGTCTTTCAACTGAAAATAGAATTGATTTAAGCAAGAAAAAGCGAAGTTTCCTTGTTCGAATTACTTGTCGAGCGACCCTCTCGATAGAGGCTGCCTATGTATGCGTGCATGTATGTATGTATGTGGTATGCTTATATATGTTATATGTTTACCATTAGCTGACGTTGTTGTAGGCGGCGCGCCTACCAGCCAGCCATGGCTCGCCTGCATCGCCTGCCACGCCTGCCGCCCAACCCGCCCCATATCCAATTGGCAATTTAAGCTCGCATGAATTATCGACAATCAATTATGGTTGCTGGCCCATGGACATGGACAACGACATGCAGAGAGAGAGACAGAGTGCGGGAGAGGCGCTGAGAGACAGAGTGAAAGAGAGAGAGAGAGAGAGATGGAGAGTGTATGTCTGTGTGCGTGTGTATGTTAATTAATCAAAAGCCCATCCATCTATCGATTGGGCATTTACTGACAGACATATGCAAATTAAAAGCATACAAGCAGCTCATTAATGCGCACTTGAAAGGCCCAACAACGACAGCGATGCTGATAATGACAATCATCATGATGATGAACATAATAAATGCAATACAGCTAACAAGTCAGCGTGAGCCTCAGCTGCAAATGCTGTCAGGTCTCAAGTCAAAAATATTTTTGTTGTACATAGAACAGCTCTGTAGGAGTTTGACGTCAGTAGCTCCTATAGCTTTCGAGTTAAGCTTCGCAAAGATCAAGGATCGATAACATCTGGTCGGCTAGATGGCGTTTTCTTAAAACTCAGCTATTCCGAAATAAATCACGAACCACTTTTGAATCACTAAATTTCTTAATAAATAGACTACGAATTGAATGTGAAAGCGAAGAGCTTAGCAGATCAGCTTTATAGAGCTGAACCACTTTTGAGCCACGTAACACTTGAACTAACAAATGAATCGTAGCCAAAAAGCCACTCTCAGCCTTAAAAGAGAGTTTCTTTTATATTGCTGGAGCTGTGCTACTTTGAGCAAGAACAAATAAAAGATTTTGAGCCCCCGAACCCCTAAGAAATCATTTGCGAACTTACTTAATTCGAAAAACCCTTTTCCAGCTATGCAAATTGCCCCTAAAAAACCTAATTATATTAAGACATGTTGAGTTGTCGAGTAGAACCCTTCTTGAATCTGTATTGAAGCAGCTTTGAACCACTTTTGGACTGCAGATAGATTCTCTTACGACAATTTGTAGTGAGTGCCGTTGTCGCAGTCTCGATAACGTGAATATCTCATCGGTTATCGATTGCCAGACGATGAGATGTCCGCGCAATCGGAACTGAGCTGGGCCAATAGAACGAACTGGTTCATTTAGCTTAATTATTGTTGTTGCTGTCGTTGTTGTTGTTGCTGTTGCAGTTATTGTTGTTGCTGATACAGCGCATCGTCATCGATGAGAACTAATCCAATGCGAAATGCTCATTGGAGATGCTTTCATCAATCGCGAGGGGCTGCACCCGAAGCGTCGCTAGCGATGACGATAACGATAACGATAACGATAACACTTTGGGCCAGTTGTGTGATTGCGGCTACGTGGTTTGTGATCGCAGACACCCCATACATCTTGTATTTCATAAAAGTGTCGCACATACTGGATATAGGGAGTATCTAAAATCAAAGACCATACCAAATGCTAACCTAAAGCCCAATATCGATATTAATCGAACAGAATTTGCAACGTTGCTCCTGAATTATTGCCTTTGAATTGGAATGCGAGACTCACTGTTATCGTTCTCTCCATAACAGATGAGTTTCGTGATTCCAAATCAACAGCAATTGTGAACGAACTGATATCGATAAAGTTATCGATTGTTGACCATTCGTTCGCTGTTTTTGGCTAATTGGAGCAGTAGCTGATATATATAGACTTCTAGATAAGATCGATGCTAGATGAGGACTGATCGCTGCTAATGCTAGATGATAGATGATAGATGACTAGCTGATCGATGATAGATGATAGATGATAGATGATAGATGATAGATGATAGATGATAGATGATAGATGATAGCTGCTGATGCAGCTGATACTGACTCTGATAGATGAGCGATGCTCGCTGATAGCTGATAGATGCTGATTGATCGCTGCTGATCTAGATGCATCGCTGATAGCTGATCGATGATGATCGCTGATCGTATGCTGCTGCTCGCTGCGCTGCTCGCTGCTCGCTGCTCGCTGCTAGCTCGCTGCTCGCTGCTCGCTGAGTGCTCTGCTCGGCTCGCTGCTGCTCTGCTGCTGCTGCTCGTGCTCGCTTGCTGCTGCTGCTCGCTGCTCGCTGCTCGCTGCTCGCTGCTCGCGCTGCTCGCTGCTCTGCTGCGCTGCTCGCTGCTCGCTGCTCGCTGCTCGCTGCTCGCTGCTCGCTGCTCGCTGCTCGCTGCTCGCTGCTCGCTGCTCGCTGCTCGCTGCTCGCTGCTCGCTGCTCGCTGCTCGCTGCTCGCTGCTCGCTGCTCGCTGCTCGCTGCTCGCTGCTCGCTGCTCGCTGCTCGCTGCTCGCTGCTCGCTGCTCGCTGCTCGCTGCTC